ATGCTGATATACGACATTAAAAGTTTAAATATTGAAATTCACTAATATAATTTACAATAAATTATTCGGTTAATTTCACTGGTGACATCAGAATTTCGCTGTGATTGTTAACATTCAAAAGTTGTAAAATCATTTAATTGACCAGTGGAATTATGATTTACTTAGTTATAATTAAGATAATTATATTTTCTCATTGTCTCAGTTGACATTCTAATGCTTGTTTCATTACCCCGGAATACAAGTTTATGTCTGAAACATACATTTATACACTTTAAACTACTGCATATAACTTCGAGAAGTAGTATTAGTCTTTTGGTCTTATACAATAACAAGTATGTTTATTCAAGTACAATTATCTGGCACCATATCGATGTTTTATTAGAGGATACCTCGAAATTCTAGACTATTACTAACTTATGTTTCAATGTTGATGAACTTTCTGCATAAATTCATGAGGTAAGAACTAAATATTAATAATCCTGTGTTGATTTCAACAGATAGCTTTTAGTCCAGTCAAATTTAATATTGCAAACATTACTTTTCATACTGAGTCATGGAGCTCATTCAGTTGTAGATCAACAACGTTGATGATCTATGATGAATGATTGGGGGCCTATTTGAGTTAGACGGGAATGATGTGACGTCAAAACCACACCTCGTGGTCAGCACCTAACGTGGATCACCCCTTCGTCATATCGAGGTACTATGGATGCTTTGAAGATTGTTAAAGTGGGTACAAGTGAAAGTGTGACCACCACCACATGGATCAGTTCATTGCCTACGATTAACTGATTGATGTTGGTTGTCCTTGACCTTGATAGGGGTCGATGACCTGTCCTATATTCAGTGACCCAACTGTCAGGTGATTTGGCTAGGGCTCAGTGACATTTTACTGGCCCTACACAATTATCAGCTTGGGTTTCATTTCCAGATTAGGGTTTATAATAAAAAATTTGTTAACATAACAAATGAGTGGTGTTTATTCACTTAACTTCAAAAAGTTTTAATTGCCATGCCAGACAATAATATTTAACTGATTTAAACGATCTTTCATCTAATCATAGAAATCAGTACTACCAAACATACCCTAAGGTGATTACATTGAGTAATGAAATAAATTCATGAAGTTACTCTTTATAGACTTGTTATTCTTATTATATTTGGTAAATTTCCAAAGACGTTTTTATAATCATCTGTCGGTCCATAATACAATTCTAATCAAAAAGATATTTCAACAACGCTGAATTGAACATCATTGTATCATGTTTTATGTTGTTCTAATCAAAATTAAAGGAGCTTCGAATTCTAACAACAAACTTTAATGAACCTAAACCAAATTGTGTAAACAAGTGAATAATCCTACTAGAATTACTGTCAATTCATTTATCAATAATGTAAATAGATACAAAGATGGATAGTGGCTAACAGTGGAATCCAGGAAGCGCGTCTCGTCCTATTTGGGACTCGTCAGTCGGATGTACCTGTATCTCAGGGTTGATGTTCACTCTGGGACTCGAACCTAGTAGCGTTAGCTTCAAACGCCATCGCGGTATCCACTTAGTAACTGAGTTCTTTCTGCAATCAAATGAAGTTTAAATTCACTTGGTGTTGTTTTATTTATATCTTCCCAATATTATTTAGGACTGCAATTGATGAGTCTCTAACAGCAAAGTATATTTTCCTTAAGTATATTTTTATCAGTCGTTTATAGCACGATGACTTGCCAGATTAATCGGGATGATAATATTGATCAATTTTATTTCAACAGTAAACGGGTGAACATTATTGATATATGTCATTTTTTTCACATTAACCATACAATAGATGATGTATAATTTCTTATTAATTAATCAACGTAGTGTAACTACTATTAAGATAGTAAGTAGTATATGTTAATAGTGGGAATATTATTTTTTGGTTATATGTGAGAGAATTGTTGATGATTTAAGTCGAAAGATGAGTTATTTTATGACTATGGAAGACCACGTGTTTCCTCTCATATTAACAGTTTTAAGATTTTAGTCATAGTGGATGCATTCTTGAAATGGCCACAAATCTATGCTATGACAAATTGCGAAGTCAGTGAAACAATCATCACGCTATCTGTTTTAGAGCTCCGGAGAATTTGGTGACTGACAACGGCTCAAAATTCACCTCAGAATCATTCAAGTACTTCTGTAGAGTTAATGGAATTATGCATACCTCTGTCCACTCTATCACTCTCAATTAAATGTACAGGCAGAGCGGTTTGTTGACACATTTAAAAGAGTATTGATGAAAGATGAAGACGAGAGGACAAGTCTGGTAATTACAAAATTCTCAACTTATAGAACTAAGCCCAACCCTATTGTTTTAGATGGAAATTCCTCTAATAAAGCTATGCTCGGAAGAATTATTCGACGCCATGTTATCGCTCAAATCAGTGGATGGATGCACACAAAATCAGACCATCCGAAGTTTTAACGTGGGTAATAAAGTAGTCATCAAGTCATACCTTGGAAAAAATCTATAGGAACCTGGAGTTATTGAAAATGGAATGGGAAATGTTTTGTGGATTAGACATATTAGCCAAATCCACAGAGAAAAAGGACGATGAACACGGTAGACAGATGAGTCAGTCTTCCACTGGAAATAATTACATATGCCCAAATGACAAGAAACCCAACAGACATTCATAGTCGCTGGACACCAAGGAAGTCGGGATGCCACCATGAACCAGTCATCAAGCTGCAAATAGACCCGAAGAAAAGGTCTTCTTTTTTGAAAGGGGGGAGATCCAGAAAATTCCTCAAAAAAGCCCTAAAAACGCTAAGAAACATTTTATTTAATCAGAATTGAATAGAAGTACCCCAGGAACATCTAGAAAGTGAAAAGTCAAACTTTTCTCTCGTGTTCGAATTGCCGTATAGATTTAGCCTGGGGGTTACTAGAAGAGATTAGGAAACTGAATCAAGCATTCACTTGGACGACTTATCACATTTGAAACGTATGAAGCTAACAAAAATCAACCATTATAAATCTAATGGTGTATTGGTGATATCCTGATATGTAGGAAATAAGTAACCGAACTAAACAAATTTCTACCTAATGCTTAATTTATTTGAAATTATCACGTCTAACTTTGATAAAGGATATCTACAAACACATAAGGTTATGTGACTGGCCTTAAGTAGTTTCCTATTGAAACCAGTCGCCACACTTTTGTTTCAGTAAGATGATCAATGAAAAACCAAGTTCTATTTTAGGTTTCTTTCAGAAAAATGTCCATCACCGGTGTGGGAAACTTACAGAAACAACCATTCGCATACTCACAACAGTACTGAAGTTAATTTTACGCTTAAACCAATTTCGCGTTTCTTAATATTTCTTTAACTCGTTCTATGAACCTTTCTTTTATCTCATAATTACCTACATGTCCAAATAATGTTAACGATTCTAGAGTATTAATTACTTGAAAACGCGTTGATAAATACATGTTCGAAATTCGAACCTCGTATTAAATCACATAACAAATTTTAGTGGTTAAGATTGAAGAATTCCGTCCCACGAATACATTTTGTCTCTAAAATCATTGTAGGCGACATCTATACCGATTTAAGATGTTAGCAATTAGATCCTGTAATTCTTCTCATTTTCTAAGAAGAAAAACAACATCAACTTCAACCGAGTATTATCTTATGCTACCACTTAATAATACAATTGACATATCATTAATATGAGATGTTAATGTTATTCAACTTTGAAAGAAATACAGATGATATGAAAAGAACGGCGAGACTCTAATTTAAGGACGAGCCAATCAGAAGCGTTTGAGCCATTTCAAGGTCACGGAGCCAAGTTTAACGCATGATGCTCAAGTACGATCGGTTTACAGCGGATTTTAGAGAAGAGGTTATTATTGAGAGGCTACAACAGATGGGACTATTAAGAAGTTCTTGTACATGCGACTGCGGTTACCAAATGACTGCAGTAAAGTGTGCAAACCACCGCGGTGAGATTATATTCCGTTGTTCTTCATGTTGGAGGAAAAAGTCTGATAGAACGGGGACTTTCTTCGCTCGATGGTGACTTAAATTGAGGCAGATCATGATAATAGTTGCGAATTGGGTAATAAAGACACCAGTAACACTGACTGCGGCATTTGCAGATGTTACTGAAACTTCAACAGTCTAGTGGTATGAGTACTGCCGTGACATATGCACAACTAAAATGACAAGTATACACCAATCATTTGGAGGAGTAGGGTGTATCGTGGAGATAGAAGAAACGGTAGTGAGAAAGCGAAAGTACAACAGGGGACGTAGTATAAAGGAAGATTGGGTAAGTAGCATTTTCGTTAATATACTCCACAGGTACTTGGAATTTATGATAGATCAACTCAAAAGGGACATTTTCAGAAGGTCAGAAACCGGCAAGCAACCACAATAATACAGGAAAACGTGCTGCCAGGCACAACGGTATATACGGATAACTGGAGAGTGTATAGATGTCTTCATAGACTTGGGTATGTCCATCATATCGTAGTCCACAAACGTCATTTCGTCGACCCTACAACCGGTGTTCATACCAATAACATTGAAGTCATGTGGTCACGTTTGAAAGAATTTTTAAGACCGTACCACTGCTCTAGAGGACGACTATTATAGAGCCATATGGATGAGTTTCTATACCGTATGCAATATGATTTCAAAACATCTGAACCTTTATCAAATCTTGACAAGTTTTTAAATCATGTAAAAGAAGTATATCCACTGTAATTCATTAGTTTGTTCTAATATATTTTTACTTTATACTAACTGTCTTCTGATTGGCTAATTTTCTCAAGGTCACTTAAAATTCGTTTAAAGGTCGTCCGTAAATTAGAGTCTCGCCAAAAAGAACAAACAAAAAATATTTTCTCAGAAGGGGTTTTGTGGAGATTGTAGTAATTTCAATGATTAAGATCATAAGTCAGTTGAAGCTAGACCACCATGGAAAACCTGGTTTTTCATTGAAAATACTTTGTTAAATATTTCTATGAAATTTATTTATACTATTAAATAAGTAGGCAAAATATGAATAAGAAAAAATAAACAAAGAAAAATCATAAAACAATTGGAGAATAAAATTACACTAACAACAACAACAACAGCAACAACAACAACAACAACAATAGTAATACTAATTAACAATAATTATGAATTGCGCGCCTTGATTGATTTGATTTGAATAAAGAAAATGACTTTAGGATTATATCAATGAAATAATTTGTATTTTAATGTTTAAATTATTAAACAGTTTTAATATTTTTATAAATATCTAAACCAGTCATTGTATGTATTAAATGTGGTAAACTATTCATAATTGTAAATAATTCACCAGTTAATTTTGCCACACCAATATCACCTTCACCTGTACAAATCATAGTGACTTTATCACATTTAGTTAAAGGTGAACTAATCTCTGCAGCAATTTTTGGTAATGATTGTAATACCATGTCTAATTTAGCAACATTCTGAAGAAAAAAAAAAGTAAATAGACAAATATCGAAAAATATTAGCAAAGTATATTTACTTGTTAAAAGAATGAGGAAAAACAGAACAGATCTATGTATTCGTGAATTATTACTATTTACTATTTAAACATATAAACTTTGGTAGAAGGAGGCACCAACTAGATATGTGCCACATAAATCATTTAATTTGTGTGAGGGCTATGATACTGCCCAGATGCCCAACCTGAAACAGGTGGTTTTCATAGGAGAATACACCCGGAGGCTTTGATCTAATGGTCTAGTCCACAAAAAAGTGGAGCAATGTCGGGAAATGCAGTCCTATAGTAGACAGTGATCAACGATTGGTTCATACGCCATTTGTTCCATCAGGATACACTGGAGACCATGTGCACCATTGGTTTGGAATCAGGGTTTTCCAACTCCCCTATGTCGATTCTCTATATCAACCTACCCGGTTAAAGCGCCGTACATTTGCTTATCGTCCTCGCAGTTTGGTAAACAACAGTAATGCCGCGAGAAGGCAGTGAGTAGGACTTCTCTGGCAGTGGTTGTATGCACGTGGCCACTTGAGGGCATTTCGAGAGAGAGAGCTGACTCTGTCCACGCATCAATACTTAACCCCGTAAAATGTAGTTATGTGAAGGATAGCAATATAATCTGTCTGATTAAATTAAAGTAGATGGAAGGAGTTTCAAACATGCAACTCAATAGTTGGAATTCGAGTGTTTTATCCATTAAGTTGTGATTTAAACAAAATGTATGATTGTATTTCAAGAAACAACATCATTCCTCATGATTGAGGTGAACGATAAACAATAAAAACAAGATATATGTATCATTGTAAATTTCACTGACGTTAAATTAACGTGGATATATCTCTGTTGAAGTTGGTAGTCGAGTTCTATCCAACTTGTGTTTTGCATACTATATGATAATAATGATTTAAACAAATAAGTCTAAAATAAGCATTCGTAGTAAATCTGTATGGTAATTCTGTTGACCTTGATTCCTTTAAATCGAGTCAACCAAAAATTATGCTAACATTTTGATAAGTCTTCTAATTGAACGCTAGACTCAGTTCCTAAGTAGGTATCATTACCAAGGTTTGATTGTTATAAATAAATAATTTTTAATTTGGTTATTTATTCTCTGAAGAAGTGACTTACACTAAGTCACGAAACGTCAGAAAATCTAATTTTATATTTATTGGGATATTACAAATATATTATTTATTTATCAGTTCCTAAGCTCTTCTAGTAACCCCAGGCTAGATCTACACAGCAACTTGAACACGAGAGAAAAGGCGCGAGATATGGAAGAAACATTTTACTCCAAAGGTTCGTTTATGTACAGAAAATCTAATGTTTTTATAGTATTTTAGATGGCCTTTGGTTTTCCTAAAATACTAGAACGCTAGTAAACACAGTAGCCGTATAGGTAACCATTCAATCAGAAACTCAACATGTGACTTAACTTTCTAGATATTTCTGGCAAAACTTCAAATGAATGTTGATTCAATAAAATGCTTCTCAATGTTTTCACAGCCTTTTTTTAGATGATTTTTCGAATTTTCTGGATTTCCCCAACACATTTCTTACTCATACATTAATGCAATTAGTGTTAATAATTAGTCGATAGATTAGTTTTTTTTTTGTCATTATTTAACAGTACAAAACTTATCTTGTAATCAAGAATTGATTGACATTAGAGAAACGTGGAATAATGAAATGAAACACATTAACCTAAAAACAATGAGTTCACTGTCAAAGTAGAAGACTATGAGTACAATCTCTGAAGATAGTGGAAATGTACTGTTAAGAAGTCCTAAATTAAATTGACATACATATATAATACTCAATGATTTCGAATGATATTATGTTTATATCAATCTGTAACGCAAACTATTTCAAATTATTATTGTAATGTTCAGAAAGTTAGTTTCAATTAACCTATTACATAAGCTTTATTTATTATTTATTTATTTTAACACATAGATATTGGTACAAGAGGGCACCAAATATTAATGCGCCACACAGAGCTCATTCGATATGTGTGAGGGCTGTGATACTGCCCGGGTGCCCAAACCGAAGCACGTGGTTTTCTTAGGGGGCTACACCGCGAGCCTTTAACCTGAAGATCTGATACACAAGAGAGTGGAGCATCGTAAGGATATGCAGTCCCATAGTAGCCGATGACCAACGATTGGTTCATACGCCATTTGTTCCCGCAGGATACTGTAGCCCATGTGCACCATTGGTTTGGGATCCGTTTAAAGCGCCGGACATTCGCTTTTCGTCCTCTCATTTTCGTAAACAACACCCCCGCCACGTGAAGGCAGTGAGTAGGACTTCCCTAGCAGAGGCTATATACGCGTGGCCATGTGAGAGCACTTCGAGAGGGAGAGCGGACTCTCCCCACTCTCGGCCGTACCAAGGCATTTGGAGGTAATTACATAAGCTTCAAAAAATGTATCACTAATATTATTTTCAATTAAGTCATCATGAAAATAAAGAATTCATTGAAAATAAATATCTGTTCTGTTCAAATTTTATTTGAAATTTTTTGATGGAAACATTTGATTGATGAAATTCTATTTGAAAAGTTTAAAAGTTGATATTTCTGACAAACATCTTATGGAAATATTTAACAGAAGATTGTGTAATACAAGATGGTTAGCTTGTTGTTATTTTTTTTTTTCATATTGAAACCATTCAAATGTGTACTTTATCGTTCGTTGAACAATTCTGAGCTACTATATAGAATCATCGAACATAGTAGTAAACATATCACTAATAAGGAAATATAAATAGATTTAATAAGTTGGATTTCATTCCGTATATATTAATGTGGAGATTTTCCTTTATTGTTATGAATACACATATGTGTTCTTATATTAGTTTATAGATAAAGAACTATAATTTTATTAAAATATTCAGTTTACTCATAATATGAAAGATAAAAAAAAGAATCAGGAGTTTAGAACAGGCGATTAGCGACGGTACTAAAAAATGACCATGTAATTGAGTTTATGTTTTGTTATTCAATAGACATGTACTTATTCAGAACAAGTAGTTGTTTGGTGCTTAGAGTAATCAAAGTTAAACTATAAGATAATAGGTTTCAACCTTATTCCATGTCGTTGAATTTGGGTGACAGAATAGTATAAATACGTTTCATACAGTAAGTGTAACTTGATGGCAAGAGAATAAAGATAAACTCAGTTAAAATTGTAATACTGTCCTCTTTAAGTTTTCCTAAAGATAGTATAATTGCTCTACAGATCACAATACTAGCAATAATCAACTGAGATAAATACAAAATCCATATGCATTTAATGATGTAATTATCTGAAAGTTGGACCTTTTAAAAGTTATGCTCATTAAGAATTAAGAATATTATAATTGTATATATACTGATTAAAAATCGGTAGAGATGTAACTTAATGGTTAAAGTGTTGAATTTCAATAAATAAGTTGACATTTTGAACCTCACTTACCCAACTAGACTACAACACAAACTTGATTACATGAACCCACAGTTGGTGAATGACTTACATAATAAATCAAACTTAGAAAGAAGTGAGAAGTTTCAAATTTGTACAAAACTTCCATCGAATATCTATTTCGTTTCTATGGTTTCCGAAAATTCCCTAAGTTATACCAGTCATTTCAACATAGTTTATCTTCGAGGTAATTACCACTTATTTATTGATTTCTAGTGAGTAATGCACTCATTTCATTTAGACTTTTATAGTACAAAAACACATACACATCAGTCAAATAAAACTAGTCAACGAAACAGGTTTTGTATATATATCATAATAATTAGAGCAATCAACGTTCAAGTACAAAACCTGTTTCGTTGACTAGTTTTATTTGACTGACTGAGTAATTGAATAGTATCAACCTAATAGTTGTGTGCAAAGTAGAAACCGGCACATATGTGTATAAGTTCAAGTTGCCTTACTACATCATTACAATAAGATGAAATTATGAAGTAGTAACACTATCAATTATAGTAGAAAACACTATGCATAGGTAATGTGATTTGAGATGAAATTAATTCGTGGAATAAAATAGTATAAAATAATTTTAAAACCCAAGATCTAAGGAAACACCGAGTGAAATCATTTGCACCATTGTCATAGATTTTGAGTCATGTTTTCAACCATTGGTTACAACAATCCCATGGACCTTAATCAGGTAGTTTGCACTTATTGACACAACTCAATCCAGAGATTTCATGAATTACAGCCAACTCATGGTTAAGTCACAATTAGCTTCCTTCCAACTTACTGTTAAATGAATTAACATTTTGTGTCGGAGTAGGGGGTAGGTAGTGTCATTACCTATCGGTATTAGAAAGTTTAGTTTAACTGCAAGATCAAGAAACTATATATTGGCAAACGAGCTACATTAATTATTTTGATCAATAAACAAATAAATAAGCAAACCTGATAATTTTTCCATGCTTCAGCTTTCTTTGCCATTTGTTCTGCTTCAGCGTGTGCTATAGCTTTTAATGCTTCCGCCTCAGCAAGACCACGTAGCCGAATAGCTTCAGCTTCTGCTTCCGCCTCGGCAGTTAAACGCAGCCGGTCAGCTTCAGCGAGACGTTCCAAACGAAAACGTTCAGCTTCAGCTGGTTTCCGTACTGTCGCATCTAAATGACGTTCTTGTCGTACAATTTCTAATTCCTCCACTTGAATTTGTTGCGTTTTCTCAAGAACGGTGATTTGCATTTCTTCCTCCTTAATTTGTTGTTTAACTTTAGCTGCCTAGATTTTGTTCCAAATGTAGGTATGTGTGAGAGAGACAAGAGAAGGTTAAATGAGATAAGAAAAATATCAAGTATTCTTTTTATGATTTAATTAATTAATATAATTCGGTATTGAGTATTTAAATACAAACTGACTGCGCAAATGAGACGAAATTCGAACCAACGATCCGTTACCCGAAAATAAAACTGGGGAATAGTTAAACTACCTCTATAGTATTCAATAAAAGTTCAAATATATGGGACTGATTCAGCAACTGTTTCAACTGAAAATGATAACAATTATATTACGATTACGATATTATTTCAAGCTGATTCCATAAAATGCAATATATCTAAGTAGGTATACAAATAACATACTTTAATTGACTTCGTAAATGCAGAATTAAAACTCAATAACGGCTAAATAGCAAAATGAGGTTGGATACTGTTAGAAGTGTGTGGGTGGCTCTCAATTCTGAGATAGGAAATATTTTCTTATAGAGCCTGCAAAAAAACTAGGTTAATAATGAATATCTTGTCAACATTTAGGTCTGATCACAGAGCCTAAGAGACCTTACTGTCTGAACTGAAAATCCTTGAGATGTAATGGGATGTGTTATTTTTTGGATAAACCTTTTTTCAACCCATTCTTTCATCTGTGGAAATGCAGTATCTCCAGAGACACTGGTCATCTGTGAGAGACATTGTAATCTCATCACACTTGAGTACTGTTGACACTACAACCAAACGGATCGTCCTTATAAACTAACCAGACTGTTTCACTAAGGTAACAGCTATAGTTGGATCCGACCACAACTAATTTAAGATATTTAACTTGAACACATGTTCCATACACTTAGTTCCTTTAATTTCTTTAGGTTCTCATAAGCTGCTTACAACCTACAGTATTTTAAGATCAAAATTATTATAAAGTTACCCTACTTATATAACGGCGAAATTAGTCAGATATGGATATTTTTTATCATGGTATAGTGATGATTTAAAACAACTACGATGAAATTGAAAACTTATAGTGTTGTAAGTAAATATAACATATGAGAAAAGAATTTGGATCATCAAACAGTAGGTTGTGAGCAATTGGTGAGAATCTAACTAAACTATTTGCTCCATAGTTTCACCAAATAAAAAAATGACAAATTATAGGAAAATTCAACGTTCATTAAATTCATTTCGAACTAAAAATTTAGAATCTTTATTAATACTAAGATTATTGATGAGTTTCACAACGTTAATTGGTGCATGATTTTCAAAATTCGTCTTGAAACAATAGATGCCGAACATCGATATCAACAGACTGGATTATGAAGACCCCAACATATGAGGGAAAACACAGAATACAATGGACAGCTCAGAATCAATTAGACGATTTGGACTTTGCAGATAACATAGACCTCTTATCCCATACACACGAACAAATGCAGATGAAGACAATTAGTGTACCAACAGCCTCAGCATCAATAAGCCTTAACATACACAAAGGAAAAAGCAAGATCCTCAAATACAACACGGAGAACACCAACACAATCACACTTGATGGAGAAACTCTAGATGATGTGGAATTTTTCATGTACCTGGGAAGCATTATCAGTGAACAAGGAGGATCGGATGCAGACGCAAAGGTGAGGATTGGCAAAGCAAGGGATCGTATTCCTACAATTGAAGGACATATGGAACTTAAAACAACTGTCAACCATCATCAAAGTCAGAACCTTCAATACGAATGTCAAGACATTCATACTGTACGGAGCTGAAACGTCGAGAACTGCTATAACCATCATCAAGAAGGCATAAGTATTTATAAACAGTTGTCTGATGAAGATACTCAATATCCGCTCGCCGAATACCATCAGCAACAGCGTACAATGGGAGAGGACAAAAAAGCTTCCAGCTGAAGAGAAAATTAGGACTAGACTCTGGAAATGGATAGGACATACATTACGGAAATCACCAAACTGAATCACGAGGCAAGCCCTAACTTGGAATCCTGAAAGGAAGCAGAAGGCCATATAATACATTACGTCGGAAAATAGAATCAGATATGAAAAAGATTAACAACAGAGAAAAATAATGGAAACCACCGCAATGAAAAACAGCATAGACATAATTCCAGTTAATAATCAACGAAAAAATACCTGTAATTCATAGGCTAATTCCGATTCCGCTTTACGTGATTGTACTTCTTTCTCGTAAGCAGCATTTTGTAATTCAAAATCACGTTTTGATTTAGAAATTTCAATATCATTTAATAGTTTACCGGCAACACGTTGTTTTTCAGCTTCTGCTTCTCGAATACCAGCATCACGTCTTGCCTCGGCTTCACCGATACGTGCATCACATTTAACTTGTGCTGTTCTTGCTAAACCAAGTGAACGTAAATAACCCTACGAAGGGATGGAGATACACAGATAAGAAAATAACATTGATTGAAATTTAATAGAGGATTGTATAATATGAATGGTTTAAATCAAAATTAAAAACTGTTGAATTTCAACTGAATGATTTGAAGACATGATGGTGCTAAGGACGTACTGTAAAATAATTCACAATAATATTCATGTTAAAAAAATTATGAAAGCTATTTATATAGTACTAAAATGAGAAATGGCTTCAATTTTTGAAGTAAACTAAAAGTGAATAAATTTATGATGTTTGCAAATATAAATCATTTCTGATCCTGTAGATATATAGACATACTAAAACTCACGTTTACTGTTTAATCATGTATTTTATTATAATACATGAAGTCATTGGCACCTTTAGTGAACCATAATGGCAGATGCATACTACCTGGTTCAAATTTTTGTGATAACCATGATCATTAGTTGAAGATATTAGATGACGAGACCTAGAATTGGTCACAGTGACTCAGATGCATTTACTCTTTATCGTTCCCTTAATACTTAGCTTCAATATTAGTTTATACTTGTATTACTTAAATGCATATCTTCTTTTCGAACAATATTCTCTAATATCTTATTTTTCTCACTATCACATGTACTACTACCATTTAGACTTCTTCACTATTAATCCTATCAAGTTCATTTCTCTATGTTGACATGGTATGACAAATTGAACTGACACACATTTGTCCCAGGCTCTACGCTGATTATGAGTGACCAAAAGGTAAAAGGTGAAAAATAACATTATCAGATCAGAATCCACTAGAACTTTTAAAGGGTTATTTGTGAATGGAGTATAATATGAAGTAAATCAACTGATAAGATATGGGACATGTAGTGGTTTAGACTGGAGTGTGTTATATACTTCAAAACGTTACTCAAAGTAGCAATGTAATCTAGGTACATAGGATGGTAGAATAACTCATTAGAGTCCATTAAAACTGGTCTAAACTACGTACAAAACCAAGAATGAATAGGGTAGGCACCGCGAAATAAAAAATCCCCGGTTATTAACAATTTTAACTGATGTAAGAATCGATCACAGAAATATAAATATCATATTATCATAAATACTACACATTTTTATGGATTCGCCCAATGTCAGCTTCGTTTATTTTGAAATCTATAGATTGAGTAACAATTTCCTTATGTGCATTCCTTATGCCTCTGAGTTATTTTTTACTAAAGCATAATCAAGAGGGTCTCTCTTGCGTACCGATAAACGGTTCTCAATGAACTACTTGAGCACCTACCTTTACAACTGCAGGTGAACCAACACATTTACATCAAAATATTCAACTAAGATAACTTGTCCTTTATGCAGGTATGTAGTGGTGAATGACTAGTGTAAGATACTTAAAATGAAGGTGCATAAGACGTTCTCATGATAATCTAACCATATGATATATCAGGACTTTATCTGATTTATTATCTTTAAGTACCAGATTAATGTATATTTTCTTTTGTAGTCATGACCGTTGGATGAATGATCTTAAATATACAATAAATATAATCATTATTATAACTAAATGAAACTGACACTTACAGTTCACACAATATTGTGATTTCAGTAATAATACCTGTTATTGTCACTTGACTCAATAGTGTGTGTTGGATTCAATATTTTATGATTCATTATTTTACAGTTATATAATATACCTTTGTGGGTCAGGGTAATTTTACATTGGTTTTCAGGAGAACCAGACTGACGTGACAACCCAAACAGTACAGCTCAATCCTGTTTAACAGGAGAGCCAGATACAGCCCAGGCTTAACCCGAGCAGTACATTCTTATATAAGTGCTTCTACCTTTTTCAGTATTTCATATTATAACGCATTAAATATAAGTTTATATACTCTATTATTTCTATGTAGTGATAGTATTCTACTGCTCATATCAAAGTAACTGATTTATTAGTTAAAAGCCCAGTGCATTAGACACTTAAATTATCATCTCAATCTGTTTAGTGTGTGTAGTAAACTCTATACGAATATTCGTCAAGATTAGAACGAATAGTTTGACAAAAACTGGGCGCCAAGTATAGAGAAGACATTATATGTAAAAATTACATTCGAAATAATTTTAGCGATTGAAATTTAAAATAATTCCAATGTTTCGTCCAGCTAACTTATCTAAACTAACTTATCTAAATGCCCTGGTACGGCCGAGAGTGGGGAGAGTCCGCTCTCCCTCTCGAAATGCTCTCACATGGCCATGCGTATATAGCCTCTGCCAGGGAAGTCCTACTCACTGCCTTCTCGTGGCGGGGGTGTTGTTTACAAAAATGAGAGGACGAAAAGCGAATGTCCGGCGCTTTAACCGGACTCCAAACCAATGGTGCACATGGGCTCCAGTATCCTGAAGGAACAAATGGCGTATGAACCAATCGTTGGTCACCGGCTACCATGGGACTGCATCTCCTTACGATGCTCCACTGCCTTGTGGATCAGACGTTCAGGTCAAAGGCTCGGGGTATGGCCCCCTAAGAAAACCACCTGCTTCGGTTTGGGCACCCGGGCAGTATCACAGCCCTCACACAAATCAATTGAGATTTGTATGGCGCATATGTATTTGGTGCCTCCCTGTACCTATACTTATGTGTTAAAATAAAAAAATAAAAAATTCTAATCAAGTAATAAAAATAACAGATACTATTTTTATTACCCTGACATTTATCTAGATACTTTCATTTTTCAATGCTGATATAATATGACAACTTGAACTAATATTTATATATATATATATATATATCAGATTTGAAGTTGTTCATGATTGATTGATTAATTTATGCAAATATACTTAGAAAATTTGCAAATAATTTTATTAGATTACTTTATAAATCATTTAAATTGATTTAAAGTAATATTTAAATAATAACTAAATAAATAAATGATATTAATTGAAACAAATATTGTTCAATGTTAAAACACATGAATAATATCTACTCATATAAAAATTTGATTATTTTAATCAACAAATATTTTATGATAATAATCATTTCTAATTAAATTTGAATATTAAAAACTCAATGAACTACTAGTAAATATTTGAATGTTTCTATTAAATCAATAAGAATCATTAAAAATAACCTAAATTCAAGATTTAATGGTTATCTTTTTAACCTATAAAAAAAAAAAAGAAAGAAAGAAAGAAAATAACTTCATATTTTATCAAGAATCTTAATATTCAAGAATCAGAGAATCTTAATGTTTTGTATGGTATGCAATCACATAACTTTGAAGAAAACTCTTACTGATGTTGAATGTTAGGTATGGAATTTCAACATCAATTGGTTAAATGTTAGTAATCAGTGGTCAGTTAGTGCAAAAATATTAGTTTTACAGGATAACAGTTGTTCAAAATAATTTAACAGCATGTCATTGATTAAGACATAGTGTGACACAAGCACCAATCTGTGATGAGCGTTGATTTCTTTAAAATTGTAGGTAAGACTAATTGAAGAGTGTTCATGAGCATAAAACTAGGGTTTAGGGCTTTCTGTCGATTTACACTAATCAATCATCAAGAGATAATCATTATCATTTTTTGTTTAGTTCTTAATGTTAGCTGATTTTATCGATCAAGTTGGAATATGGGTATTCGCCTAAGTAATTTGACGTTATCTAGGTTATATATTGATGCAATGGCCCTTTGGAAACTAACTCTAACCATCTACATTCCAATTGATTGTCTAAAGATACATAACATTAGACAGAATGGATCATGAACTCAACTTATTCAGTAAAGTGATTTAGTGAACTGATGTTACTGTGCTTGTCGCGAGACATAAAGGTTCTGGACAGAATTTTATGCACAGGACCTCCAAAACGGAACGAAATAGATGTTCAGTTCTCTAAAGTTTTTCACAACTACATAACTGATGTCAATTTATGATGAAAATCATACTTAAGTTGGACAAGAATCCCGAAGAACCATATATCCAAATAAAAATTATTACTACATACATACCTCATCATCTTTTATATCTTTTAGTGTATAACTAACTACACTAATTCCCATATTCACCAAATCCGAACTGGCTACTTCAAAAACAGCTTTTGAAAATTTTTTTCTATCTTTGTATATTTCTTCAACTGTCATATTGCCCATAATAGCACGCTGATGACCTTCAAGTGTTTCTTGAGCTATTTCACGTATTTCATTTTCTGATTTGCCAAGAAATTGTTCACATGCAGCCGCTAACATTTCTTGGTTACTTCCATTAATTTTTACCTAAATTAGGTTACATAAATGAAAGATGAGAAAGCTCCAATTATTGAATTGTTAAGTAACATAAACCGAGAGTCCTTCTAAGGCGGATATAATTACTGAGAATCTTTAAAGTAGGTATCTAGGACATGTCCAAAAATGATGATTTAGCCGCTTTAATACAAATGTTCACTGTCTACTTTATTGTACATAGTTCTCTATAACAATCTTCCACAGAGGTGATATTGTAGCTTAATCAGCGGTAAAACGTTGTTTCTATAGTATTGGTTACTTTGATAGTAAAATAGAACTTGTTTCTATTAGGAAAAATACAACCATAAAGAATTCTTTCAGTCCAAGAAGTTCCTCTTGTTTATATGAAAGTAAATGAAAACTGCACTAAAACCACCATTAGCTTTTATTCTGAGTCATGTCTGATAACAATGATCTTGAGTGCTGTTAGAGGCATGAGGGCGGTTATCACTTCCCTGTTGCCCACACCGTGGAAGGGTTCTTCTGGAGGTACCTGGAAAGCAAATTGGATTAGAGGTGGTCTTAGTGACCTGAGAGCAAGACCGCAGTACCCAAAGGACAGCTGCTTGAGGTCGGTCACACACGACCTTCTTATGAGTATTTTTCGTGTTAGTTCCGTACTTTTTGAGACCTTACCGCCGGAGACGGATATCCGTGGGGTAAGGCGAGATGTGCATTTTTAGAGTCGACCTTTTCTAACCCCACCCCTCCTCGTGGGAAGGCAGCATCGCTGTTATGCTGGTTGTCCTAAGGAAACACCTTACTGCTGTCACACCTCTGTACAGTCAGCAGTACGACCTCACCTTCGGACCTTGGATTTGTTGCTTCTAGTCTTACGGCTCTTCAACCGGCCTGTCTGGCATGGTAGGACCTTGAGGAATGGTTGTTCCAGCCAGTATAGCTCAGTTGCTTCATCACGATAGGCAAGCCCGACCACCACGTCAGAGTAGCATAGACCACATATTCACCATTCGTCAGGTTCTAGAACACAGGCATACTTATCGGCGTCCGACAATGGTGGTCTTCCTTGACTTAAAAGTAGCATTTGACTCTGTAGACCGAGAGGTTCTGTGGCAGTGTCCGTCATCAAAAGGCGTACCTCAGAAGTACATTAACGTTGTGAAGGCTCTTTACTCGAACACTACTAGTCGAGTCAGAGCTTATGGCGAACTGTCATCTGCTTTTGCAACCTCAAGTGGTGTCCGTCAAGACTGTCCACTTTCTCCTTTTTTGTTTAACTACATCATAGATCTACTGATGGAAATAACGCTCTCATCGACTGAATTCTCAGGCATCGATCTCCTACCAGGAGGTCCACTTATTGACTTAGAATACGCAGATGACATAGTCCTGTTTAGTGAAGATACTGATGAAATGCAGAGTCTTTTGGTAGCACTGAGCAACAATGCCAGAATGTTTGGGATGCGCTTTTCTCTCTCTAAATGCAGGTTGTTGCTTCAGGACCGGTCTGCGTCAACACCTGAACTAAGAATAGGGAGTGAAGTAGTCGAACGCGTTGACAACTTCACTTATCTTGGAAGTCTGATCAGCCCTGATGGGTTGGTGTCTGACGAAATCTCAGCACGGATTTGAAAAGCTCATTTGGCCTTTGTCAACTTACGTCATCTATGGCGAAGGCGAGATATCTGTCTATCAACTAAGGGACGAGTATACTGCGCGGCAGTTCGTTCCGTTCTACTATACAGCTGCGAAACATGGCCTTTAAGAGTAGAAGATACTCGTAAGTTACTAGTGTTTGACCACAGATGCCTTAAAAATATTGCTGGTATCTGCTGGGATCACCGGGTAAGTAATAGTGAGGTTAGACGCAGGGTATTAGGGAATGATGGTAAATCAGTTGATGAGGTTATGAATCTTCATCGACTGAGATGGTTGGGCCACATACTGCGTATGCCTGAACACCGATTACCACGACGCGCAATGCTAACCGGTGTTATAAATAATTGGAAGAAAGTTAGGGGCGGCCAAACCAAAACGTGGCATCAGTGCTTGAAGTCACTAACTTCTGGTCTGAGCCACGTTGGTAGATGAAGACTGCCTGGTTGGGGTCCGCGCGACTATCGTAACCAATGGTTGGAGACTCTTGGTGACATGGCTCAGAATCGATCACAATGGCGTGGGTGTATACACTCTCTGTCTTCCCTTAAACTAAGAGATTAAAGTCGCTTCATATCATTCTTTCTACGTACTAATTCTTTCTTCCTGTACTATCTCCTTATATGCAATCTTTCTTCTATATATTACCACCACCGAATTAACTACTTCTATGAATCCGGTGTTCATCTTGTTGTGTTGATGTGGTATGGCAACTTGGACCGATGCATATATGTGCCTGATCCTACGTTGCAGCTGACTGACTGATACGTCTGATAACGTCTTCAAAGACTGTGTTGTGCTTTCTAGAGACCCCAATCAGGGAGTCGTGAAGTAACAACAGATACCATTTCTGTACAGCTTTATTGCAAACCACGGGAACCATTTTACAGGTGTTTGTATATAGACACTTTAAGATGTTAATAAACCTTTCAGTCAAACACTTCTTCAACAGACTCCCAGAGAACAATCCTCTTCAACAAACGGACCACATAAATATGCCAAAATATAGTTAAACTTGCTGGATAGTTGAAAGTAAACATAAGATATTATCACTGATTGAGGTCACTAAACAAATGAAAGCCGAATATTATCAAGTAAGAGCTTCACTTCTAATGAAATTAAAAAAAACAGGATTTCAAGTAGACTAAATCATAATTCTAAGAAAGATTCCGTAGCATTTGTTCTTTTGGTACTTGTTTGGCTAGATAACTATAATTTCGCATATATTAGTTTTTGCCTCCTTACTGAAAGTCTCACGAAACGTAAACCAGAAAACTTATAACACGAAATATCAAGAATATATATCTTACTACTATACTAAGGTAGTGAGGTGGTCTCTGAGTAGATAAAATGATATAACCACAAACAAACATACTTGTGCAACACCAGTTACTGTGATAGGAACACCAAGCTGAGTGTAGATTCGAGGGCTTTCAATGATTAGTGTCATTGTATTCAATGGCATTCTTCATTTGATTATTGAAAAAAGTGAACAGAAACACAATTATACAATATTCGAATTCTTTAATAATCACAATATAAAGTTAACTAATTAGAAAGGTCCGATTTAAATATCCCAGCATACATGATTCAACGGTAAAAAATACAGTGGTGGATTAAAGACTGAGGTATAGGAACTTGATTTCATAAGATTTACATTTGAATCTTTTTTTGATCTCTTTTAATTTCGGAAACGCATAACATCACTAACCTACAATGGGTGCGGCCCAAAGTCAAGTGGAATGTCAACTTGATATCGGAGATGTGTGCTTATTTAAAACTAGAAGGAAGGAAATTTGACCACGCAGACTTTCTTAAAGGAGCATGATAGACTGACGTTTCAAGTTTATATCAAAGAGTAGGATTTAATACTACATTAAATTACAGTATTTTCAACACCAGCCTCGGGGAAATTGACTGAGTTAGATCAAAAGTACCATAAGGGTTACATCGTAGCCATTTTCGGGTTATTCCTAAGTTCATGTACTTGATTGTGTGCTGCCTTAGAACTTGTTGTGAGATAGCTATATATTTCCTGAAGTACGTGAGTGCAAAAATGCAGTTGTTTCTGGATAAAGATTTGTGTAAGTTGTGTATGTGTAGTGTGGTCAATAAGGGGAATAAGATTAAGATATACCACCCAGTTGAAAACTTTCTCAATCTTAACAAATTACCTTTGCGTTTTGGTATCGAGAACCCAATATCAGGAGGCGAAAAACCAATCATAAAAATACTTACAAACTTCTGCCCCCCCCTATGGAATCCGTTTCTGTATCAGATAGTGCTTCAAGCACAGATACTGAGGGACAAATTGCTGTCGACTTCAAAGAAAGGCTTGAAAAGTACATTGGGTTCAATGGCACTGAAGAAGATATCTCTAGGTGCCTTTCAATTACTGCTAGTATTTTTCCTTAATATAACAAGACCGAACAGAAATATGATACTTTCTTAACTTAAACTGCCATCAGTAAGTCATGCACAGCTTTCCAGGAACTAATGGAAAAATATGATACTTGAGATTAGATTCTAATTATTTTATTAGTCGGGGATTGTGACTGCAGAAGCACCCACAAAATAATATAGTGTTGATATCCACGCTTAATATTATTTATTTGCCTATATTTAGTGAGAGCATATTTGTTTTCCAGTTATTTATTTTGTCCAAATTGCTTTCAAGAATAGCGACATTTGATAGTTTCCAAAACTTCAATCAACTCTCAAAATCTGAACGAAGTAGATTTATAGGGAGCATTCGGTAAATAGTTGATGGATAGGATAAAAGATGTGGGTCAATAATGAGAACATGTGTTATTCAACTATTTATGGAAAGCCCAGTAAACAAAAATCAAGCTTGAAAAGTTTGTAACACGTCATTGAGACAATCCTACACACATTTACGCAAATACCCAAGCCAGGCACTTCGTCCAAATTGAGGGATTAATTGTTTTGTAATTGGCAGGTTGGTAAGAAGATACATTGGAACTAGATTCACTAGTAGATCTGTTCGTTACTATTTTCATGACTTTCGAAACAAATGATAAGGAGGGAACTTCTCACCCTTTTTTGTCTACCAAGAATGACTGATTCTAATGTCTAACGATTCAGAATCAGCTATTCAGAGGCTAGACATTTGGAGTAAAAGGCGAAGTAAGTCAGCAACATCTTTTGACGTATTAAGGAGAATGTCGTTTAAGCAATCAGACTCATTTGAATCCCAATAAGAGAGATAAGATTAAATAACAAGGAACTCAGGGAAATTACTAGGAATACTTTCGAAAGGCGGTAGACCTGCTTCCTACTATAAGTGGAGTGAGGTTTAATTAGCTAAAAAATATAATAGCCTAGCAGTGACAATTGTGAATCTGTAGGGATTTTCGTACTTGCACGTAAACAGCAAAGGCCCTCCTTATAAATGAATTCACGCAAGGGCCACCTGCTGCCTAACTTTCAAACTAAGTGTGCCACACAAATAATTCTATTGAGAATAAGTTAACAGAACTGTTTATATATGATGTCTACATCAATATATATGTAATATAACCCGCCTGTTTTTTGTGATTTCGCTTTAGGGTTGTTTCCAGTTTGGAAAGAGTGAAGGGAGTGAATAAAGTGCTGTATTGAAATTGAAGTAATTAAGAAGCATGCTCACCTTTCCACTCTTTGAATTCCTGGCCAGACAAATACTCGTCCACCAGGAACCAGTAAAGGACTTTTATGAAAGCAACCTGTGGCAGTAAGAAAAAGTTAACGTTTGATTAGAAACATGCCAGAGACAACCATAGCCTCATTCGGGCCACAGGTATTAAAACCCCAACCCATTTACAGTCAGAGATGAGAACTTAAAATGTCCTCCATATTAAGGTCATGGGAATGACCTCAAATAACCAACGGTTCAAATGGTTGGGGACGGAATAGAAGAAGCTTTCGCTTCACGGGCTTCCGCGTCTCGCAGCAGTGGATCACCAATACCGCCAGGCAGAAACTTACCTATACTAACGGTTAAAGAGGAAAAATAAATTGGCAAATCATAGTAAGGTACTATCCTTTGTCCTTAAGAATAGGTTAAGTTTCCTCTAAAAGGACTCCTGGAAAGTCGACTGGACTAGCTCATCAGACAGCAAATCCTAGCATTTAACTACTCTAATAAAGTAGAAGTTGTGTCTACAGTACGTTCTGCTGTGTTGTGTCTCCAGTTTCCGGGTGTTGCCCCTTTGGATTGTGTTGGAGCTAGACTTACATAGGTGCTTAAGAGTATATCCGTATGTGTTGAGAATTCCGTAAGCCATTAAAAAGTCAGCCCTAAGAAGCCTGTACTCTAGTGGTTAAAAGTTTAACGATTGGAGGCGCTCTTCATAAGGCTTGAATTTAAGTCACCGAACTGATTTCATGGCTCGCCGTTGAATAGTCTCGTGTTGTAACGGTGACTTAAATTACTTGTAAGACATTTTAAGCAGCCCAACTCATTACTGTCGGAAGGCCAAGATTTCTGTTTAACCGAAAATCCCGACAGCATGCACATATTTGTACTATCTCACTGCGTACATCAATTTACATGTAGATGCGGGAATACATAGAGTAGGGGCGACCGTGATCAGTAAGTAAGGTTAGGTGAACACATAACTAAATAGCTACGATAAAAAATGAATTTCAGCGGTCGAATAAGATCACAGGGTAGACGAATATTTCCTTCCATCGAGAAACATTTGGTTACGACCAGTCATGAAGTTGATATCCAATTTTTCTTTTATAGTCTGACGCAAGTTCTCAGGAAAGTATGCTGAGGTTTGTTGAGGGCTTGGTTATGAGTAACCTGAACCCCCATTATATGTTCGAAAGCAATCCTTTATTACTTTTAATGTACTTTGGTGATATCGATTTGATATTTAGAGTGATTTTCACACTGTGTATTTAATTATTATTTTCCTTTCCTATTAAATTCCAAACTGTCTAGTTCTATTTTTTCATGTATGATGTATATGTGTGGTCAGGTTGCTTGTAATGTATTGAACAAATAAATCTCACGGTTTTGCCAAACTTTATCTTATCATCTCATTATCGAAGTTTTCGAAAACATCAAATATACAGAGTACAATCTCACAAGTTTACAATCGTGAATGTTTACTTTGTACGACGACAACTTGTTTCTATTTGGAATACTGTCCCAGATAATAACAACAGCCTCATTAATGCATAGCTTCAAGAAAAGACTTGAGGGAAACGTACTCACCCATGCATCGACATCTTCCTCTTGAACCAGCAGTACATGTTGAATGTCTCATGATTTACCTGGTAGCGGTAAAAAAACCCAGAATAAATAGCTCTGTAATACTATATTGTACTTCATGGTCCCTTACATTAAAGAAGGACGATCAGACGCTGCTAAACCTAGCAAGCAATTAGAAAAGTGTTTACCAACGATAAGCTCGTTGGGTTTAAACTTCTTTCTGGCCACGTCTTAAGGTTATCAATACCCCACTAGGGGGAGTGATTGTTACGGGAGAACTGAAGACATTTGGCTGATTAAAACCTTTATATTAAATATCATTAATTTCACTGTTTTTTGGATGCATTTGTTTTACTTAACTTCTGAACTTGTTTGTTTATATCACTATTTCGGACATTTTGGTTTCTGTTTGTCTTTGGCTTGATAATTGGAAGTTTTTTTGCTCCGGAACCTATAAAATTGAAGGTTTGTTTTGTAATTATTATAATTACTGTTATTAGAACGACATTGGTCGATTATTTGTGAATTGCGAATAAACTTGGTACCTAATTTGGATTTTTGGTTCAGTTGTTAACTTGGGTTCGTAAATTACGAATAGATCGACATACCGTACTTCAATAACGGGAAGGAGCAAAGGCTTGGACGTAACAGTGATCTGTAGTGGTAAGTTAATCCCCAGAATAAATAGCTCTGTAGGTTTTCGACATTGGATGCTGACCACATTAGTTTTAATGGACTCATCTAGCTGAAGGCTCTCGGTCATCAATCCGCACCAAATCACGTGTGGGAACGTTTTGCACAACATCCACTGCAATCGCTAGCCGGATTAGATCAGACGATCCTCGATATATTGATAGCCTAGCAAATATATCTTTCAACCTCCTCGCTTCTGTTTTTTGATTTCACTTGGTGGGTACGCTTCATGTTAGAAGGTGTTACTGGTTAAATTGTTGTCAAACTCCGAATACCTGTGGCATTGTCAACCTACTGTTATCGTTACTACGCATCAGTAACTACTTCCTATTTCTCATATTAACATCTCCGTTTTCATTCTAATTCTTACCCCCTTGAATTCTTACACTGTTTCGATTATCGACCAATTAACGTATACATTTATTTATTGCAACAATCGTCTTCTCTTAGCGCTCGAATATTCACTCTATTACTTTAGACAGTACAAGCAAACAACCAAACTTCTCACTGGTAGCGTGGTAACTGACGGTACTCAGAAACGCTGCCAGTCCAAGACAAACTGACTCACTCAAACTATAAGATGAGAGACTCACAAATATCTACTACAAAACTGACTAAAACTAGCGCAGATGAGTGGCTAGACTACCGCTTACTCGGTATTACCGAATCCCTGGAATTGTGCTAAAGCAACAAGAAGCGAACCTAAATAAATTAATCGATTTATGTATGACGGAATTCCATCACTTTTGATACAAGAAAATCCGTTAATCTTGGCAGAAAATGATACCGAAAAAGCTGAAGCTTTATCGAAATATTTCAGTAAAGTGTTTCCTATCACTAATGAGGAACGACCAACGATTCATTATGACCGTAACAGCTCGCTGATGGATCCTGTGGTCATTGAGAAAGGTACTGTTTTAAGGCTACTTCAGCATATCAAACCTGATAAGTCCAGTGGTCCTGATAGTATTCATCCTAGGACTACGAATGCCATATCAGATGTAATTGCTGAACCATTAGCGATACTGTTTGACATGTCTCTGAAGCAGTCCAGACCGCCAAGAGATTGCAAAGATGCAATAATAAGTCCGGTGTATAAGGCTGGAAGTAGGGATTTAGTTAGTAACTATAGACCCGTTAGCTTAACTAGTGCAGTTGTAAAACTGATGGAAAAATTCATTCGGATATCTGTTATAAACTATGCTGAAAGGCATAATCTTTTCTCCGGAGAACAACATGGTTTTCGGAGAGGCCTATCGTGCTTGAAAAATCTCATTGCAAGAGAAGATTGGGCTGCTGCAAAAGATCAGAATATTCCTGTAGATGTGATCTTCATAGATTTAAGTAAGGCTTTCGATAAGGTCTCCCATTCTGGTCTTAAATTCAAACTGGAACTCTTCGGAATCCATTATACAGACGTAGATTGGATAAGTAACTTTCTCCATGACAGGAGACAAAGGGCAAGGTTTGATGGGGCTCTTTCCTCCAGGGAACCTGTAAAAAGTGGAGTTCCCCAAGGTACCACTATCGGTCCTCTTCTCTTTTTACTTTATGTAAATGAATTACCAACTGTAGCAAGATCATCCGTTCTACTCCTCTCTGATGACATAAAAATTTAGAGACCCATATACAGTATGTCGGATAGGATAGTGTTACAGAATGATCTTAGCTCATTGGTGGCATGGTTGGACAGGTGGTCACTTGAAGAAAATCCTAATAAGAGTGTGGTGATGCAATTAAATAACAATAATGAATCGTATCACTATACAATACGTGGATTCGTACTACCCAAAGTAAGAAACTATAAAGATTTGGGAGTCATATTAAGTAGTGATCTGAAAACCACTAGTCACTGTAAGGCTGCTGCTGCGAAAGGCTATAGGGTAATATGGTCTGTTAGTAAGTCTTTTCAGTATTTACATAATGAAATGTTTAGATTACTATACCCGATTTATGTGCGACCACATTTAGAATATGGAATTCAAGCAGCAAGTCCTTGTTTCAAGTAAGAAGCAGATATGCTAGAGCGAGTCCAACGACGAGGTACTAAGATGGTACAAGGTCTCTCTGGACTATCTTATGAAGGCAGGTTGAGACACCTCAACTTATTTCCGTCATCTTACCGTCGAATACAGGGTGATCTAATATTGGCTTATCGTATACTGAACGATGACTTTGGCATTAACATGTCTTATCTTTTACTTCCGTCTAGAACTGATTGTTTGAGAGGACACTCAAAAAATACAAAAACCGAGATCAAATCGTTTACGTCTGGTGTTTCGTTTCTCTCATCGAGTAGTGAATTATTGGAATTCTCTACCGGAACACGTAATACCAGCACCTTCTGTTGATATATTCAAGACAAGATTGGACCTCCACAGTATTACAAACTGCAAGGATTAATAAAGGTCGATAGACCTCCTATCCTTATTACTGAAGACTGAAGACTAATGGCATAGTATTAGGTATTGTACAATGAACCGGTGCTTAGTTACATAAAAGCTGAGAAGTTTCGAAATTTTATAATTCTCATCATTTCACTATTTTGGTAAAATGTTTTTCAAGAGTGTAAGAAAAATTTTTCGCTAGGTATCAAATAGTTATTCACTTCAATAAAAGTTCTGGTTTTTATCTTGTTCAGCCTCAAACAACCAATAATTATCGGTTCCTCTTTGAAGAGGAAACGAAGGCAAACAAGGGGGAAACAAAGGAGAAAATGCGTTGGAAAACAAAAATAAAATAAGATGGTAACGTGCCAAATTATCTGCTTTTTCACATAAGAGAGAAAAGTCCGCAGTTTTTTTAAATAACTGATGTGAAGGCAAAAAAACGACATTTTCTATTTGTTCGTATTTATTTTCCCTTTATTGGTTGCTTGAGGCACTACTTCATTTTCATACATAATAAACTTAATTGTTCGTTTTGGGTAATTAGCACAAAAACTCCATTTTCCCCAGGATCTTATATTGTTTTTAGGAAATCTGTTCAAATTTTTTCGGAAGTAAACCCGAGCACTAATCTGGTGTGCCAAAAACTGTAGTATCTTATCAAATACATTTCTACTTGTATTGATGTGCTCTATTCTGTTAAACTGAGAAAAGCAGCTTCAATATTGGCTTAGACTAATTTTCTCACATTCGTTAAGTCCAGATACGGTACCAAAAAACTGGAGGCTAGCTCACATTTCACTCGACTTTGAAGGAGACGAACATGGTGAGTTTTCAAGTTGTCAGCCGGTAACACTTCACTTAATGCCATCAAAACTTATGAAGACTCTGATATACGATGGTATACGAGGCTGCTTTTTATCCACAAGCTTCTTTTTACTCCCAACAAGATGGTCAATTTTGTATAGCCAAACTGTCGACCACGGTAGACAGATAGACAACCACCCTTGATCACAAGGGCAGTTCCGATGCCATATACCTTGACCTCTTAGAAGCTTTGGATAGTGTCAATCTTAAATGTCTCATCAATAAGCATGACTAATTATGTATCAAGCCACCGTTTATTGATTGTCTAACTTCATGTTCAAATAATTAACGTTTTACGGTCAGAATGTCTTAGTGGGATCCTTCAGGGTTCAGTACCAGAACCTCTTCTTTTCTTGATTTATATGAACGATCTTCCACAACAACTACCGTTTGACTCATTACTTTTTGCTGACGATGTGAAACTTTGGAGAGAGAGATACGCAACCAAGAGGTTATATTGGTATATCAAATGGATCTGAGTGGATTTCAATGTTGTGCGGATGACAACGGACTCACTTTCAACACTTCAAAGTGTAAAGTAGTCTACCTCAGACATGTTGCAGATTACTCATACAACGTTTAAATATTCTACAGAAAGAGAATGACGTCCATGCTTATTACGAAATAGTTTCGTTACAAACAGGAAAATTCTATCACCTTATTCCAACAGTTTAAACCTTTTCCTATGGGCCCGTTTATTACTGACGCTTGATGATACTACTCAGACATAATTTTGCCTAAACATTAGAAGTAACCTATCACGGCATATGTTGGCACTTATTAAATGGATACTCACTACTTTTACGTTTCATGCCTACACTTTACACATTTATGAATACTGGACATAAACCATGGATATAGATCTAAATATTTTGCATGAGGAAGACACCACAAAAAACCGTGATAGATTGCCTGAAAAATTATGCCGTTTATACAGGCAAAACCGTATAGATCGTGAGTTTTAAATTCAGTCATCAGATGCTATATAACTCTTACTTAGTTCAGTGCCTGATGCTTATCACGTCTATTTTGAGCTGTACGTTATTTTGTCGAAACTTATTACGCCTAAAAGAAGGAAAAATAAAGAACCAAAGTCAGTGCCGGTAGCCGAATAAGCATTATATGAACCACTGACACTTCTGTCGTGACTTAATAGCTCTTTTTAGGTCAGGTTGTTATTCATACATGAGAATAAAGTCCCTTAAGTCTGTACATATGTGATATTGTATATTTTCGTTTAGATATCTAATAAAAACTTCACTGAAGACATGTGCAAAACGCTTGATGAATTTTCTCGCATATTACTGTCTTGTAATGCCTTTTGTGTGTAACAAAAAGTTTTGAGAGGTTTCTAGTGCTAATATCTCTCGTTGTAATACATCTTAGCACTGACAGGAGCCGACTTATATTATCTGTGTAAGTAGAAACAAGCTCTAAATAAAGTTCATACTATAAGACATTATAAGACATAAAACCATTATATCATGTAGATCACTAGCCGCTATCTTTCACTTTTTTTAATTATGTAGTTATTAAAGTGAGTGTTTCTATAGTCACCAATTTTAGGACATTTTTGCTTCGTGTACACACGGTTAATTTAAAATTATCATACTGTCAACTACTTTATCGTAATGCTTAGGTCTTTGAGACAAGATCACATTTACTCACGTTGTTTATTACCGGGAAGATGGTGAATAACTTAAGGTAGCTGACAAATGTTTCAGAGGGCACACTAAATATTTTGACTTATTAAGTTAAACTTTCCAATTTCAACTAATTAAGCCTTATCTTCAACGTTTAAATTTCTAATAAGCGACTATGTCGTTTAGAATCTGTCATTGATACCTAAATAGATTTATGGTTTAGCAGGTAACATTTCCTTAGTTTCTAATAAATGACTGACAACAGATATAAGTAGTTTGGAGCTAATGTCTGCTACCTTAACAATAGACTGGACAAGTTCCAACGTTTCTGAATCTCCCGTAGTAAAATTAGAAGCTAGATGAATGGTGATAATAACATCCATCATTTAGGTCCGTTATATACGTTATTACACAAGTGAACTATAGCCCGTCTCAATTTATAAATCTCACTAGGCGTATAACTCAAACAGTTTTTAGAAAAAAGCCTAGTATCAAACTAATAGTCAGCCAATTGTGATTGATAGAGACTAAAATACGCAGTTACAATGATTGAACGAAAAAAAACTCGCATCTGGGAATATGTAAAAGACATTACAAACCAGCTTTTTAATTAACATATTAAAAAAACATACGAAATAATTCATCATTGAGGACCTACCTAATTTTCATAGTCCCCTTACCCTTGTTTTTTTTTCAAATCGACATCAACAATATGCTACAGGTAACCTAAAAGATACCTCAATTTATACTAAACTCTTTTATGAATGAAAACTTATATAATATCCAGAACAAAATTAAATTTATCCAGTATCTTATATCTATACATCATACTTGATCGGAAAAAATTAAGATTCAGTGTTTGGTACTTTGAAATTTTCGTCAGCTCATTCATGGTGTCGCGAGGTGGGATAGTAAATATGCACTGCTAAGAAGTCCCACATCAGGACGAAACGGCTGTTCAGTGCACCCAGGTTTTTCATAGTGGTCTAGCTTCAAATAACTCATGATCTAAACTATTAAATGATAATTGCTTATTTCATGAATTAAATAGCAGAAGTGAATAGGCTGAAATCATAAAGACTATGATGAATCTGGAAATCATAATTAATAAATAGTTACATTGTTCCTATCTTTTAAAAATAAAATATCGCATTCATTGAATATTACATCTTTTAACATAATAAATGCTAATTTTACTAAACAGGTTAGGTCATGCAAAAGTGACTAACTGTAAACTGAAAATCTTGAATAGATGTGCTTAGTTAGAGATTAAAGAAACGAGACTAATATCCCAAAATTTTATGTCATCTATGAATGGAAGAAAATGATTTTGATCGAATAAGAATTGGTGCTATGGGTAGAAGTATAATCAAAACTTTATAAGTAGTGATTAAAATCCTAAGTATCTTGTACGAAAAACAGAGGCTCAGGCTTACAAATATTCCAATAACGTTCATTTCTATCACTAATTAACTACTTTATGTATTATAAGTAACTACCAGTTACAGTATATTAATTGGATATATTTTCGCATAAATGATAGTCTTATTTGATTATAAATGGTTAATGACTATTAGTAAAAATCGCTCAACACAAGTTTCCTACTAGTTATTTCTCACTAACGAGATGTATCTACGATTTTGAGTACTCTATGATTTGAGTTACTTAAACTAGCATCCACTGTAGCGTGGTCCTCAGATTTTACTAAGGCCTTCTGTAATTTGTGTGTTCAAATACATTCGATTGTCCCCATCTGTGTTCTCACTCACGACATCATGGAAATCAATCTTCATTTGCACCATTGTCTAATTACTTGGCAACTTAAAAGTATCTCATAGTTTTGTTTAAAGATTTTGTACACAAATAATATCTTTAATTTTCCAGAACATAAGCTCGGAATCCCCTTATATTTTATCTATTTTCATGGTTTATATTCTTGCTACTAAACAAAATATCACGTATATGTCACAGTGATCTTGTTGTTCCCAAATTGGTTGATAAACCTCATAAAATGTTAATTTGCTTTCCCAATATTTTGTCTTGCACAGAAATAGTAGAGAATCTCTTTAAAAAGACTTGTCTACTCATTTCTCTCTTACTGAATGCGTTGATATAAATACGATTGGGGAGTTATCACAGAGAAGAAGAAGAAGCATAGATCATAAATCAATATTTTTTATAATTGTGCCCAATTATCATCCTACTACTTATTTCTATATTCAATCATTTGGTCAGTGATTCTATCTTCTAAATTCTTGCATCGTTTCTATGAGTAAATGATCACATTAGCCATCTCATTCATTTCAGAATGTTATAAAATAAACTGGTCATTGTAAAACACTGTCCTTTCACTTTTCCAGATCTCTTATTGTATTATTAATTAAAATATCAGAATTATCCAAGACTATTGCAAAACTTTATCATGGTATACAATTGTTAATAATGAAATGGTTGAATCAATCTACCAATAAATCAAATGGATCGGTTAGTAAAAATATTAGCATGGAAACTACACAAACAATACTGGATAAGAATGAAGCTTGTAGACAATCGTTAAAACAACAAATTCATCTAATCAATGAATCGCAAATCTCTACAACAAAAAAAGAAAAAACAGAAATGATAGTCAATAGAAAGGAAACACTTGAAAATAAGAATATGAATGTAAAACAAGCAGCGATTATTATCCAGTCGAATTGGAGAGGTTATTCTGATAGAATGAAAATAAAACGTATGAATGAAAGCATTGGAACTTTACAGGTAGGAATATTTATACTTTTATTTATTTATTTCGGTAATCATAAGAAATTTAATTTTCGACTTGTGAGGACAGTCCACGAATGAGCTTAAGGAAGACCTAAGAAGTTCAGAAAGAGCCGAAGATATTTCATCCAATTGCCCTTTGGAAGAATATTCCAGAACTACTACGTGTAGCTTTCCTATTAGACAAATGCTAATAACCCCTTGTGTGCGGATTGGAGGACTATCATGATGAATTCGTTATTACTAAAAACTATAAATATCTGACAGTTTTGTACTATAGATGACACTGCTTGGAATAGCATTCCTTTCACTTGTGTTCTGTTTTCTCATTTACGACCTGAAGGGGGAGTTCTAGCGTTCTAGTGCTCAAGTTATACGGGGTTTAATAAGAAACTGAGCTTCGAAATATAACACGACTTTTATTCATTCTCAAATTGGAATATGTGGTATTTTGATATTTGATTTTAATAATGATGTATCGAGTAAAGTTACGTTTGGTTATTAAGCTAAGACAGGTATAACCTTACAAGTTATATACATACTTGTTCATGAATTCACAATCCATACTTCAATGCTTAATATACGTACAATATTAAGGAATTTTGGACATTTTTCAGTTTATTTAATAAATGAGTGCCACATATTAGCGTATCATTTTCATTGAGAATTTTATTCCTAATTCTAACTTTCTTTATACATCCAGCTAATTGAGATGCACTGTAATGGTATGGTCATAAAAGACATATGTACATAACTTTATATAATGGGCATGAAATACCCATTGAAAATTATACACATTTTTTTGCAACATCTATCTACTAAATGAATGGAAAAATTGCTCAAAAATGCTAAATATTACATAAAAAGGTTGGATAACCTCACATGCGATAGTTGCTTTACATTTATGGTTATAACTTGTACACAAATTAATAAAATATAATCAACATATCGATTAAGTTCTTAATTATGGACTGTTTTTGACCGGCTATGAATCAATGTACGTAATATCGTTTAGCCTATAAGAATGTGGCTTTATTCAGAAACCACATTTATTGCAAATAATCAATCAAATTCAAGGTTATTGTCATCTTTAAATAACCAAACTTTAATGTTTACTTAACATAGACCGATATCGGTTATGGTTAGTTAGAAAAGATTTACTGACAAGTAAAATGATGTTCTGTTGATTCTAAAATAATTCTTAAGTTTTCAATAGTTGAATTCATGTGTCAATTGAGGCTAGACCACCATGGAAAACCTGGAAGCACTGGACGGCCGTTTCATCCTGGTATGAGACTCCTCGGCAGTACGCATCGACGATCCCACCTCGCGAGATCCGAACCCATGATCTATCAGTCTCGCCGGCAAGCTCTTGTCCACTAGACCACTGAGTTGGCTGGCATCCAACGGTGTTAATGTCTAACTTCAACTAATCCACAAATTTGAGCCACCATCCACAATTGTCAGTTGGATGCCAGTTTAGTGGTCTAGTGGTTAAGCGCTGGCGCGCGAGATCGATAGATCCTTTATTCGAATCTCACTAGGTGGGATCGTGGATACACATTGCTGAGGAGTCCCACAATAGGAAGATATGGCCGTCCAGTGCTTCCAGGTTTTCCATGGTGGTCTAGCTTCAATTGACTCATGTTCTCAACTATTAAAATTATATTTGACAAGTTTGCATTAACAATTTAACTGCATTTTGATAATGAAATTTTATATCAATACTTATCAAATGGTAGATTATAAATCTTTCATGATAAATGTATTCTTTTATCCTTAAACTAAACAAGAATTTTCTCTGAAATCCTTCAACTTATTCTACCATTTCACAAGCGACATTTTAGAGAACGTCAATTGAAAAAATTAGAAAATGAGCAACAAATTCAACTTGAAAAAGAATCTCAGATGATGATCACAAAGAATCGTCATAAACGTTATCGAGAGAAATTAGAAAGAGAAATTAAATTATGGTCAAGTTTACCTGGTTGTTTAGTTGAAAATGAATGGAATAAAGAACGTGAATTAGCTGCTATATCTATTCAACGACATTATCGTGGTTACTGTGTACGAAAATATATGAAAAATCAACGAGATTATTTAAAGCGTAATAAAGCTGCTAGAATAATTCAATTATATTTTCGTAAATATTTATCACGTATAGAGTGTGCATCGTCTGGTAAAGGTGTATTCAAAATAAATTCAACAGAGAATAAATTAATCAATAATAAAAAATTAGAAATCACTATGAAGAAAGTTCTCGAAGTAAGTATCATCTCAACTACTCAATATATTTTCAATATGAATGAATAATTATATAGAGAATAGATTTCTTTCATTAGAGTATAGTTTATTAGTTTAAATTCTAATACATGTTATTGATTATTGTTTATGCTATAACGCCTGTCTCGCCTATTAGAGAGCAGCGAATTATCGATCGAACTAAAGACACATAAAACACGTAAGAGCAACCTAGAGTTCTGATTGGCCCTGCTTCCTGGTCTAGCCCAGCCAGTTGAGTCCAGAACACAAATCTCAGCCTCTATGACATGAATCATTATATTTCACACATACACTGTTTATACACCAAACAAACAGACTACATCGTGCCATAAAATAGAGAGTAACCTTTGTACAAGATTCGACCTCCAGGAAATGACACAAATAATTATTGACCAATAGGGAAATGACACATTGGAAGAATATTGACCAATGGGGAAATGACACTATTTCTCACTCAGGAATAGCATTAGATAATTTCTGGGGTATTTTCTGAATACCCTAACAGTTTGATGTACTGATATGTGACAATTCGACCTAATCCACAAGTTTATCAAATTCTATGTTGTTTTACACTAGCTGATCAGTGACGACTTGCCCTATTAGAAAACAGATGGAATAGTTTTCAGAGGTATTTAAAAATGGTTCATAATAATGTGAATATGATAATTTCAAATGCTACATTTGGATGTTCCCGTATTGTAAATTTAGAACAACATAGATATAAGCGAACAACATTGTTTTTGATTAGATCCTCATCAGCTATTACTCTAATATACAGTAATGTATTTATATGCATATACGAAATCATTAAACCAATCAAGGTAGTTTATAAGCTAATGATAACAATGAAAACGATTAGATAATAAGTAAAAAGTACAAACTGATAGTGTGATAACAGGTGTACTAGTTTTGATAAGAATAATAAAGGCTCAAATCAATGTTACATAATTGGAAATAGGTCAACGATTAGAAAAAACTATTGTTAGGGTTGAAAAGCGAGAGCTATCATGGGTTCACGTAGTTTGAGAACGAGATCGAGGATTCGGTGACTAAGGTCCAGTAAGCTAACTATTGACGCGTCCCAGCCCCGCTATCTAGAGTGAGAAGATCAAGCTTAGAATAAAAATATATTCTGTAACAACCAGAAAACCAGCAACCTTTTTACAAGACAATTTTAAAACGTATATATACAAATATATATCGATATTGCCATGGAGCTTTTAAACATTTAATCGATAAATTCGTCAATCAACTATGTGCGTGGGTGGTAAGGAATGCCCACGTATACATCTACATACAAGCTCCACAAGATAAAATTACAAGCTATGAGTTTTTGGGGATCTATCGTCCCCAACAAATATAGACACTGAAATAATATTCTTAAAAATTATGATAAGATGATGTAATAAGAAGTGTTGAGATAATTAGACTGTGAAACGCATATTTGAGAGAAAATAAAAAAAATGGTAGAACGGGGTGAAAAGAAAATAATAAACGAAGAGAATGTTTGAAAATAATAATAATAATAAATTCATTGATTCAGAACAAGGGAGGGATATGGGTGTTACAAATTTCGTCAATGATGAAAGTATCATCAACGTAACGATAGTAGAAATCAAGCTTATTGATAACCTCTATGAGAGGTCCATTTTCTAATTTCGCCAGAAAAAAATCCTCAAGGATGGGACCTAGAGGCGAACCCATCGCTATACAATTAATTTGTCTATAATATGTGTTATTAAAGACAAAATGAACATTTATTGTGCATTTCAAAAGTAATTCTTTAAGACTAACCTCAGGAAATCCAATCTTGATTTGTTTTTCCTGTAGTTGTTGGCACACAAAATCAATAATCTCTGTTAACGGTACATTGGTGAACAGGGAAGCAACATCTGAAGACATTATACGTTTCCCATTTCAGTTCATATGTTCCACCTTAGAAATGAAATCTAAGACATCCTTCACACTTCTGTTGACGACTAGTTTAAATAAATAGTCGATTTATTCATATTTTTATGATTTATGTTACTATTATTATTCTAATTTCCTAATCACCTCTGCTCGTAACTCTTCTAGGGCTACTGCTGGTTCGAAGCCTTGACAAAGGAGGAGGGTTGGGCATAGGGTCAGCATCCCAGTCCCATAAAAAACAACCTTGCTAAAAAAACGCTAACCAAAATAAGCAAATTAAACCATTTGAATTCTGCCCTGTGATTTGAAGAAAGAATTAGGACGTCTTTATGGTAAAAGCTGTGATTCTTCGGAAATTGCGAGGCCAATTTCTTTTCTAACGTCCAGAGCAATAATTAATATAGGTACATGGAATACTCGGATAATGTGGCAGACCAAGAGGATCAATGAAGATATACAACTTGGTGGTACTCAGAATAAGTGAAGCCTATTGGACCAAAGCTGGACAGAAAAGGATAGATTCGGGAAAAATACTGCTGTGCTCGTGTCACGAAGAATAAAATGCTGCACACACTCAGGGAGTTACTCTGATGCCATCCAAAGAAGTACGTTAAGCACTTGTACGATGGGAATCTCATGGATCCAGGATCATCAAAACATCTTTCAAAACCAAAGAAGGAGGGAATCACAATGAATGTTATCCATTGTTATGCACCCACCAATGATAGCGACGATGATGATAAAGAATCAATTTTACGAGAGACTCCAGTCGATGTTAGATAAGTGCTCAGGAAAGGACATAACAATCCTGACGGGATATCTAAACGCCAAAGTCGAAACGGACAACAACGGTTATGAAGATATCATGGGACGAAATGGACTGACTGGGAAAAAGGAACGAGAATAGTGACACATTTGCAGTTTTACGTGCATCCAACAAAAATGTTATAGGCAGCATGGTATTCCCCCACAAACTTATACACAACGCTACATGGGTCTCGTCGCGTCACACCATAAAGAACCGAATCGATCACATGTGCATCACCAAGATGTTTAGAAGGTCAGTGGAAGACATGACAACCAAGACAGGAGCTGACATAGCTTCAGATCACCACCTAGTAGTGACATACATTAGGTATAAATAGTAGTATGTGGCAGGAATCGAAGGTAGAATTCTTATTAGCTAAAAATTAAAACAAGGTAAACTGAAATGAAAGAACGATGGAATTCGTAAGGGACAACTCAAGGATGATATGCCAATGGTGTAAATAATGCATTGTTTTCTGATTCCACGAATGTAGTGTGTAACTTTGCACAATATGGTCGATTTTCCCTTTCCCAAGTTTTTGTTCTTACAATACTAACCGATTACTCTACCTTTGATTCCACCCAATAGAACTGTAGGGAGTAATTAGCTACAGATGAATTTCTTAAATAAGCCCATATAATGTCGTTCACAATGTTACAACAGGACTGTAGTCAAAACAAATAATTATTTACATACCCAACAATTGTATTTTGTTACTAAAATATGAATTAAAACGATTAGTAGAAAAATTCCAAACAGTAGTCTGTTACGAAAAATGAATCAATAACAAGAACTAGTCATGCTTACATAACTGGTACGATTTCATGATCGATCGTTAAATAAAAATGGTCAAAGTATTAACCGGTGAAGGAATAAATGGATGTTTAACTCAAATATCATAGGTTAATTTACCCTTGTTGATAGAAAATATCAATCTCCCTCAAACAACCACCATATCTTTTGTCAGCATTTTTCAGTGTCAGACCTTGTGAACTACGGTAACCATTTCTGCCATGTAAGGGGACATTATCATTACTAAAACTTGCATAGAATATGCTTGTTGTATTGTAATTTGCACTTATTTTCCCTTTTGCAACACCAACATCTCTAATATTCTTATCACTACTTCGGCTAACAAGTAGGCTATATTTATTTATTAGACATATCAGCTTGTTTCCTAACAAACTGAATAAGATCGCCAAACAGAGGCTCTCGATCTCCTTTAATAACCCCCTAAGCTACCTTTAGCCACTCTTGTTGAACGTGAGTTGGAAATTAAAAAATTATAGTATGAACAGTTATAGAAGAGTTTAAATCAGAAACGTAATTCATCTGTTCGATAGTCAAACCGCATGCTTGCATTACTCTAGATTATCTTTTCAAACCATCTGATTGGTCCCTTCTTGCGTTAGGAAACTTTAACAGGTTGTAAGTAAATGTGCTTACTGAAACGTACCTTCGACCAAACGGTTCCTCCGGATGCTTTAATGTTTGACGGTAATCTATCTCCAATTCTAACAAGGTACTATGAAGGATAGCACCTTTTGCTTTTCCGTCACAATACTGGATTACATAATACAATTTAGCTCTAAATCTAACATTTACATCGTCGATTCACTTTTTGAACTAAATTATAATAACTTACTGGTGTACCATCGAACCTTAAGATTGTTCTCTGTGGTGTATATAAATTTTTTAGTATTTCATTCTCATTAATGTTTACTGACTGACCAAAACCTTCACTTCCCCGATGACTTAGTTTTTCCAGTTACACGTAACCAGGATAATCTAATTCTATCAGGGAGTTGGTCTAAATTGGTAAGGAGTCAAATAATTTGTTGAATAATGTCAAAATTATTAGACTAGTCTTAATAACCATAAATTAATATTGAAAAATTGGACAAAAGTGAACAATGTAAATGTTGTGGTTAAATAAAGGTGAAGTCAAACAAACGAAACCAAAACATTAAAGGATGAGGAGTGCAGCATTGAATTGGTCACCACGGCAGTGCCAGGGTGAAACAAGTTGTTTTGCATACATAATCTGGGTCTAAGACAAAGTTTGCTGTTATTTGCTACTTGAAAAGTAGTACCAGGGTTTGCTGAATAAACCACGTCCTATTTATGTTTTACCATGGCATTGCTAGGTTGTTAACGACCATTCATAATTGAATTCTTTGAGTTAACTAAAAACTCAGTTTTAATTAGATGATCATTATGAAATTTTCAAAATACTCTTTCTTAATCCTAGTAAAGTTATGATGAAACGTTGGTTTTGATAATTGTTGTGAATTACATCATTTAAGGTCAGTGTATACTGTTCCATGTGAAAAGATTAATTGGCAGGCTACATGATAAGGTGGTGTTTAAATCACTCTTTTTATTAGTTGATTTGACTTTTTAAATAGTAAGTCGAGTTTAATTTTTCTCGAAATTGAAGCTAATTAGTATGATATTATCGTTCATATAAAAAAATTCAAGCCAATTCCAATACCTGTCGATTTATGCTTTATTTCTTAGCTAGATGGTTAATTAGGTCTAAAGATATTTTTTGTCATAAACTGATATTTTCCACTAAATTTTAGAGATTTTCGAGTTAAGTAGTTTCAGAAAGCTGATATTCACCGAGAAGGTGTACGTGTAAACTTGAGAGAAGCCGGATAGTCTCCAAGCTTAAAACTTTTTTTTTAAACTAGCATCCGTGGCGAGATCAATAAAGTGACCAAGTGATAACCGTATAACATTGAACTATTTAACAGAATTTTACTAAACCTTAATGTTTTATTTCTTAAAACCACTCAGGAACATCAAAAATGGTGTGAAACACATCAACAAAGTATGAGACCAATCAATCAATTAGAAGATGTCCATAAAGAAACCCTAGTTAAAATTGATCAGTATCGCCGTAATTATCGAGTAAACAGTATTAAAGTAAGATTCATTTGTTCATTATTGTTGTTCTAGTATATTTATTCACATGAAGTGAAGTCTATCTATTTAAATCGACAAGAATATTTGCAAGTTATGATGAGACATTAAGCAATAAATGATTATGTACAATATGATACTGAATCGTCATTGTTCTTACATTTATGTTTAGATAGAAAAGTTTAGAATTAGAGTTTATTGGTGTCAATATTCATATGAAGAACATACTATTAAGGTTAAGATGATTTATGCATTCCATCGGAAAATTATTATTATTATCTTTATTCAGTATTATATTTTTGGTACAATATAGAATTCTCAGCACAAAGTATTTCAACAAGTTTCCCTTTCTTATTTCTTGATCAGTTCCTTGCGATAAATATTGAGTGGTTGCCAGTTAAATTTTAGCAGTTCAGGAATCAATATCTGAATAATGTATATTCTTTTCGATGAATATAGTCAGCAACCATGATGTCTGATTGGGCTGTTTTGTAACTTGTATGGCGAAATGTCATAAACTTCTCACAAACGCACCTGAATAGGTTATGAGACTAATAGGCATAATGATGTGTTAAAACAAACAAGCAAAAAATTAACTTGTTGAATTATCCAGTTGCGGGAATGGGTACCCCAGATATTCAAGCAGGTTATCATATTAAACTATTTGGTCGACAGTGTAACTATAAAACACAATGTTTTCCACTGACCGATGACTAATTAGAACCAATTACGTAGGTTACTGATAAAACAAGTAGACTACTATTCATCTTGTTAAAATACGTAATAAATGTTTCGGTCTGTATAGAAACGAAAGAACCTTTGAGGTTGTAGATGAGTAATTTTAATGAACACAAAATAAATGGAGTCAGATCAGAGAATAAAGAAATAAAATCTCTACTGTGTAACATTCTGTTAACAAAACCATAAAGCAATGTCAATTTTATTTGGATGCGATTCTCCCCCTCGAAATGCGAAATGTTACTTCAGGATTCAATGGCATCGACACCCAAACTAATGATAGGCGGTAAAGTAGTTGAGCGTGTCGACCGATTCACTTATCTTGGGAGTCTCGTCAGCCCTTGTGGTCTGGTGTGTGACGAAATCTCAGCACGGATACAGAAGGCTCGACTAGCTTTTTCCAAATTGCGTCATTTATGGCGTAGGCGAGATATCCGTCTATCAACCAAAGGACGTGTTTACTGCTCAGTAGTTCTTTCTGTCCTACTTTATGGCAGTGAAACATGACCAGTAAGAGTAAAGATATTCGTAGGTTACTAGTATTTGATCATAGATGTCTTCGAAACATTGCTCGTATATCATGGGATCATCAAGTAAGTAAGGCAGTTGTTAGGAAATCGGTACTAGGTAAGGATGGCAAATCAGTTGAAGTAGTGAAACTTCATCAGCTGAGATGGTTGAGATACGTGTTATGTATGCCCAACCACCGACTGCCCCGACGTGCGATGTTTTATGGTGTAGGAGTAGGTTGGAATAAAGCTAGAGGCGGCCAGACCAAAACATGGCACAAATCCATGAAGTCACTGACAAGTGGACTGAACCATGTTGGTAGGTGTAGATTACCTGGTTGGGGACCGCAAGATGATAGCAACCGATGGTTAGAGACCCTGAATGATATGGCTGAGAATCGTTTTGTATTTGACACGAAATTACAGAGCATCTCACTAAAATCTGAGAACCATATATAGCAAATAGTTAATTTGCAAAATATTAATCCATCGTAGCAAACTTGACTGTTCCCTGGCAAATATCAGTCCATTGTCTCAGATTTCATTGTTCATGCATTTTCATATCAATTGTGTTCCGTTTCCGTTCTTTCCTTGTCGATCTTCTGCTAAAATACATTTTATACCTGACCACTGTTATAAATATAAATAACCCACATCACAATATGGCAACTTGAACTGATGTACTTATGTAAGAAGTCCTACGTTGTTACTGACTGACTGATTTGGATCTCCTATATAATACACAGCACTAGAAATCACTTGCATGTCAGATTAAATATAATAAATTTAGAGAAAATATCGTTACATAATCATGTACACTGTCTATATAAATTTAATGATTTTTGACCTAATCATCACATATATTACATTGGTGCCACATTTTAAAATATAACGTTTTGCTGAAAAGATTCAACGGATAACTATATAAATTATATAATTGATAAATATCTCTAGGAAAAGATACTTTATTTGGTTATTTATTAATATTCACTCCCAATTATTAAATTACAAATTCAAATTCACTTAATTCAATCGAAAATTTAGTGAAATATCATAATTTCTATTTTTTTTTTTTCAGATTATTCCTTTCCTTCACTTGATATTGTTTTACATGTATCTTCCCATTATTATTTAGGACTGTAATTGATCAGTTTCTTACTGGCATATGTGCATGCTGTGAGGATTGCCTCGATATTGCCTAATATATTTCATTCTCCATAATGCTTACTGACTGATTGAAACTTTCACTTTCCTGATGACGTAACTTTCCCAATTACACGTAACTTGGATTCCACTGCTAACTATTATCCATCTTTGCTTATTTCTATCCTTCTTAATTTACTTTAAAACACTTGTTTTTACTAATACATTTATTTTACTTTTAATTTTTCAGTAATACATAACTAGTGATGTTGGCTTCAAATGACTACTTATATATATATATATATATATATATATATATATATATATATATATATATATATATATATATATATATATATATATATATATATATATATATATATATGAGTCCAATACAGTTTTCTTCGATCAAACTAGTGGATACAATATAACTGTCATTCAAATAAAATAATATCAGTCAATACCCAGTACAATATTTACTTGAATAATGAGTTTGATTAATTTTACTAATTATAATTATCAACAACAACAATAGTGTCCTATTACTTCAATTATTCATTGACAACAGTTTGGATTACGTTACCATATTCTTATTCTTCATTCTAGTCAACATATATTAAGACTTAGATTTAACATGTAAGTAGCCAACAGAGAGAAATCTATGAGATAATAAAAAATGTATAGATAGTATCTGGATGGAATAATTGTCCAACTTCTCTATTCTAGTTTAAGAGTCTTCAGGAAGACGAAACTTTCATTCTATCCTTTGTGATTAATGAGACTGCGAAGGACATGGTCTCTTAACAGTGCAATAGATTGGTATTTAATTGACATCGGGAATACCAATAACATTCCTCATGCTGTTAAAATTATTAGCAGACAAAGAAATACTGTTTCTCTCCGTTTTGCTGAAGCGATCGCGACAAAAATAACTCAAACCGGATCTATATATTCAAAAATGAACAATAATAAATCTAGTACTACCCTGGCAATTCAATTTTTTGGTCACTAGTTATATTTTTTAATGCTTAGTTTGTTATATTTCTCTTTCGTTACCGAATTCTTAAACAAACCCTTCACCCATACATTTCTATTCACTTGATTCTCTTAAATTATGTGAACTCTTCACATTCTATTCAATTATTAAGTAACCTATCTTACCAGTTTTTTGATTCCATGAATCTTATGTAAACCCACCATAACCTCTAAAATTACCACATAATTTATCTAATCTGCAAAGATGGATAGTGGCTAGCATCGAAATCCAGGACGCAAGTTTTATCCTATCTGGGACTCGTTTGCTGGATGTTCCTGCACCTCAGAGTTGATGTTCACTCTGGGACTCGAACTAAGTACCGTCCGCTTTAATAAACACTATTGCACACAGTATGCACATATGCCAATAAGCGACTGACCGATTGCAGTCCTAAACATCAATCAATTGCATGAGATTAATGCATAATTCGATATTTTCTAAACGTGTTTATGATTTTTAATGTTTATTTTCTTACTCACCTGTATGTAAATATTTTTTTAGAGTCAAACTAGACAAGTGACATTAACAAGAATGAAGATCGACGCAGATTTACTGTTGAATGAGTTCACTGACGAAGAAGAAGAAGAAGAAAAAGAAAAGGATAAACAGTTAAAAAATGAAATAAAACTCAAGAAAACAACAACACTAAATGAAATAGTTGATAAACATATTGAAAATTCTGATTTAACTAATGCATTTAGTCAATTCACTTGTCGTGTTCAACCATTGACACGTTTAGCTCAAATGGAACATCATGATAAAATGATAAGAATGAATTTAAACAAATCATGGTGGAATATATTCATGGATGAATGGAGAAAGAAACAAGATGAGTATATACTATCATATAATAAAAATTGCTCAAATTTGATAGATACCGATGTTACTAATTCAAATGTTGATAATGATGATTTATCATGGTTACCTGATCGATTTATTGAAGAATTGGAGAGTCGGGATATTTTTCAACGGTGAAATATGCATTTTTCTTTGAATTATATCTTTTTACCTAGGGTAATGCAGATGAACGTAAACTAGATTTATCAGAATTAATTTTATTGCTAAGGAAAAATCATATAAATTTCAAGAACTGGATTCAATAAGTTGTACTTTAACATTTTGTACACCATACCGGTGATAATAGAACATGTTACCTGATGTTATATTCTAACAGTGGATTAAAATTTTTCATGATGTTTTCATATCGTTTTGTTCGATTGAGTTATGAACTGATGTTTATAAATTATTTATAGTTTGTAGTTTATGTTATGACAAGGACAAGTGAATAATAATTGGTATGACCTTTATTTTCATCCTCCACTATTTTATCGGTTAATCAATAAGTAGATCATAGTCACAATATTATGTTTAAAATAAAATAATGGAAAGATACAAGTAAACAATAACAAGTGAATTTAAACTTCGCCCCATTACACGAACAGTTGGCTATCAGGACTCAGTTGCTAAGTGGATAACGTGATGACGTTTGAAGTGAACGCTACTGGGTTCGAGTCCTAGAGTGAACATCAACCGTGAGACACAGGTACATCCGACTGATCAGTCCCAAATGGGACGAAACGCGCATCCTGAATTCTACTGCTAACTACTATCCATCTTTGCTTATAAAGCTTGTGACTTCAAGCAATATCGAGGCAGTCCACACAGCACTTACATATGCCAACAACAGACTGATCAATTGCAGTCCTAAATAATAATGGGAAAATACAAGTAAAAAACACCATGTAAACATGTTTAAAATAGTTTGTAAAGCCAACTAATAATAATTTAAATCAAAAAATTATATTATTTTCATATAACTCAGTCAGTTGACAAGTGGTTTTGTCATTGAAAATCTACTTAATTTTCGGTTGGGCACTGATCCCTTAGAAAAAATCTAACTTCAACTACATCAAACTCGCTAGCATCTTTAAAAACTAATTGAGATTTAATAACTGCTGATAGTTAATAAATCATGAATATTAGATCAGTGAAATGCTTCCGGACAGAGTGTGAAAACATTGTCGGATAGTTATAAGTAATGTAGAAACTTTTAAATATAAGCATCAGTCCCCGTTGACACATATCACAGTGAAATGCAATTATCAAGACAAATGACACATAAGTAATAATAATATTATTATTAGTTGCAGTAGAAGAGCATAAGCAATATGATTCAACAATGAATTCGGGAAACTGGAGAGTATAAGATAATCTTAAAGCTCTAGGCCCAGTGAAAGGCAAAGACTAAATACATCTGTATCACTGCGATCGATTTTAAGCTGCGTCACCTATCGTTTTCAACTACTGTAGCACTCATGACGAAAAGAAAAAACATGACCAGCGACGTTTATAATAATTTTAGTTAACTATAGCTGCAGATTATTTATAGTTTATTAGATTTATTATCAATTACTTCTTTTAATCAACTTAAATTGATTTAAAATAGATTCTTTGCAATCGTTAAAATTTTCTCGCTGTTGTTATTAAGAGATATAGATGATCGGTCTCTGTTGGTACATGTCCAAATTCAGTGAACTGTCTCTATGCGCTCTTTAGTTACAAGTTTCAAGTCATACTGCAATAGGAGAGGCAAGTGTATTCAGCTGAAGAGTCCAAAACAAGATGAAAAGAGTGTGCTGAATTCCATCGATAGTCATAATGAAAAAAATATTAAGATAGATTAATTGACAGTTTTTCACGAAATAATATTTTCGCAATATATAAATAAAAGAGTAAAAGTCCACTTGAATTGCCCATTACTAAACACTATCCAAGTAGGCTACATATAAATTGGGGTTTCGTTTCAATAGTATAACGCGTATCCACAAATGATGATGTTTAATTTAATCAAATAAACAAATTCTATATCCAACCTTCTGAAAATATGTTATCATTATTCTTCACTGAGATGGTTTGTAGACATTTCGTTTGACAATGAAAACAATTTTCACCAAATACTAATATTACCTGAAGAATCATTCACATTAACCAAAGGAAATTGGACAGCTGTTTAAATTCGGTTCCTTAATGATTCTTTGACAGCTATAAACAAGTCCTAACCTCTATGGTCTTCGAATATTTTGGTAAACAGAATTATTTTTCAATCCTAAGTTGTGTAGTGCTGATTTTTAAATATTTCCAAATTAGAATGGAATCAGCTGTTCGATTTCCCACTATTTTTCGACAATTCTCCGGTTGATGTTAACTAATGATTCACAAAAATAGCTCGCGAGGCGGTATCATGGATGCACACTGCTGAGGAGTCCCACAATAGGACGAAACGGCAGTCCAGTGTTTCCAGGTTTTCCATGGTGGTCTAGATTCGATTGACTCATGATCTCAACTCATAAAATTACTATAATACCCACAAACCCCTTCTGATACTAACCAACATATGCTCATTAGTGACTGGTTTCAAGAGCTATCTCCTGGAGTTCTAGTGAGAAGCTGTGACCAGTGGAGTTCAACCGGGTCTGTTGTGAGATATTAACTCACTGAAGACAATGGTGGATTTGTTGCTCAATTTCGTGGATTAGTTGAAATTAGACATTAACACCGTTGGATGTCAGCCGGCTCAGTGGTCTAGAGGTTAAGCGTTCGCGCGCGAGATTGATAGGTGCTGGGTTAGAATTTCGGGAGGTAGGATGGTGAATGTGCACTGCTGAGGAATCCCACACGAGGACAAAAAGGCCATCCATTGCATCCAGGCTTTCCATAGTGGTCTAGCTTTAATTGAACCATGATCTTAACTATTGAATTTACTATGAAATCCACGAGCTCCTTTCTGAAATATCTCCAAATTAAATAAAATATCTTCAAATTTGATTAAAAACAAGAAGGTCCCTTTTGATTTTTTCATATATCAAATAATTTGAGGATAAATTCACCCTCTCAGAAATATAATTATGCCATAGACTATCATTAAGTATACACTGAGCAATACTTCGATAAAAATCAATGAAACTTTGATGAAACTTTTCATAAATATTCTGTATTAGATAGTATGTTTATGGGAAACGGAATGATAGTACTAGCTTATTAAAATACTTTCTAATAAAAGCATTTTAATGGGATTTGAAGTCCAATATATAAAGGAAACTTTTCTGTGAACATACATTAGATATATTCAAAATTTAATTAGACGTTTACCGACGACTTAACAATCTATCCATAGATATAAGATAGTTGGAGGTGAATAATATACAGCTCAAGATCTTACTTCTGGAATACCAAGGCCAATCTTTCATCTTGAAGAAATGGATGCTTTTTGTGAAACTTATTTTACTATGTATCAGCCACTGATATTGCGTTGCTGGAGACACAGGTTACCTTCTATAAGATTGAGATTTTTACTCTGATGGATTATTATCAAAACTGAAGAAAACTGGTACTTGCTACAGGAAACAGAAATTTTAAAAGGCCCAAAAAGGGAAGTATAGTGTATAAAAGATGATTTATTATGCACCGAAAATAGGATATCTTTATCGGAATGCACTGAATTCTATGCTTTGCTTATACAGATCTATATTCACACTTTAATACATTCAATCGGGCAATAAATGAATATTGATTATCCAGTAACTTAATGTATGCAAACAATTTTGAATGTTCATATATTAAACTCTTTTAACTGATATATTAATTAAATTACGGAGTTAGATGGTTTGTTACTTTCTAACAATCACTTAAGTATCAACTTATATCAAATCTGAACCTTTAAGCTTGTTGTATTCTATCAACTTGATGTCACAGTCACCTTTGCTTAATCCAAAGGCAATGGAATCTGATCTTTACAGTATAATAGTCATCATTATGTTAAATGATTATAGTATGACAGTTTAGGTTGTCAATTTTCAACCTCCGGATAAGGAGTTCAACCACGATGTATACATATACTGATAATCCTTGTAATTCCGATTCTTCAATTACAAACACTTATTATCCAATATTATATTACATTCCAAAATGATTACGGTTGTAAGCATCTGATGAGAACACACGAAATAAAAACGAATTCATATTATTCTGTGTCAGATTTTTTTTGCATTATTCGAATTTATAAAGGGAAAAAGTTATTGTATGAAATCGCATTACAATTTTAACTTTACCAAAAAGAGAAACAAAGTAAAATCATCAGTTTATCATATTTCATCTTTGATTATGGGAGAGAACAAACCAGATTCCAGCAAAGGAAGAAATCAGGAAGAAGCACTGGAAGTGGATAGGAAACAAATTGAGGAAAGCACTGAACTGCATCACAACGCAAGCCCCCACTTGCAGTACTCAGGGTCAAATGAGAAGAGGAAGACCAAAGAACACATTACGGCGAGAAATGGAGACAGACATGAGGAAAATGAACAAGAATTGGATGGAACTAGAAAAAACGGCCCAGGACAGAGTGGGTTGGAGAATGCTGGTCGGCGGCCTATGCTCCATTGGGCGTAACAGGCGTAAGTAAATAAGTAAAGAAACTATTCTTTTACCTATGAAAATATTAGACAAAACAATTTTGAGAAGCTTCTTATTACTATTTACATGATGTGACAGTACTTCAGCATGGAGTTCATAATATTTCATTGTAAGAATGATATTACTATTACTGCATGCACGGATTTTAAGATATTTACGTCTCATTCTACAAGAAGATATACCACGAGAAAGATATGAATAAAGGGGATGGTTAGTATCTGATAAGATAACACCTGCCAGGAGTTTTCAAGACTTTAGATGTCTGTCCACAACCATATTACTAATGACCTCAAAAGATTCACCACACACCTTCCTAATTACCTTCAGCACTCTCTGCAACACATCAAAATATTTCCTCAGAAGTCCAGGAAAGAATAATAGAGAACAGTAAAGAATAATAGGTGATATGCAGGAATTGACATACTGTAAGAGTAAACGTCAAGTAAATCAGACGGAAAACTTTCTTCGATAACAGTAAAAAATGAAAGGACCAAGAGAGATCAGAGGAAAAACTTACACCAAGATAATTGACCTTCTTTTCGTTCAGATAATTTGCTTCGGATAAAATAAATAAATCCTAGTCGTAAAAAGACAGCGCTAACCATTACAGCTACTTCTAATACCGACTGACATATTCCAAATTGAAAGTATTTTAACTTTGACAATTTAGGGAATGATTGTGTTTACATGACATATCTACTCTTAATTTCGTATTACATAAGTGATATATGAAATCGAAGAACGTATTGTATTTCTACTCTTTGGAATATTACACATAATTATATGTTTATAATCGAAGTGAACTTGAAAAACAAGTGAACAATTCAAGTTTAATTAATGCTCAGCATCCAAAAGTCTACAAGAATAACTGATGTAATGGATTCTTTTTATATAAAAAAAAAATACGATGACATAGAATGAAGATTTAAAAAAAAAGATAGAAAAACAGATAAACAAAATGAATGGGTTAACATGACAGTGATCAGAAAGATCCTAACTCTTCAAAACACATGGGTATTCTTTCGAACAAACAATACTCTTGTAGTGTCTATTATTATGTTAAACCCATATGCCCTATTCTAGCTTTCGGACAGCCCAATCTATTCATTCTACTTGAGTCCTTTTTTGACCTTGTTAATAATTATCCGCTTAGCAATCTTGACTGTTTTTAAATGAGCGTAAATGTGTGTGTACATTTCTTATCCTATTACTCATCACATGTCTGTAACTTATTTTTTCAGTGACTATAAATATTGATTATTGCTTGACAAAATAGAGTTGGCTTACCCGCCATCTCCACTGCGCGTCGTTTCGCTTCTCTCTATCCTACTCGCTTCGTATACAAAATATATGTGTTCAAAAGTCCATTCACGTTATTTGACTTACTTAATTCCGCTATTGACTAACGCTATTTAAGTCGATGATCATATACGAGGATTGGCGGCATACATATTTCAATAACAAACATTCATACGATCGAATTGGATTCAGATCCCGGTCCACTAAAGTGGAGAGCACGTCAACAAACATCGTCCGATCTAAATGACGACAAAATAAAGGGCCCCACACTCAAAGATTAAAACTGGTAAGAATCAAAAATCCAATACACAAGGAGGAACAACAAAACTGTGTTAATGAAATCAAATGGAGTTATTGTAATGCTACATACGCACGTGAAACTGTGGTGTTTGTATAAACTAGTGATTCTTTTATACTTGATGTCTGCTTGGTCTAAATTGTATTACTTCGGGGATTCCTAGTTCGTATAATAATTCAAATACTTCTAATAATCACAGTTTTCCTAAAAATTCACCGATCAGAGGCGATAAATAGTGAATGAAATTTCTTTTCACACCTCAGATCCACTTACGTATACACAAAATCTGTTATCTTAACACACATTTCATTTCACACCGTGTCTCATGCACACTAAAGCGGATACCTACTTTAAACGTTGTTAACATTTTTGGATGACTGGTTTAGCATACAGTTAACCAGAGAACCACGTACTTATTTATATTCGATAATTTTTATGTTTGATTATATTTCTCTGAAAAACCTTGAACCACGTTACCAGGCGAAACGTTGGATTCACTCCAAATTCATTCACTGAGATTTTACAAATACATTTATGCCCCCATAAACATAATGAATGGTAACTTTTGTGATCCATTTATGGATCAATACTATACGTACATTTTTATCGTATAATTGTTAAATAACTAAACTATTCATATTCATGTCTCTCTTATCATAAGCTTTATTTTGACCCATAAACTATTATTATACGATTTACCATTCTCGAATTATGCCCTGTCTATTAATCACTACCTCCTACGTTCACAACCACATTTGGCCAAATCTTGTACAAATGTTGTTTCCTATTTTATGGTACGATGTCTGTTTGATTGGTATATAAAACCCATATGTTTGAAATAAATGATTAATATCGCAGAACTTCGGGTTGGTGTTCTGGACTTAACTGGCTGGGATAGGCGGGAAGCAGGACCAATAAGGGCTCTAAACTGCTCATACGGGTTTAGGCGTCATTGATCCGATCGATGAGTCACTGCTCCCTAATTGGCTGTCACAAGTTATAACAATTGAAATAAAGCTCATGATAAGAGGGACATGAATATGAATAGCTTAGTTATTTAACAATTATACGATAAAAATGTATGTTTAGTATTGATCCATAAATGAATCACAAAAGTTACCATTCATTACGCTTATCGGGACATAACAACATTCTTCCCCCTTAATGTCTCACATTAATTCCACGCTCGAATACTGTGAAACTATTCGATCAAATTTAGACGAAATCTCTTGTGTAACATAAACTTGCTTGAAATTGAATATATATCGATTGTCATTCAGTAGTTAATAATACTTGTGCAGCCGATTTTCCGAGGAGTTACCTTCTGAAAGCCATCCCACATAGGTATCAAGTAACCAGAAAATTCGAAATGTTTGTTTCACACGTAGCTGCTTATTGCCATCTTTAAGTCTTTATAAGTTGTGATACCTTACAATCTTATTGCCTTATACAGGTTGGCAACCACGAATTATTAACTCTCCCCTTACCAGTATAATTACAAAATACAGATTTGCTGATCCACATACATATACAACAGTCCTACGCTCGATCCATGTTAAATGAAAGATTATATTGTAAATCCCACAAGCAGCTTGAAAATCTCAAAATAATGATTTACATTCGTATTTGGATCGCGTCATGAATCAACACACTTGATCAAATGTATCACCTAAAAGTAAACCCAAAAACAACCAAAGTATATTAAATGAACCTCTAAATAGCATTGTGCGATTAACAGATAAGAACATCTTTCATGGTCACGCCTACGGAGTTCAGGAGATTCTTCACGGTGACCGCGACTAACAGAATTGTATTGGCCGTTTTAGCTCACCACATGATAACTACAGAAGAGTTGAGTAATAAAAAGGCGAGTCAGAAAATATTGTATCCAGAATTGCATCTGGAATAAAGTTAAATAATTATAGGTTTTAGTCTTGATAGAAAGGAATTTCAACCCAGTTCTATTTTTTTAGGAAAATCGCTAGATTTTGTCTTTTTTTTATATGACTAAATAGGGATTTCTAAACTGCTCAAGGACTTTTAAGACAACTCCCTATCCTCGTTCACATGATCGACTACAAAGTTTCTATCAACATGGAAAAACCAGATATGAACAATTCGATACGCTTGACAAGTTATCTCGACAATGAAAAATACTGATACAAATCTGATATGTTAACAGTCGATCCTAACCTTTACAGATGAGAGTCCGTATTTTTACCCCAGAATCTGGAATATAATCTGATTCGTAAACTTTAGGCACAATCAAGCATATGCCAGGTTCTTATATCCAAAGACCAGATTCGTGTGTCAAGTTCTTGAATTCGGGATTTTTAAGACTGTCATAAAGCCGAAACAAACCTACAGTGAATTAATAAAGCTTTTGAAATTACGTGATAAGCTTAGTTTCTTATCAATCAGTGAACAGTAATCGATGTTATAACATTCTTTAGGGTCTATAATATTTTATAATCTAGGATTTGAAGCGTAACCGGTAAATTGATAATTTATATATTACCATACTTCATCTACGTTTTGGGTAAATGAACACAATTAACTGTAGTTAATTGGTCAGCGTTTTATGCCTGAGTTCATGAGATTTACCTGTAAAGCCAAAAAAAGTGCATAGTTTTGCGGAACAAGTAGGAAGTATTCAGCAACCACACTTCGAGACTTCGTCAACCTTGCACTGTCTGTACAAAAATCGCTTTCAACAACCCGGCTAATTTTATATAATTGGTTCCTATTATTCCAACCCAACTAATAGTTTGAGAAAACTTAACCCAAAAGCATTAACAAGAAATATCGATTATGAAGTAAATTATATACCCAAGACATAAAATTGTATTTGCCCCCTGGTACGGTCGAAGGTGGAGAGAGTCCACTCTCCATCTCGAAATACTCGCACATGGTCATTTATACAGCCATTGCCAGAGAAGTCCTACTCACTGCCTTCTAGTGGCATTACAGTTATTTACCAAATTGAGAGGATGAAAAGCGAACGTTCGGGGCTTTGAACGAGTTGGTGGACACGGAGGGTCCATCTGGAGGAGTTGGAAAACCATGATTTCAAACCAATGGTGCACATGGTCTCCAGTATGCCGAAGGGACAAATGGCGTATGAACCAATTGTTGATCATCGACCGCTATGGGACTACATCTCCTAATGTTGCTGCACTGTCATGTAGATTAGACCCTTAGGTCAACTGTTCTGGGTGTGGCCCTCTAAGAAAACCATCTGCTTCAGTTTTGGTGCCCTAGCAGTATCACAGCCCTCATACAGATCAATAATAACTGCTACTGGCCTCATTGTTATTGTGTGGCGCATATGTATTTGGTACCCTCTTTGTACCAATGTTGATGGGTTCAAATAAATAATAAGTTTTAGAACATTTAGTAATCAATTATATATTTTGACAAAAAAAATCACAGTTTCAACATCAGTAACTATACATGTGACTAAAGAAATCGGAGAATAAACCAGCACATGAAGAAAATGATGCATACGAATGCAATTACATAACAGCATAATCCAGAGGATGAATTCTGTTTAGCCATTCGAGATAATCGAGACATTGTAGAGCGAAGAACACCTTCTGACCGATCAAAAGCTCCGGCCATGTCTCCAAGTAAGTTATTTTGGGATCGTAATTCATCTCCTATTTTTATCGAAAGACTACGAAGTCCATCAACTTTCTCTCTGAGTTCAAGGTTGAGACGGTCGTGATCATCATGTACAGGTCTTGACCAGTATTCTAAAGTACTACTAGCTAAATTTGCAGATGCATCAATTCTTCCATGTTTCGGTTGAGAATGAACATATTTATCACGAGAAGTCATGAAACTACTGGAATTTGAATGTATTTGCTACGTGCACGTCAGATCCATTTAGTGCACCGCACAAAACAGTTGCGAAGATACCTATAAAATCAAGAGATAGGCCAGATTTTTTGTTAATGAAGTGGTAATAAACGTTTATAAACAAACTGTACCCAAACCAAAATATGTAAAGAAAAACCAGTTTACTTGATAAGAATCCTTTCAATTATACTAACTAAGCAAAATGAAAGGATGGGAAAAATATACATAATTGATAACGAAGTATTATACGTTAAATTATGTGAAGAGATCATTAAATTGACTTCGAACCGAACTGCGACTACCAATCAATCAGCCAATTTGACGTTTTAGATAAACAAAGAATAAAATAGGAGAGTCCTTTTGGTGCTGTCTGTTTCTTTCTCTTTTCAATGGCACACACTTAATTTACGGTATTTCTATTTACCAATCAATATGTCATTTTTTGTTCAATTGAAAATGTCTTTTCTTTCGCTAATTTCCTATTGCCATTATCGCAAGGTATTATTAACTTGGATCGATGGATTATGCTTACTACCGATCAACTCAGTTATGACATTATATCAAATGAATGATGTATAAAGGTGTAGACATTACATTACACATCATAACACAGAGAAAACTATCATAGACAAGCAGTTCAAAAAATATATTTATTTGAATACATAAACATTGGTACAAAGGGGTACCAAATACATATGCGCCACACAATAACAATAAGAATGTGAAGAAATAGAGAATATAAATGCGTATAAGAGAAAGGAGAACAGCAACGGACAGAAATTAGTGCATGATAGTGAAGTAGTAAAAATGGGAGAGGTAGTTCAGTTAGCAAAAGTACAACCAAAAAAGAATTCTTTCAGTTAAAGAGGTTATGCCCATTTTTATGAAGAAAATAACAGTTACAGAGGGATAACCACTGGCTTCTATTCTGAGCCATATCTGATAACGTCTCTAGCCACTGTGCTGCACCATCTCTCGGACCCCAGCAGGAGAGTCGTGAAAGACCAACAAGACCCAGTCACGTACAGCTTTCCTTCATACAACACCACATCATACACTGCCTACCTCTCCGCCTTTACCAACCAGTTCCAGCGTCCGCCAATAACGTATGACGTGGAATTCTCTAAAATAACATTTGTAGAATATGTCAGGGCCACTGAAGTCGATATTTCAGGATAGCGCCACCAACTGAATTATCGTCGCCGTGCCAAACGCACGATGCTGAACCTCTGTACTACTAACATGGTGTTGCGATTGGATATCAGCAATCCTTCAGAGACAACGATGATCAAACACAGACAATTGTATAACATCCTCAACTCGGAGAGGCCAGATTTCACAAGCATAGAGCAGAACTGCTCTCACCGACACGTTGTAGATCCAACCTTTTACAGACAGACTAACATCACGAAGGCGCCAAAGATGGCCCAGATTGGCATAAGCCGCTCTGGCTTTCACTATACGTGCATTGATCTCATCACTCACGCCACCACCAGCACTTACGCAGCTACCCAGATACGCGAACTTCTCGACTACTTCTATCTGCTCACTACACAAAGTGAGTGCAGGACCAGGGTCCTGCCAGTCTCGTAAAAGTACTTTTCACTTCGAAGGTGCAAAGCACATACCATACCTACGGACACTAATTGCCAACTGATTAAGTGCGGATTGCATGGCTTGGACATTATCGTACAGTAAAAGAACATCATCCGTTTACTCAAGGTCGAGTTTTTTTTTCCAGACAACAGGTCCACACTGCCATTACCCACACTCATCAGAGCTGTTTTCAGAACGTCATCGATAGCAAAGTTGAAGATGAATGGTGAGATTGGGCAACCCTGTCTAACCCTACTGCTCGAATAGAACAATAGAGAGGTGGTTGCATGCCCTCACTCAATCTGGGATTTTTGTATATAGGGGTGTCAACATGTTAATAAACTTTTCAGGCACACCATTCTTCAATAGAAAATCCCAGAGAACAGTCCTGTCCAACGAATCGAAAGCAGCCCTTATGTCAAGAAACATTACGATTGTTGGCCTGTAATAAGTATGACGGTGTTCTAACATTAGGCGGAGGGCGAAGATATAATCAATACATCCTCGACCACGACGAAAACCAACCTGCTCCTCGAGAGTCAATCTTTCTCGGGTTTTGAACAATCTACGAAGTACGAAGGAAGCCAATAGTTTGGACGCAATAGGAAGTAGACTTATCCTCAGATAGTTGTTACAGAAACGACGTAAACCCTTTTTAAAAATTGGGAAAATTATTGACTCGTTCCACGATGTTGGAACACTCTCTAACTACCAAACCTTTGCAGCTGCTACTTCCAGCTCATTAGCACGCTCCAACCACCAGGCTTCTTATTTTATTTTATTTGAACACATAAATATTGGTACAAGAGGGCACCAAATATTAATGCGCCACACAGATCTCATTCGATATGTGTGAGGGCTGTGGTACTGCTAGGGTGCCCAAACCGAAGCAGGTGGTTTTCTTAGGGGGCCACACCCCGAGCTTTGACCTGAAGATCTGATACACAAGACAGTGGAGTATCGCAAGGACATGCAGTCCCATAGTAGCCGATGACCAACGATTGGTTCATACGCCATTTGTTCCTTCAGGATACTGGAGCCTATGTGCACCATTGGTTTGGTATCCGGTTAAACCGCCGGACATTCGCTTTTCGTCCTCTTACTTTCGTAAACAATACCCCCGCCACGTGAAGGCAATGAGTAGAACTTCCCTAGCAGAGGCTATATACGCGTGGCCGTGTGATAGCATTTCGAGAGGAAGGGCGAGAGGGCCCACCTCGCTCTCGGTCATACCAAGGCATTTGGGGGCCATAGGTGACGTAAGTTGGTAAAAGCCAAACGAGCTTTTTGAATCCGCGCAGAGATTTCGTCAGACATCAACCCATTAGGGCTGGTCAGACTTCAAAGATAAGTGAAGCTGTCAACGCGTCCGACCATTTCACTCCCTATTTTTAGTTAAGGTGTTGACGCAGGCCAGTCCTGAAGCAACAGCTTGCATTTAGAGGGGCACAAGCGCATCCCAAACATCCTGGCATTGTTGATCAGTGCTACCAAAAGACTGCATTTACCCAGAGTCTTCACTAAATAGGATTATACCACCTGCGTATTCTAAGTCGATAAGTGGACCTCCTGCAAAGAGATTAACTCCTGAAATTTCAGTTGATGAGAATGTTATTTCCAGCAATAAATCTTTGATGAAATTAAACGGAATTGGAGGAAGTGGACAGCCTTGAAGGACACTACTTGAGGTTGCGAAATCAGATGACAGTTCGCCATAAGCTCTGACTCGATTAGTAGTGTTCGAATGAAAAGCCTTCACAAGGTTTATGTACTTTCGAGGTACACCTTTCAAAGACAAACACTGCCACAGAACCTCTCGGTCTACAGAGTCAAATGCTTTTAAGCCAAGAAAGACCACCATTATCGGACGCCGATAAGAATGCGTGTTCTAAGATCTGACAAATAATGAAAATGTGGTCGATGCAGCCACAATCAGGTCTGAAGCCGACCTGATTTTCTCGTGTCTGCAGGTCACGAGTCTTTGTTAGGCATCTGATACTTATAGAGGCTAGAATTTTAAGTGCTATATTAGTCAAACTAATTCCTCTATGGTTATCACAGGATGATTTCGACCCACCCCCTCTTACATATTAGGACAATCAGTGATTGTGACCAGTCAGATGGGATTACATTCAGTTCCCAGATTATAGCTAAAATACTAGTCAACCTAATCGCTAAAAGTGGACTAACATACTTAAAGACCTTTGGGGCCAATCCATTTGGAACAGCTGCCCTTCCTTGTTTCAGATTAGTCATAACTTTTTGAACTTCAATTAGAGCCGGGGGGCTACTTCGATGTTCCATTCAGGCTGTTTGGGAGTGGTGGGTAGTTGTAGAGTAGCTGAAGGCCAGCTGAACTGCTGCCATGTGAGAGGACTCTCCCCACTCTCGGCCGTACCAGGGCAGTTGAGAGCAAAAATATGGAACGTCTCACGATTCCGTGTATTATCCTTGCACAGGGGCCATGCTAATCCTCTCTGTATCGTTCCAATTTTAGTATATGTACTGCCGAAATAATTGTATTGGAAAAATTTATCTTGAAAATATTTGATGTTAACGTATTTTATTTAGTCAGAAAATTCAGTTACAGGTTGTGGAAACTTCGATAACGTTTATTAACACTAATTATATTAACACAATAACAGTATCATTAGGTATTTCTGGGCTAGGTCGACTGGAGAGTACTGATATTTTCAAGGGTTGCTTATTTATCCATGTTTCTGGGAGATGTGTACATAGACGCCCCAATGTAAAAAACGAATAAGAAAGTCATTTGTGTTGTATTTTATGTGTGAAGTGACCTTGTTAGCTAATGGCATAAGTTAATAATAGACGTACTTAGGCAGCTTGTGAAATTCGTTGCTATAGTAATGATGTGTCAAACCAATTACCTTCCCTAAAAGTTTGATAGCCACTAGATATCACTTTTTGAAGGGATTAATAGCAGAAACGTTACATGGACAGCCAAAACAAACTTTTATAATTAATGCAACTAATACTAAATGAAGAGAGATGAGGCATTAAGGGATATTACCAAACATCAATCATTATGTACAACACGCGGACAGTTCCACATATAGCCCTGACTTGAGGTTTACAAAGTAATTATTGCTACCAAAAATTTTCATGATGTTTTCCAGTATCTGGGAACCTTATAAATTTAATGCACATAAAATTCGATTTTTGGTAATATTAATAGGGAATTATGAAAAACATTAACTACAAGTATCAACGTAAATTACCACTTATGTGACGTAATGGAGACTATGTTCCTTTTACCAAACAATATCGCAGTTTCCATGAATGTTGTTCAAAATATACTGCGGTTAAGAGAGTAACTACGTCTTAGTAACGATTCCGATAGGTCTTACTGAAAATGCGTCAGTGAGTTCTTTGGAAAACAGAGAACAATCAAAACATTTACACGTCAGAAACTGGCTTTATAAAATATTCAGGTATTCCAACTTAATGGTTAGTTATCAGATAAAAATACACTAAGATGGTTTGAAACAACATATGTATTACATTATTCTGGATAGGAATGCTCATATCAGTTGTATAAACCATACACGAGGGTGCGGAGTACAACTTTCTGATGTTGAACAAAAAGAATAACGATTGTGTTTTTGATATCTGATTCATTGATGGTGCTTTCTTACTGACAAGCGTACTTACCGAGGAGAAAATGAAGGTTTCTACTTGTTGTACTATAATACCGAACCGTTGTATTTGTATACCCATCTGTCTGCATATCTACAACCAATATTAATTAGTAACAGGTTTATCGAAAACTATTTTCTCAATCAAAACAAACCCGGACAAGTTAAATTTATTTTCACCTAATTTCAGTTTCATGATGATCAGAATAAGTAACATAACCCTGGCTAAGAAATAAGGCCCCATATGATCGCTAGATTTGATTAAAATGACATACATACATAAATAACATTAAACACTTCACATCGAACAACTCAGACCAGCGATGTAATTTAAAGTCAATATGTGGACGCTGTCAGAAAACATTTTGACATATGTTTATTTTCAATCTTACTTGTCTTTAAGAGTTTGGGTTGTTTTCATGAGAAATCCCGAACCTCGGTGTTACTTTAATTTACTCAATTTTAATAGTTGACGTGGTTAGGACATATATTTTGTATGCCTTTCCACCGACTACCTCGATGCGCAATGATGGCTAATGTAATAAGTCAGAAGAATCTATGGGTGGATAAGACAAGGCATCAGTTCATGAAAACTGACTATTAGACTGAAACATGTAAGTACTTGCGTGGGGTCCGTATGAATATCGTGAGCAATGGTTGTAGACTTTGGATGACATGGCTCAGAATCTTTTGCAGTAGCCCATATCCACTGACTCTGTACTCTCTTGGATTCGAGTTTCCTAAACTACCCTATAAATATTTTTACCCAATTAATTCAGATTTTCCCGAATCGTACGTGCAATATCTGATCTCTATTATCAACAATACTGTTGCTATTTCTACCACTCTGTGGTTTACCCTGACAACTTCGTCTTACTGTGCATATGGGGTGTGGCAATTTAAACCGGTGTACACACGTGCCAATTTCTACATTGCGTATAAGTGACTTAGTCGCTTGAATTTTGCACAAACATAATTCCTTATGCCTTCATGTACGTGATGTCCAATTTTTCCTAACTATCCGTTTGAATTTTGACGAGGATTTGTATAGCGTAATATATTGCTTGCTTGTGAGAAAAACAAATAATAACAACTTGACAGCCAAATCCATTTGTGTACTAGGTTATGATTCGGCTACATTATAATTTATGGACGAACCAATCAGGTATAAGATAACAGGTCTCGCTCATCCATTTGGAGTGGCCGAGCGGTCTCGTCGGAGTGGCCGAGCGGTCTAAGGCGCCAGACTCAAGAGTGTTCTTCTGGGTGTTCTGGTCCACGATGTGGGCGTGGATTCGAATCCCACCTCCGACACATGATTTTCCCCCAAATGCCCTGATATGCCGAGTGTGGGGAGAGTCCGCTCTCCCTCTTGAAATGCTCTCACGTGGCCATGCGTATATAGCCTCTGCCAGGGAAGTCCTACTCACTGCCTTCTCGTGGCGGGGGTGTTGTTTACGAAAATGAGAGGACGAAAAGCGAATGTCCGGCGCTTTAACCGGATCCCAAACCAATGGTGCACATGGGCTCCAATACCCTGAGGGAACAAATGGCGTATGAACCAATCGTTGGTCACCGGCTACCATGGGACTGCATCTCCTTACGATGCTCCACTGCCTTGTGGATCAGACGTTCAGGTCAAAGGCTCGGGGTGTGGCCCCCTAAGAAAACCACCTGCTTCGGTTTGGGCACCCGAGCAGTATCACAGCCCTCACACAAATCAATTGAGATTTGTGTGGCGCATATGTATTTGGTGCCTTCCTGTACCTATACTTATGTGTTAAAATAAAATAAATAAACATCCATTTGGATAAATAGAGTTTTGGCGGCGAGACTCTAATTTAAGGACGAGCCAATCAGAAGCGTTTGAGCCGAGCCAAGTTTAACACCTGATGCTCACATATGAACGATTTACAGCGGATTTTAGAGATGAGGTTATTATTGAAAGGCTACAAGAGATGGGACTACTACGAAGTTCTTGTATGTGTGACTGCGGTTCTGAAATGACTGCAATGAAGTCTGAAGACCACCACGGCGAGATTATGTTCCGTTGTCCTTCATGTTGGAGGAAAAAGTCCGCTAGAACAAGGACTTTCTTTGCTCGATCGCGACTGAGATTGAGACAAATCATGATAATAGTTGCTAATTGGGTTATAAAGACACAAGTGACACTGGCTGTGGCTTTCGCAGATGTTACCGAAACCTCAGCAGTCCAGCGGTATGAATATTGCCGTGATATATGCGCAGTTAAAATGACTAGCATACACCAATTATTTGGAGGAGTAGGACTTATCGTAGAGATAGATGAAACGGTTGTGAGAAAGAGAAAATACAACAGGGGACGTAGTGTGAAAGAAGATTGAGTAAGCAGCATTTTCGTAAATATGCTTAACAGGTACTTGATATTTATGATAGATCAAGTCGTAAACGACATTTCCAGAAAGTCACAAACCATCAAGCAAGAACAATAATACCAATCATACAGGAATATGTGCTGCCTGGTACCACGATATATACGGATGACTGGAGAGCATATAGATGTCTTCATCGACTTGGATACGACCACCACGTAGTAGTCCACAAACGTAATTTCGTTGACCCAACAACCGGCGTTCATACGAACAACATTGAAGCCATGTGGTCACGATTAAAGGAATTTTTAAGACCATATCACGGCTCCAGAGGTCGACTATTATGGAGCCATATGGATGAATTTTTATACCGCATGCAATATGATTTTAAAACATCTGAACCTTTATCAAATCTTAACAAGTTTTTAAATCATATAAAAGAAGTATATCCACTGTAAATCTTTAGTTTCTTCTAATATATTTTTAATTTGTACTAGCTGTCTTCTGATTGGCTAATATTCTCAAGGTCACTTAAAATTGGTTCAAAGGTCATCCCTATATTAGAGTCTCGCCTAAATCGTAATTCTAATTCCTCACACAGATTGGTAATCCTCATTTGGTCGTGATTATTAGGTGGACACTCTCAAGGTAAATATAGCGTCGCTCAAAGGTCGTCTATAAATTATAGTCGCACCGAATTTACTTGAAGAACTTCAAGTCTCTATCAAGTTGTTGTTGTGATAGAGGTAGTCATTAAGAATATGTTAACTAAAAATCAAAGATAAGACGCTTACTGCTTGAGGCTTATGTTGAAAGTGCTAGTGAAGGTTCTGGACAACTGTCAAACAACTAAGCACTTATAAACCAATAGGTTATTTGACCTAAGTTCACTTTAGAAACCTATTGCTGGCAAAACACCAGGTAGTTAAGTGGCATAACAGATAACCCTTGTCTAAAGGCTCCAGCCTTACTATACACTTAACAATCAATGAGTAAACACTTGTTGACCGAACATGAATACGAGTGGCCTAGCATCTTGACCAACGACGCGTTCGACAAAAATCAACAAACATGACATTTAAAACGGATAATAACTAAAGTTTTGTTAACATTCCGACTTAGATTTATTTAGAGCGTAAGAATACTTTCCCTTCCTAATCTTCATATTTTGAGGAAAATGTCTGTTTTTGGGAAAACTTGTGGAAACCGCAATGTCGGACTTCAGTAAAAGAGAACAAAAACCTCAGAATTTCCCCGGATCAGAGAAATTCCCCAAAATGTTTGGAGAAACTTAGGATTTTTCCCAATATTTCATTGAATTTCACAAAAATAGGGAGATTGGGCCGAACGGCCGCCTAATAATGAAAAGTGTAAGTTTAGTGCGAATCAAAACTAGATTCGGTGTCTGAGGATAGTAGTAAGTGACTAATAGTTTTTGAAAAAGGTCTAATGTATGCAACACTCGAAGTTAAAAGCGTTATAACTCTCCTTGTTTAGACAAAGACCTTATTTGACAACACGAGAAACGAAACATTTCCGTTCAGCAGACTTTTAAGAGCTTACCGCTGGTCCCAGAGTCAACAGTCGTATTGTCAGGTTTAGGAGCACTTAACATATCTAAAAAGTACCACAGACAACACTTACGCGTCAGTCGTAACGCAACCACGTGAATGCCACACTTGAACGCGATCATCCAATATTCAATATCTTCGTGACAAGCTTGCATTAACCATTTGATTTCTTTGCTATCTCTTCTTGTAGGTTCGGTAAGGCTTAAGGTTTGTGGCACTGTTACTCACTCGACTGTGTTAGTCCTAGTCCTTTTGATAATAGTCATTTGTGGATTTATGCATCTTGTAATACGAGTGTGTTTGTCTGAAGATTCCGAGTTTCTGGATGCCAGCGGCCATCTCATTACCAGGCAGGAGGTTGTTTGGTTGGTTGCAACGTGAAAAATAATAGGGAAGTAATTAGTATGTTTAAAGAAGATTATCGTCTCAAAAAGTGAATAAATCAACAGGTTTGTTAATTAGTAATTTAGAAGCTTGAGCAGACTGATGTAAGAATAAAAAGGCGACAGAGATGTTAAGAACCGGGATAGAAATAAGCCAACAGTATGTGGTGGTAATAATAATTATCGATTAGCTACAAGGAATACATCAGATGCAGTTGATCCAAGAGGGAGATGATAATCCATGGGTATTTGTTTGCCAAGTCTTCTCTTGAAGTCATCCACTAAGCAACAGTCCCGAATAGACCACGTCAACTCATATCCTAACAGAGCGGGGAGCCGTATTTTTTTTTTGTTGGATCTCCTATTAGTTTGAGCTGGTGTCCATACTTCCTGTGGCTAATCATCTTAAGTAGCACTCCGCCTGTAGCTCTTTTAGAGTTGCTGCCGAGCCCAAGCCCAGGCAAAGGAGGACTATTGGACATGAGGTTCGCGACCTTATCCCATAGAAAACTAACTCGCTAAATTACCGCTAACCAGAAAACTAATTTAAACCATTTAAACTCTGCTCTGGGAGTTAGAATAACTTTATTTAGAAGAGTTATGACGCCTTATGGTTACTTCGGAAGTCACGAGGCCTATGACCTTTCTAACAACTAGAGCAACATTTTTTATAAGTACATGGAACTTCGGGACGCTGTAAAAGACCGGGAAAATCAGTCAAATGAGGAGATGCAAACAAGCAAGTGAAAAAGAGCATTAAAGCCGACAAGCAGAACTATGTGGAAGAAGGGAAGAAAATATGAGACAGCTATATGATACAATGAGGAAACTAGCAGGGAGATATAGTAAGCCAGAGAGACCAGTCAAGTACAAAGAAGGCAGGCCAAATACTGAAATTCAAGAACTGCAGAGCAGAAGGTTAGAGTACTTTTAGGAATTCTTGAATTGATCAGCTTCATTGAATCCGCCTGACACTGAAGCGGCACACACAGACCTTCCTTTGAATGTCACTACACCAACAACCGAAGAAATCAGGATGGCCATCAGAAAAATCAAAAGCAAGAAAGCAGCAGGACCTGACAATATACCAGCTGAAGCATTGAAGTTGGACGTTGAAGTAACTGTATACATGTTTCATCTTCTATTAAAGAAGATTTGGAAGGAGGAAAAAATGGCGACGGACTGGAAAGAAGGACATCTCATCAAGATTCCAAAGAAAGGAGATCTGAGCAAATGGGAAAGCTACAGAGGCATCACACTACTGACGATACCACAAAATTTTACAACAGATTGTTGACTAACTGGATGAGAGATTCAGTAGATGCTCAGCTATGAGATCAACAGGTTGGACTCCTTTAGGATCGGTCGTGCACAAACCAAATCGTGACACTACGGACCAGCGTCGAACCATCATTTGAGTAGAAGTCGTTGCTATACATTAACTTCCTTGACTATGAGAAGTCGTTTGACAGTGTGGACAGGGGGATCTGATAAAAACTTCTTCGACACTATGGTATGCTTGAGAAGATCGTCAACACCAAACAGAATTCATACAACGGACTACACTGCAAAGTCGTACATGAAGGACGGCCGACAGACCCATTCCAAGTGAGGACCGGAGTCAGACAAGGCTGCTTACTCTCTCACTTCCTCTTTCTTCCGGTGTTTGACTGGATTATGAAGACCTCGACATGTGAGGGAAAACACGGAATAAAATGGACAGCTTGTAAGTAATTAGACGATTCGGATTTCGTAGATGACCTAGCCCTCCTATCCCATACACAGGGACAAATGCAGTTGAAGGCAACTAGTGTACCAACAGCCTCAGCATCAATAAGCCTTAACATACACAAAGGAAAAAGCAAGATCCTTAAATACAACACGGAGAACACCAACGCAATCACACTTGATGGAGAAACTCTAGATGATGTGGAATTTTTCATGTACCTGGGAAGCATTACCAGTGAACAAGGAGGATCGGATGCAGACGCAAAGGTGAGGATTGGCAAAGCAAGGGATCGCATTCCTACAATTGAAGGACATATGGAACTCAAAACAACTGTCAACCACCATCAAAGTCAGAACCTCCAATACGAATGTCAAAACATTCATACTGTACGGATCTGAAACGTCGAGAACTGCTATAACCATCATCAAGAATGTATGTTTATAAAAATCGTCTACGCAAGATGTTCAACATCCATTGGTCGGTTACCGTCAGCAACAACCTTCTGTGGGAGAGAACAAACTAGGTCCCAGCTAAAGAGGAAATTAGGACAAGACTCTGGAAATGGATATGACATACACTATGGAGATCACCAAACTGCATCACGATGCAAGCACTGACTTGGAATCCTGAAGGAAAGTGCAAAAGAGGAAGGCCAAATAACCCATTACGTTGGGAAATGGAAGCAGATATGAAAAGGATGAATAACAACTGAAAAGAGCTGGAGAGCATTGCCCAGGACAGTGTTGGATGGAGAGTACTGATGGGCTGCCTATGCTTCTCCATAAGGAGTAACAGGAGTAAGTAAATAAGCACTCTGAGGAGACTACTAAGAATACATCTTCATAGAAGACACAGATTGTTTGTATCCCATGTAGACGAGTATTGGTAACGTCACATTTCTACCATTTGAATTTCTACCCAATATCAATTACCTATTTCTTTAATTCTGTGAGGTCCATTTGAAGCCCAAGTGGATTCCTAAAGTTTTAAATGAACCTGCATATACTGACCTCGTCAGTGTATATATGATATCAGTAAATTAATTAGTCTGGAGGTCACTAGTGACAATTAATATGAAAATGGTTCTTTGTGAGAATCTCGATGTTGTGACTCTTTATTTCGTCAGATTTCTGTATATCTTGATGAGAAATGTCCAGTTCTCTGGTAAATTTCGAGGCCAGGATAGAAGGGGATAGGTGAAACCCATCTTTAGAACCCTAGCTATGGATAGTGTTTGCGGTGCTGTTTCGGAGGCTTTAGCAGGTTCAACAAATAATACGTCGACCGGTATGTTCAGATCCCAGTTGCATAACAAGTTTTCCCATGGTATAAAGGCATGTAACGTACAGGACCCTCTTTTCCAAATCTGTGTGGGACTTCTTGAAGAATATTTTTTATCCATGTAATGTGACTATTTGGTATCAGTTTGTATCTTTCTTATCTACTCCTTTGAAGATTAGATAAAGTGCCGTGCTTCTATTCCTTTGGAATGTTCTTTAACTCTAGGGAATCCCTAAACAGGTCACAAACCGATTTTTTAATGGTTTTTGAGTACTGTTTCAGGGTTACAGAGCAGATGTTGCCGAATCATGGTGACTTATCTAAACATAGAGACTTTAGCATACTTGATACAAAATCGGCAGTGTGATGGGTATTGCTCGGACCATCAGCTGACAATATATTCAAAGAGTGCTCTGCGCTTGCAGGTTCCTGGTTTATTTGAAAAGAGAAGTTGGCATCAAATAATTTTAACGCCCATAGATCGATAGGATCTTTACCATTGAGGCCAGTGGGAGCACAAACCCCTCCTGTTAGTAGGCTTTCGTTTAGCCATGAACCTGTGGATATTTGAAGTTAGCTTGTATTTTATCGACTAGCTTGGTCTATAAACATCTTTCGCCTCTTTGAACTTTGGCATTGTATCTGTTCCTCAATGCCGAGTGAGAGCTACGGTCAGAATCCTTCAGGGAGACTTTCCACTTATAACAGGCTCAGTTATCAACTTACTCTGTTTTCCTTTGGATGACATGCCTAATCTTTCGAGTTGTACAGAAAATTTTAAGCATATATACTTTCCTAGTCCACAACAACGTCTAGCTTCAGGGGAACATCTGTTCTACTCTGGCCATAAAGAAGAAAATGCCTCACATACTCAGGGAGTTGCATTGATGCTATAAAAACAAGCACAAAATGCACTTATAGGATGGGAATCTCATGGACCAAGAATCATCAAAGAAAGAGGGCATTTCAATGAAAATCATCCAATGCTGTGTGCCTACCAACGACTACAATGAAGACGTTAAAGACCAATTCTACGATAGGCTGCAGTCATTCGTCGAGATGTGACCAACAAAGGACTTGACCATTCTGATGGGAGACCTAAATGCGGAGGTTGCAATGGACAACACCGGATATGAAGACATCACGCGACGACATGGACTGGGAGAAAGGAACGAAAATGGTAAGAGATTTGCAAACCTATGTGCCTTGAACGATCTTCCACAACAACTACCGTTTGACTCATTACTTTTTGCTGACGATGTGAAACTTTGGAGAAAGAGAGAGAAAGATACGCAACCAAGAGTATATACTGGTATACCAAATGGATCTGAAAGGACTTCAATGTTGTGCGGATGACAACGGACTCACTTTCAACACTTCAAAGTGTAAAGTAGTCTACCTCAGACATGTTGCAGATTACTCATACAACGTAGGTGACTCCGCTCTAGAGGTATCTCGAGTTGAAAGCGATTTTATAGTTTTGGTAACCCATGATCCGAAGTCTTATGCCAACTGCAACAAAAATATCTTTCAAGCAAACAGAGCTCTTGTAACGTTGAAGCGCACTGAGGACCCGTTTGATGATGGAACTCTCCACTCGATCCTCAATAGCTTCATTCGACCCAGTCTAGAGTGTGAAGTAATAGCGTTTCTCTACTCATTCCAAAAGGATAACAATACACTGGAACGTATTCAAAGGTGAGAATGTTTCGTCTATTCTCAGCTCGGGAACTTGATTTCAAACCTTATTGAGAGCTTCTCAAGTCACTAAATCTCTACCCATCGGAGTATAGACGCTTCAGATGTGACCCTTCAATGCGTTTTAACATCCTGAGCACACTATCAAATATTTTCTTGAGCTCAGTCTTGACACAAACTTTAGGAGCGATACTTGGAAGTTATAGTCACGACATAACGAAACGGACTGTTGGTACACCTACCCTCTAAGGGTGGTAAAATCCTGGAGTTCACTGTCGTTTAAAGTATTCCAAGCAAGTTTCCAGGAGTCTTTTAAGAACAAGCTTTACATATTCCTAGGGTCAAATGAGTTTACACAATACTCAAAGGGTAAGGAAAAAATATAAGGATGAAAATGCGAATGTACAGCATACGTAAATGATTTCGTCAGAAAGAAAACTTCTACATTGAATTTTCTTTATTTTTTTTAATGACAATGGGTTATTTTAATATTCTTAAGTACCCAGTACAGTATCTCCGTGTGATTTACCAATATTATTCTGTAGGGGCTACAGATATCGAACTGTCTTAAAAGGTTACATAATTTCCTTCCATTAAGTAGACTGATTAAACAGGAACCGGTAGTGTAGAAATTAATGCTCCTGCGTCAGTAGATTGTCAGTCAATTAACCCATTTACAATTCTCCAACAAAGGTAAGTTTCAAGAGAACGCCTTCGAGATCAATTCCTTCAATATCCGTCCGTACTATTTTCACAATGCAGAAACATGTTCACTATACGTCTGCGGTTTGGTATGTGAGTTGTTTTAGTTAACATACCAGCACGACCCGCTTTTCAAATAATTGCCATTGTTTAACTGATATAAGTCTAATGGCTTTAGACTAGGTTGGACTTCATTTTGTCTATGAAAGACGGACTTAGTAACGATAATTGGTGAGTAAAAAAACCAGTGTGTTGAAATTGCGGTCCTATCTGTTTGTTTTCACTACCGTGTAAACTAGTTTTGTACCACTTACGTTAATGTTCCTGACCGATATTTTCTCCCTAAAACACCTAGTTTTTCACTTCATCTGCGGAGATCGTATAGTTAAGCTAAAACAAGGTGAAAGTGAGCTAATGGCAAGGTTAGCTTATTCCAGAAATTCGAAGTTTGCGGTAGAAACAGGAAATATTTTTAAGACAGTGTAGATAGTGATATTGTGTACATACTTTTGCACTAAATAATATATGCCGCGCACTGCGGACAGCTCAGTTCACGTCGGAGATTTTGTCATGTTTCCATTTTCGTATTTTGTCGGAGTAACACAAGTGACACTATCAAGGCATCTCATATTTATAGTGTCCTCCTTTCCGTGATACGAAATAAACTCCTAACTTTGTTGGGTCAAGTTGGCGAACTGATTGTTCTCCTGAACCTCATTCCGGCTTACAAGGGGCTTATATATAAATAGACGGCCACTCAAAACGTATGTTCATCCTATATGTCTTGATTAGTGATATGTTTTAATAACACATGTGTGTATTCCATTGTTTTCGAAGCACTGTTCACCTGTGGAGAAACCGCTAAGTAATGCTCTATCTAACGCTGTGTAATATGAAATGGATAGTTGGTAAAGTTAAGTGCTCATCGACATGTGGTTAAGATATATATATATATATATATATATATATATATATATATATATATATATATACTAACCAGGGTTTTATATCGGTTACTGAGTGATATAATTCTATAAATTGTTCAGTCTTCGCTCTATGATATATACCTACTATCGAATTTGACACGGCGTTTATTATCACTCTAGTCTGCAAATCTCTACTGGTTCGTGTACTTAGTCTTGATTTATTTCTGTCTACTATGCTTCAGCAAATAAGAATGTCTTGTTATTTTCAAGATGGCTGTAATAAACGTTCTGTAGCCTTGCCTACTACGTGAGAGTAGACACCACAATTTAGTGATAATCCACAAATGGTTTGTTTAGTAATCTAAATTCTAACCACTCTTTGTGTGGCCGGCAAAGGTTACGCCAGATATTTATTTATTTATTCATTTGAACACATAATGGTACAAGGGGGCACCAGATACGTATGCGCCACACATCTCGTTTGATTTGTGAGGGCTGTGATACTGCTAGGGCACCAAAACTGAAGCAGATGGTTTTCTTAGAGGGCCACACCCAGAACAGTTGACCTAAGGGTCTAATCTACATGACAGTGCAGCAACATTAGGAGATGTAGTCCCATAGCGGTCGATGATCAACAATTGGTTCATACGCCATTTGTCCCTTCGGCATACTGGAGACCATGTGCACCATTGGTTTGAAATCATGGTTTTCCAACTCCTCCAGATGGACCCTCCGTGTCCACCAACTCGTTCAAAGCCCCGAACGTTCGCTTTTCATCCTCTCAATTTGGTAAATAACTGTAATGCCACGAGAAGGCAGTGAGTAGGACTTCTCTGGCAATGGCTGTATAAATGACCATGTGCGAGTATTTCGAGATGGAAAGTGGACTCTCCCTACTCTCGGCTGTACCAAGGCATTTAGGTTTCTTAGTCATTCTACTCAAGTTCTTCAACCAACTCTTCGGATAACCACCAACCTTAACCAAAATTTCAGACACGACAGCTTAGACTGTCGTACCTTTGGGTGTCACTAAATCAGAAACGAGAACCAAATACCAGAATAATTCGGGAAACATTGATGTACATTAAACACGGAGAAATTTCAAACCATACGTTAGGAGATACTGTTTACACGCTTTCATTCAACATCTCTGTCAGGTTGTTTCATATCAAATCGAAATTTCTTTGTACACACATGTGTTCTATCGTCACTTTCAAAGCCAGTAATTTTCCTGAACAGTCCCTGATAAATCCTCTTATCGAAGCTCTACTATAGTTTATTAGCTCTATTCCATAGAGACAAGTTATCGTTAGATGCTACCCGCACCTCTCTTAGTGAGGTTCATCATATAAAAGCCACAAGTACTAAAACTATTGTTCCGATGTTTGTACATCATGTAGCGTTGCGTTGCTAACTAATTATCCTCAGTTGTTTTTGCGGCGAGACTTTAATTTATGGACGGACCAATCAGATATAAGATAATAGATCTTGTATTTTGTTGCGAAATTCACTCATTCATCTGGCTAAATAGCGTTTTGGAATTTCAGCTGATGTCGATTCGTGTTGAAAGTTCTAACTCAATCCTATTCATGAACTGTAAATCATAATCTAAATTCCTCGCACTAGTTTATAATCCTCATTTCTCCCTAGTGAGTAGGTGAGCGTTCTCAATGTTGTATCGTAATAATGTGTTCACGGATTTACACGTCGTAACTGAGTCACATCAATTAATCTATCAATGTCTTTTCTCAGCACATTTTACTCATAAATCCTTTTTTTATTTGTTTTGTAGTCTCGTGATAACGCTTTCCGGGGCCCATGCACTCAACTAGTATGGTGATTCTATATATGCAGTAATTTTCCCGAGTCACATTAAAAGTCTGTGATATGTCTAGCCGATCGCGTCAAAGACGCAAGCGTTTTATCAGTGGGAGTACTTTGGATGAGACCTCTTCTTGTCGTGCAAAGAAAATGCTTATAAGTACCGTACATCATTCCAAGTCACAATGTAATGAGCAGCATACTTCTTTACCATCTTCACCAAATTCTCCTTTTCTGGATTCCGCAAATATGCTATTCCATAATTCTGATATCGGCTTGGGCACTTATGTTAATCGAAAGGATATTCCTGGTGATCGTTCTGATCCGGTTGAAGATGAGAACTCATTTCCCTCAAGCATGTTTTCTGAAAAGCTTGTACAGCCCGGACTAAATCTGGTTCCTGAACCTTCATCAACAAACGAACATGATTCTGTAAGCCACAAAAATTCCTCTGTTCCTAATAAAAGTTTGTTAAATTCCCGTCCGAGTACTATACTTGATGCTGAATCCGATATCAACCTAGATAGAATGTTGATTCAGAATGAAAGAATGGTTTTAACTCCAACTCCGGTGGCAACAGACGACCCAGGCAGTTCCGAGGGGGAGTACGAAAATGAAAGTCGAGAATCAACTTTGCATCAAACTAATCCTTCAGTTCGCCATACCGCCTCAAGGAATACGACCAGTCAGCCTGGTTTGGTTAGTGTTCCATCTAACCGAACTTTGGAACTTGTTGAATCCGAATCACAGGGAAGTATATATTCCGACTCAGTCAAGGTTTCCGTTTTCGATACAATATCTCAGTCTACAGAGTGCAGTTCCGCTAGGTCTGGGAACTTGTCAGCACTAAATTCTACTTTAACCAAACCCAGTGGATTTGTGGAGTCATCAACGCCGAATTGTTTCGTGGCACTGGTGAATTGTAGTCCTCCACTTCAAATTCTCTCCAGTCAGAAAATGCATAAAACTGTTAGTTGTCATCGAACTACCACTTGTTTTTCCGAATCTTCAGTTTTACCAAATATGGAGAATATTGAGTATCATGATTCATCGGGTAGTAATGGGATGATTGTAACGTGTGGTTCTCATTGCTCTCACAGGAGCACAAATGGAAGTCCCTATAAAAAGGAAGCTGAATCAATAAAACAAAATCCCTGTAGTTTCGAAAATCAACCTCATAACTTTCACTCAACAATAAACGTGAACGACTTCTCAAGAGAAGCGCAACATAAGGTTCTACTAAGGACAGAGTCACTGTCGTCTTCAGTTTCAATCAGTAATAACAATTTTCTCCCTGATAAATTTCAACTGACACAAAAGTCTGATGATATCTCTACATTTCCTCCTGGTAAGTTGAACGTCACCATTTTCATTTTAAATAATTGCTATGTAGAACACTTCAGGGCATCTAGTCATCAGTTTTAATTTTGCATAATATTGTGAGCCTATTCCTCTATTACCTTGTCAAGTATTATATATATATATATATATATATATATATATATATATATATATATTACGCGACTAACCATTAATTTTAAGCTACTGAATCAGTAACGAAAATAGTCTCCAAACGCCCTGGTACGGCTGTGTGAAGGGAGTCCACACTTTTCGAAATGCTCTCATTGGGCCTCGCGTATTTAACCACTACTAGGGAAGTTCTACCCACTGCCTTCTTGTGGCAGGTGTTTATAAAGTTAAGAGGACGAAAAGCGAATACCTAATGCTTAAACCGGGTTGGTGACTAAAGGGGATCCACCCTGCAAAGTTGAAAAACTTTGATTCCAAACCGATGTGCACATGAGCTCTTAGATCCTGAGGAGAAAAAGAAAGTATGAGCCTATTCTTGGTCAACGGCTGTCATGGGACTGTATCGTTTAACGTTGCTCCATTACCTTGTGGACTAGATCTCTGTGTCCGAGGCTCTGGGATCGGCTTCCCAACAAAGCCACTTGCTTTATGCACCCGGGCAGTATCCCAGCCACTACACATATTCAGCCTTTGACCTAAAAGTCTGACCCACAAGGCAGTGGAGCATCGTAAGGAGATGCAGTCCCATGGTAGCCGATGACCAACGATTGGTTCATACGCCATTCGTTCCCTCAGGATACTTGAGCCCATGTGCACCATTGGTTTGGGATCCGGTTAAACCGCCGGACATTCGCTTTTCGTCCTCTCATTTTCGTAAAGAACAGTAATGCCAGGAGAAGGCAGTGAGTAGGACTTCCCTAGCAGAGGCTATATACGCGTGGCCGTGTGATAGCATTTCGAGAGGGAGAGCAGACTCTCCCCACTCTCGACCGTACCGGGGCATTTGGGGACAACGGAGTAGAATGTTTTTCCCATTTAGATCTGTTCAGCATCCCTGTATAGGTGGCTAGCTACATGTTATTTCTAAGTCATATCCATTCATGCATAGCGATTGTAAGTCATCATTTTATTCCGCTCTAAACCTTGTTTTGTATATCTAGCTGACTCATTTTTGTTATTTTATATAGTACCATCTGGAAAATTAATACTTCATTGAATAATGGCTTTATAATTTTCTTTCAGACCACATTTTCATCATAACTATTCCGAATCCTTCTGAGGTACCACCTACTTTTGTTAAGAAATGCAGAGATTCTGAAAGTGGTTTCTTCGATACTCCCACGTCTCATAATGTAAATAATATCCCAAGTCCAGAAGTCGGTCACAGCTATCCTCTCCGATCCCGCCTACGACAGGCATCCTTGCGATTGCAGTGGCAAGCCATGCAAGTAGCTCCAAAGTCATTTGGGCAGTTACCTACAGAAGTTGTGTTTCGCATTATCCAGTATTTGAGCGTACAAGATGTATTTCGCCTTCAGCGTGTTAACCACCGATTCAAATCTATTATTGAGCAGTATCTTCTACTGGTTAAGCGCATTAATTTTAGTAATGGTCTCCCGTTCGCATTCTTACCAGATTCAATCACTGATATAGCTCTGAAACGCATGCTAAGCCGTACGCCGGAAGTCACACATATTCTTGGCTTTTATCCTCGTAAAATAGCAGAATCATATCCATCCGACGGACAATACTCGAACATAAGTTCTGGTCATAATACATTAACCTACGGTGGGATCATCACAGCCTTTCGACTTTGTCCGAAACTCCGTTCAGTTGAACTGATGGATGTCGAGTTGATGAGTGAACTGGTTCGACATCTCCCGCGCATCAAATTTCATGGCATGTTTCGAAACCGCCCAGATTCTTGGGATTGTGAATACGCAGTTCCTCTACCACCCGAACCGAATGCTGAAACTATTTCAATGGATAGTGACCATGACTCTATGACAAACCTTCCAAATTCATGTGACGAGTCCCATGTCGATTCAAAATCCAAGCCTCTTTTTGGCAGTTTTATTAGCACGTTATTTTGTTCCGCAACTGCTGCTTTAGCGCTGGGAAGTAGTCGTGGTAAGCGAAAAAATGTAACTCGTTTAAAATCTAAAAGCCAAACAGGATGTGGATGTTCCATGCAATCATTCCAATCTCTAAATGCAGCATTTTCATTTCCATTATGGAAGAATGAAAACAGTCAATCACTTACACAGATGACCGCACAATCAGTCCATAAGGTTGCTTTGCGTCATGCGAATTTTGCAAATTGGTTTGAACCTATCGGCGAGTTGCCTCTTGGCCAAGGTTCACCTTCTACAGTGCCTCACTTTCTTCCATCTCGGCTGTTCACTGCATTTAATGGTGGTCCTAGTTTCCCTCCCACTCACGAGAATATCCCAAATAGTTCTGTCCCACCTATGGGGCAGGACTGTTACTCCAGTGCCGTGGAATCTTTACGCAATATAGCTGTTTCACATTTTCTGCAACCTGGTTTGCCACCCATTGAAGCCGAGCTAATTGCTGTGGCTCCCTTTGGCTATTCTCGATGTTCTTTACATGGTGTAGGATCTGGTCGGAACAGCATTCGTAATGCTCATGGTCCAGTTTTAGCATTTGCCTTCGGGGCTATATTCGTCCCTCCACAAGCAGTTTCGCCGTTTATTTTGCCGTCCAATAACGCGTCAAACTGCCGCTTTATCGATGCAAGACAGTATAATGCCGTCCTATTGGGAGCTAACTTACTGCGCGGAGCACAAGGACCTCATCTTGCGTTTGAGCGTATATTCAACTTCCCGCAAAATGTTAATCAAAATAATGTTCCACGTCAAGTTCAGCTGCACGATCAGGTAGGAGGGCGAAACCAACAAAGACAACACCCTCAACGTTTTCGTCGACCACGTACGAGCATAACAAGCTTAAATGCTTCCGGTCCATGGTTGGTTTCCCCATTTCCAAGTCAACTGCAGTGGATTATTTTACCTCATGCTATTACAAATCTAACCAAATTAGATCTAGTTTCTGTCGCAATTAGCGCTATTCCACGACTAGACAATATTAAATATCTACATCTTAAATGGGTAAGCACAAATTAATTTTTTGGAAATATGTCGTTTTAAATGTAATAATTAGTCTAAAAATACTTCCTACAAATTACTTATCTCTGTCATTTGGGAAATTATGAAGATTACAATCATGTGACTACTATTAGTTACATATCAGATGTCTTTCACTTTGCTCAATATTTAAACCTTATGTTTTCTAACTCCTGGGCACCACCTACACTGAAACTCAGAAACCATGGTATATTGAGTATAGTTTGAATCTTTTACCCATTGGTTAAAACTTAAATCCTTATATCGATAAAACCGTAAATTCTATATGTTAGTTTATAAGATAAATATATCAGGGACACAGATAAACAGATTGGTTTAGTCTCAGATTTATTTTGTTTAAATAGTTGGACTGGAATTCCAGAGTATACAAAATCCACTTTCAAAAATTGAAAGAAATTATTACATGAGATCCAATGTGTTAATAATTTTCGATATAAATTTTGAAGTAGTCTAATTATTTGAGTACCAAGTAATTCTAAAATTCATCATTTAATTATTTATCAAATCTAAACAGTTTAACATTCATTGGTTTACATCTAGAACTTGAAAAGCTTCAGACAATTGTATAGTACCTCTGGTAGCTCTCAAACACTTATGGTTAACTATTAAGTTGTGCTGATTATTTTGATCTTTGTATCTAAAAGCCACGTGTTATTATAACGCTTTTAGACTGTGGAACTCAATTGTGTGTATATATATAGTGTTAAGAAGCAACTATTTGTTAAATTACAAATCTCAATAAATAACTTATTATTCAATGACGATCACAGAAAAATAATTTTGAATATGACGTAATAATGTACAGATATTTATTACTCAAGTATTTTACTAAACACGAACCATTTCTAGCCTCACTGATTTTAGAGATTCTCTAGCTGATGCACTTGATACCACCTGGATATTTTTGAATGTCACAGGCTTTTCTGTTACTTGATTGGTTGGTTTTCCGACTTTATTACTGAACTGTCTTCATTATGCACGTTCACTTACTACTGGTTGTAAAGGAACATTAATTACCTTAAAATACTATCAATTTAGATTACTTCAATACCATTGATTAGTAAATTATTGAATGCATCTGACGATAACTTTAGTCTGAATCCTTAAATAAATATTCATTGTCTAATGGTCGTTTAGATCACATAAACACAGCATAATTTGCTGACTTGTAGATATGAATTAGGATGGCTAGCGCAAACAAATTTTTAAAGATATAGTCATCTCTTTTATACAATTTGTTACATTTCAATTGAGATTTCCTCATGTAACAAATTGTTAAAGTACTCAGTCTGCAAAATATTACACATTTCAAATTGAAATTTTAAAATTCACTTCCTATTATTTTACTCATGTGAATTTCAATTTGGAGTGTAGTTAGATTTTAAAAATAATCCAGTTTCCTTATAACTACAATACATCGATCAATTCCTAATATAGCGATTTCATGTGGTAGTATCTGCGAATTTGATGTAACATTCCTTACATTCAATTTAGGTTGTATTCGCTTCAGCTGATCCATTCTTCAGTTTTTTGGCACCGAAATTGCAATCATTTGTCATGAACAACTGTAGTACACCATCAAGAGTTGTTCGATTTGTTCGTATTTTCTCGGCTCTTTCACGGGCTCCTCAACTTACACGGCTTGAGTTGGTTGGTACACGCTTCATTGGTATGTCGTCTGTATGTATATATTTCATGTTTTTGTTTACACTGTATTACCTAAGCTCAATTGGATTCCAGCCTACATACATTTGGTCTAAGTATTTTCCTCATATATCAATTATTTTACCAATTGCTTCCTAACTTATGATTTCAGTAAGTTAGTAAGTAATTTGCATGAATTTCATGAGCATAATACTCATTTTCAGGGGAATTCGTGCAAACTGTTGGTTAGATACTGATGTTTAGCTGATAGATTACATCTATGTTCGTTAAAAGTTGTAACTAGTTGATTTGTAACATCATCTTTTATTAGACTAGTTTATGAGGTATCGAATCAAGTTAACCATTGGTTTATTATTTACTAAGTATATATCTATTGATAATTTTATCATAACCCCACTGCTTTCCTAGATGGTCTAATCGGACACATAATTGATGACAGTATGTCCCATGGGCGCGGATTTCGTAATCTTCAGCGTTTGGTGCTTTCTAGCAACAAAGATGCATCTGAAGTAGATATTGGATTGCTTCTGCTGGCTGGTCAACAGTCTTTGAATCAAGTAGCTCTCCAAATGCTTCATACACGAAATTCATTATTTGAAGGTCTCTATCATGCCGGTGCTGAATTTCCACGTCTTGAAAGTCTTACTCTTGGTAAGTTGATTATTATCATGCTTTCCCAGTATACATGCGTGTTTTGTAGTGACTCACTTGAGTCATGTGTTTCGAAATATTCTCATGAGTATATCATTATAAATTATTGTTAGACCATAGTGAGTTTTACTCACCAGATCCAGATTCCAGATCCTACTCTACTTTCCTCGATAGAATCAAAACTCTGAAAATAAATACATGAATCTGTACTTGGTTACTGAGTTAGTTACATTAAAAAATATTCCCTGCCTTTGTAAGGTTACTGATATTCGATTATGTGTCTTCAATGCATCGCTCGCGTATTTTGGGAATACCGAATCGTCAGTACTGAGGTTTAGTTATAGTGTACTAGGTAAGAATGGTAAGTCGGTCTGGTGTAGGAGTGAGTAGGTTGAAAGGAAGTTGGGAATAAGTGTTGCAAAACCAAAACGTGCATCGGTCCATGAAGTCACAAGCAGTTAGACTGAGCTGTGTGGTTATACGCAGAATACACGTGGATGGGGATGTTAGATGATGTCTCAGGATTGTTCGCAATAATGCAAATGAATTTAATTTTTATCCTGAAACCTCCCAATGTCTTTTTTCCTCCTACTCCCAAATTTTACTTCTACCGATACTGCTATTACTTTTATTACTCTGGCATTTGTCATGATAATTTCATCTCTATGTACTGTTTATCTAAATGACGTCTTCTTATCCTGTTATATCAGTGGTGTAGGGACTTAAACCGATACACATATACCAGGTTCTTCGTTGCATATAACTGACTAACTAATTGTTTATTTTATCGAAATTGATGTGGTAAATGTAGTTTCCATCATCCTACGATATTTTTATTATTTCATGTTCTCTTTTTACGGTGTTTTGATATTATAAAGTAATCTTGATCAAATGTGCTTTGTCTGTTATTCCTTAATACTTCACTAAATTGTATCTATTTTGTTTAAATTAAACTGTTTAACGTTTACCTTTCAAGGGATTCGACATTCCCATTTTCTAAAATGTTTATGACGTTATAGTTATACCACCTTTTTAGCGTATCATTTTTTTTGCATTTGCATATTAATTACATTTGCCTTACAACGTTCACAACTGACTGTTATAGTGCTTATTCCGTCAATAATAATGATATATGTTTCATGCATTTTATGTTTCACATAATTAACAATGTTACAAATCCTTAGTCAAAATAATTTGTGAATCATGTCTTTTTCCATATCCAATTTTTTGGCATATCCTCTATAATCATTCGCATGATTTTAATAAAGATAATCTCTACGTTCAATCTGTTTTAAATTTCTAGGTTATTTAGATCCTTACCAGTCACGTTTAACAGTTTCTGAATTGATGAGTTTAGGTATTGGAGAATCATCTGATCATTTGTCACCTATTTGTATGATAACCGATTGGGGTATAGCGCTTGCATTTTTCATCTGTCCTCGACTTGTAAATATTGTCATTCGAAATGCACCATATTTAAATGATATAACACGATGGTTTTCTGCTGGATTTTGCGATGAAGAATCACTTCACATTCGACCGACAATTGTACCTTCATCAGCTAGCGAGGATTCTACTCAACCGGCTGCTGACTGTCAAGAAAATTCTACACAAACTTGTGTAACAGACAAACTTTCAAAAACCTATTTCTTACCTCTACGATCACTAACATTGGAAAACTGTTCTGGAATATCACTTGAAGTAAGTCTAAAACTCTGATGTTGAAAGGCAAAAGGATTTTATAGACATGATAATGCAGTTCACTATCCTGCATATAAATTCTGTCGAGGCTTCTGTAAATAACATTTTATCTAATTTGACTACATCCTCTATTTTCGCTCCGTCCCATTATTGACAACTGAAAAGGCGTATCTAAAATAAAGCACTTCCAGTTGATAGGAGTGACAAAAACGTGATTTCCATGAAACCGAAGAGCTTATGGAACAGGTCAAATTTATCACTGTTTTATTAATGTTGGTACAGAAGGACTCCAAACTTCGTGGGGGACATGGTACAATGCCGAAAATTAGGCCTGACAACCAGGTCTTAATTCGAGAATTAGTGACCTACTAGCGAATTCCCTCCAATCGCCTATAACATTTTATTATGCTTATTTTATATAAAGACATGTTTTACTACATAAAAACCTATTATTTTGACGTGTTAATCTTGTCTTTGATTTCAAATCATTCGGGGGTTAAGTCAATAATGCAGTCTAGTCAATAGCTGTCGCTCGGCCACATCATATCGTTGCGTTCACCTATCGATTAGCATTCTGTTCATTGATTTTAACACTCGAAAATTTCGTCTCACTCACTCAATATCTCCATATTGCAAATATGGGTCAGTTATCTTCCCTTTGTTAGCTTATTGAATATAAGTGCATACATTAGTCCTTGAGACTTGATATTATACATTTTACTATTATTATCATTATTATTCTGACTTTTAACTTTATTTCTCCTACATACTGGGTGGTTGGAACTATTGACAATATGCTGCATGCTCGAAACCCTTCCTACCTACTTTGAGATAGACTGCATGATAGTATCACCAGCCTTCACACAAACAGTTTAACTGAAGACCGGATGCATAAAGCTTATGGTTGGAAAAGCATTTATGTAATTCACATTTTATTAATTTCCTCTGTCCCTGCTCTGATGTGATATGTGACAACTTCGACCCGTACATATTCCTGTCAGATTCTGCGTTTTCTATGACCGTCTGATTAATAAACTATATGTACTGGCAAGTTGTACAGAAAAAAATAGGGATTTGTATTGACTACAAAAGTTCTCTTACGACAGACCAGTTTTTCTCTTCTATTGTGACCGTGCGTCAAGGATGGTTAAGCTGTTTCTTGTAATCGCTAGTTTACACCAGGCTTACATAACTCGCAATTTTTCGTCTGATCTTTATATCATTTAGGTTAAAAATATTTGTTTCTCTCTAGGCTTGTTTGTGATTGATCAGAATAAATTGATTTTGACATAGCAACTACAGTCCTTTACTTTTTCCATTGTTTTGTTTAGTTATGCTTAAATGAGACATTGACTATGTTAGTTTGGTCAACTTATGCGGTATCATTCCATAAAAATCCTACCAACGATTACTAGAACATAGTTGCATTTTTGTCAGTTGTTACAGTTAGAAAAATCTCGTGAACATACATCCACACATATATATTTTCATTGATATTTGTGTAGTATATCGAGATTTTTGTTATTATCTGTGTATTGTTTCCAAACTTGATTTGTTAATGTTTACTTTTTCACACAATCATTCCACTCATTATATTAAAATGCGGCTTATTTTTTTGTAGAATCTTGAACGCGTTCTAACTAGCGGACATCCTTTCCCATGTTTAGAAACTGTCGTCTTAAGAAATATGTTTACGCCTCAATATGGTGAGAGCAAAGGGTTCATGAATACACCGCATCTTTTTGTTGATCAACATGATCAATGTGTTACTGGACAATGTATAGATTGGCGTAAACTTGTTCACCTTTTATGTTTATCAGATTTGTTAAGTACTCGTCGACTGGGTTATTCTCCTTTATCACCCGAAGACTGTATTGGCTTAGGTGCATCCGTTCGAGAAGTAATTCATATGAATCCACCACGTGGTTTTCTACCAGATTCTTTACGAACAAAACCACATGATTTGTTTGTAAGTAATAATATAGCTCTGTTATATTTCATTGTATTCTATGTAAATGTTTTTAGACCATACATCTTTTATTCACAGTGTTGTTTTCTGGTTGAACAGATCGAATATCTAACTTCACATTTTACGTATAAAAATACATTGACTCCATTTATCTTTTATGTTTCAATTAGCAGTTAAGAAGAGAAAATCAATCAAAATACATATTAAGACTGATACTAAACGAATAATGTTAAGATACTCATTGTTGGAGATGCAGATTCCCACAAGTCACTTCGTAAACGTCTTATTTTTTGTAATTTTATTTAGGAAATTTGAATTGATCGTTTTCGCAGTAGAAGCGCCCATTTTACTTTCAGATTGTATTTCCTACTTGGAAAGACCCTAAATGTCATTGGTTCATTGCCTCTTAATACGCTATTTTGTGACGTTTCCTAAGGACTTTTTATTCTGTATATATATGCTTGAGTTGTGTGGTTGGTTGTTCATGCTTCTAGCTGCTTGTGAAATTTACCTTTTCCTCATCTGAACCTGGTCTTCTCCCTCTAGTTAACAGGGCTGGGACGCATCGGAATAGCTTGTCCTCTCTTGTCGTTATGTCACCGATCTTTCATTCCGTTCACTGATTTCGGGTGATCTCATAATCTCTCCAACATATCATTCGTCTTTTAAAAGGCTATTGTGATTGCATTTAAATCTTGAACTACTAATTTTCAATATATCGACAATTCCAACAAGGAATTAAAGTGCTCAATGTTACTATTAAATCCCTTCATAGATTTGTGTTATATTCTCAAGATCTTTGTTAACCTGTTTCTATATCAGTCATAATTTCACATTTGATTAGATTTACATTTTTTGTCCTGTCCATTTTAATTAGTGTACAAATTCATTCATTCTTATGTTATTCACTTGAATAACTGATTGGTTAATTTTAATGAACTTGTTACTTCTGTGTATAATATCACTTTACTAGGTTTATATGTATTTCAACTTAGTTTTGGACTCTTTTTATAATCTGTTATCATGTTGTGTTTTATACTGAGAAGATATCACTAATAATATAGTTGATCTAATGTGATTAATGCGATCATGCGACTAATATATAACAACACACAAGTGAAGATAGCAAGAATTAAACTTTGTAAAAGTCCTCATTTTTCAAGAATGACAAATGTAATGAGTAAACACCACTGCGCACAACTCTGAATAGACATAATTAAAAGAGACAAATACGAGCAACAAATAGTACACATGATATTTAGGATTAATGTCTCTGTGTTGACACACAAAAGTGTAAATTAAAAGTTATTTATATAAGTGTTTTTTATAGGGAAACTTCGACACAAAATTTTTTTCGTTGAAAAATTGCGTACTTAGATGAAATATGGAGCGCTTTCTAGCTTTGTATTGATTTTAATTGTTTGTGTTAATTCAATTCGGTTATTTGTTTGCTTATCCTTTGAGGAGGAGCTTACACCAACCAAGAAATTCAATTTTTAACTCATTGGAATATATATATATATATATATATATATATATATATATATAATTATTGCTACTATTTTCAATCTGCACAATGTACAATTTACTTGAAATTATCAATTTGAACCTTGCTAATGATGCTTTTCTATTCTGAGTCACATCAAAGAAATAGGTGACGTATTCATATTGTCGTTGGGAGAATGGTCAATGCCAGTTTTAATATCTGCTATATGTGATAAAGTTGGTTGTGATTGAATATTCTACAGTTTTTTCGTAGAAATCAAATTTTTGACCATAATACTTGTTTTTTTAAAATTTATCACAGTGTTCACTTCGAGCTCATACCTACTTGAATAGTCTGTTGGAATTAGACGGTTCCTGCGGTTGGTCAGTATCAGCACCGACTAGAGTGATTAAAACGTTGTTTTCACACAACATACATATCCCAATGTCAGATGTTCCCGAACGATATTCCAGTAAACCGGATGATGATAATGATTTTATGTCTCGTTCCACACAAACATGCATTTGCGGTGTATTAGAATGGGATGTTACTCTAAGAATGTCACAGTCACAATTGACTACTGATCAAAAAATTGTGAGAAGTAAACTTGTTTCTCCTGACAACTCAAAAAATATTCAAAATTGCCTCAATATACGTATTGACACCGAAACTAGTCGAAACACTGTTCCAACTACCGGTTCACACTCTGGAAAGACATTACTGTTACGTTCAACAGTAAATCAAAATAACGCTTCTACTCCAATGGCATCTCAATTGCAACTTGGTGGTTCTTTAGCATTTCATCCTTTTCCTCCTTCGATTCAGCATAAAAATTTCTATAGGATGATTACTATGTCAGAATGGAATCAATTGATTGCCAAGATGTCCACGCCATTTGGTCTTCCATGTTGTCAGATTATTTACCCTGTGACTGGTTCAAACGAGTGCTCAGGGTGTGCTTCTGATCCACTGCTTTTTTCTCAGGGTATTTCAAACTATCAAGTAAGATTTGTAACGAAAACGATTTATATATTGTCTTTTTTGTCACTTGCTAATGCTGTCTATCAGAGAGTTAGGGCTTTTTGTTCATTTTGAATCAAAGATGGATTGAATGATCTTCGAATCTACAACCTGGTGTTTGAAAGTCAGGTGATATAATAACCATCGCTGAGGCCTCACCGTTTAGGCCTGTTTTTATGTCTGATTAAATTGTTTACTCGCCACTGTAATCGTTATTGTAAAATAATCTTTCCAAATCATTTAGCTCTATTACGGGTGGTGTAGTGGTAGTAGTCGTCAGTCAATCGCAGCGTAGTGTGTTTTCGTATTACTTTATTAAACATTTGAGATATCAATAAAGAATTGGCTTCATAATCACAAGGTGTAAAAGAATCAGTAATACAGTTGGAATTAAGCGTTTCATACAGGTGTCGTACTGACCATTCATTTACAAATATTTTGTCACCGACTTTTTATACAAATCATCAAATAATATGTTTAATTAGTGTTGTTCTGTCGAACAACATTTATTGATAAAGTTGGTTGCGTCCGCCTTATTGTTTATATTTTTTGCTAGCTACCCCGTGACCATCGACATGTGAAATAAGAGTTACGTAAGAGCTATTCGAGTAGTGGGTTTGTTGTTCAGGCTCTCGAATTCCGGCCACTAAGTTAAAGGTCTGAACAACAATCCATTTACCTCGATTTAGACAGCCGAGTAGTTCCACTAGCCCTCAAACTTAGCGTGTGGCTCAAAGATAAATCCATAAACCTGTGTCTGGTCAATGGGTTAATAATTAGACGACATCAAAACTAGCATCTGTTCGCGGTCCAACCCGACTTTCGGGGTGTGTAGTCATAAAGACTACATAGCTTGGAACGTTATCGGATGTGTTGGTCAGAATAAAAGTCAGTGAGAATCCTGTTGTAGTTCTCCTTTCATATCCTTCATAAAAGTAAAATTCACCTTTCAAGTTGGTAAAATTTACCTTGGCCGTTTTTAAATCAAACTGTCTTTTTAACGAGTACTATTCATCTTCATTCATTCATTGTTTTATTCCATAACTAAGGAATAACAAGTACGTTGTGACTTTATGTCCGGCTTTTTACCACGTGATTTATCCACCAATCAAAATACGACTTACACAATCTTAGCACTATGCCAAACCAATGACGTTCGACCAGTATGAGCAGCCTAGCGTCCTTGTTGGTGCTAGCCCGTCCACTCGAGTCCAGAACACCAATACCAGCCTCTACTATGCGAATCGAAACGAATCATTTATTTCAGACATACTGGGTTTATATATCAAACGAACAGACTGCAGCGCACCATAAAATAGGAAATAACATTTGTACACAATAAAACTAAAAAAGTGGCTGTGAACGTGGGAGACAGTAGTCAATAAACTGAACATAGCTGAAGAACAGTAAATCGTGCAATAATAAATTACGGGTCAAAAGGGGGAATATAAATATACATAATCTAGTTATATATATATATATATATATATATATATATATATATATATATATATATATATATATATATATAATATTAGTCCATGAATAGATCTCAAAAGTTACCCGTAATTTAATTTTCACTAGGATATAACAAACTATATCTATTTACGGTTATCAATGAATTATTTTATTTTCCAAACCTCAATTATTTGTTATTCTTTCTTTATATCTAGATATCTGCTCCTTGTAAATTAATCAAACAGTCTAGTCACACTGCTACAAAATGGTTAGCTCGTGATGCATGTATAGATACTAGTGAATTAAGATGTTTTACATTGCCAAAACCACAAATCCTTAATATTTTACAACCATTGAATGCTATTCATAGTTGTTTAACTTCATTACACTTTGAAAAAGTAAGTCTGATCATAATCAGTGTGTATGTATGGCATAAATTATGTTGTTTCAATGCATCAAATGTTGTTTCCATTAATGTTGTTTTGTTACAAAAAATAAATATAATCACAGAATAGAAGGTATGGAATGGTATCATGCTCAGTTAGTCATAGCTATCATCAATGTAGAACCTGGAACAAATATTGATCTGCCCAAGTTGCCATATCAAATCAACAGATCATTGAGATAAAATTGACTAGATTTGTATCGGGAAAAAAGTTAAAGCAATAGTGGTAGCTATGTTAGTGACAAAGACTAAACGAAAAAAATATTTTAGTGAAATAACAAGCATAGCAATGATGCTATGAATCTCAAAGGAGAGAAAAAGTGAATGTCTCTCTACCATTGTGACAAATTCTGAGCTATTTCATCCTATTAGGCTCAAAATCTATAAATATTAAGAATATATACTGTCGATTTTGGACTCTTTCACCTATGGTTTCCAACCACAGAGTTATGATTCAGTGGCTTATTAGTTGTGAGCCATTTTACTTTCAATCACTAAGTTACATAATTGAGTCCCTCTCCATCCATTTCGATTTGGGCAGCCGTTTATTACCATCAAACCAAGTACACGATTATTAATGGAGTACGACTATCTCATAAATTCTAACAAGGTAATTTACACCTGGTTTGGTTCATTTCAACAGTTGATGACCTAGGTTAATTTCATGTCTTGGTTTGACCACCTCCAGCCACTTTAAAATCCACTCATCTAACTAACATTATGGATATGTCCGTGACAACTCGTAGATGCGAAATACTGTGTAGTCGATTGGCTTGGTCGACGCAAATTGTGTCAGAGTAACGATTGCATGGGAAATCGAACTGTTGGTTTCACCCCACGAGCAAATTGGCTAGAAAATAAGGTTGCTTTGGCTTAGACAAAAACATTAATGATTTGAAATCACTCAATACATAGTCGACTGTGGAATAATGGTTTTGTTGGTGACTCACTAATAAAATTGTTACATAACTACCGTTTAGTTAGTTCTCGGGCATCAAACCACGTAATTACTCGTTTGCTCACCGCCCCATAGATTTCTCTATTCTTTGTATCGGAATTCATACAACTGACCTCATGATTATTCACTAAAACCATACACAATGAAGATCTTTATGATCAAATATTAGCCACTTACATATGTCTTTTACTTTGATGGGCCATGTTTCATAGTCATAAAGTAATTCTAAGAGACGTTATGCAGAATATTTGCTCTTTGACATACGTATAAAAATCTCACACGTGCCGCAAATGGGAAGAGTTGTCATTAGTCGAGCAAAATCTATCCGAAAATTGGGTCGACTACCGATTTACTCGGGCTTTCATGATGAAAGAGATGGTCAACATGTTCAACAGCTCTACATATATTATAGTGTTCATTCGTTGCACAAGTGTTAGTTGAATTGTTTGTAGAATACTTTAAACAAGATTTCTCTTCCTCATGTTTTTATCGCTTCTCCCATTGTTTTCTGAAAATATGCAATCTTCGTGTTCGTATCAAAATTTATTTTGTTTTAGTACCTAGTATATATATATATAATACTTGAGTTAAAGGATAATTATTCTTCTTTATGTGATAGAAGAGTTATATTTCTGTACATTTCTATTCACTAAGATAATTTGTGGAAGGATCTGTACACTTTGAAGATGTTTTTTCCTCCATCACAAACTCTAACATTAGTTAAAGGATCGTTTAAAAAAATTCGACAAGTATAGATAATTGTTTCGTACTAGTTTCAGACTCTTCAGAATGCATTCTTTGATGGCATTTGTCTTGTGAAATTCATCCAGGCAGTCTACATCTGTCTACATTATCTGAAAAAAAAGTTAGTGCCTTCATAGACATACGTGTTAGCATATTCCTCAACCACATTATTCAATCAAGGTTGACAACCACTTTGCACTACTATTGTTTTCACTGTAATTTTTCTATTTAAAAGTGAAACTTCGAAGGAAATCATGCTTAAATATTTTTAACCTACGTTTATTTTACAACAATTTAGTGTTAAGTAGCAATTTCCCAAGAAACCCTTGATATATGTTGATGTTGCTCACAGTACTCAACAGTAAAGTTTTCCTAATACATTGCGGAATATTCGAACTCGTATAATCTATTTTCTTAATCTGAGACGGGTGTACAACTACGGTATTCGAACCGTGCACAATATTCTCACTTCATTCCTATCTAGCCTCTTCTATGTTTTGCCATGTACGTTACTTGTATTTTTATTTTCGTTGTTTATAGGTTGGGATTTCTCATATAAATTTGTGTGAATCTCCACATTTGAAAAATATCACTTTAGAAAATTGCACTGAACTAAAAGCTATCTTATTTGACAATCATTCTTCAATAGTTGATTGTACTAATCATCTGAATAATGTCAACTACAAAGCTGTCGATCGATTCCCAGCACTTCGACGTATTCGAATTATTAATTGTCCAAAGTTTGCAATCTATAATTTCCTATCCAGTGTTGGTCAACTTTACCCTACACACAATGAAAATATATCTATTACATACAGGCAAGTATTTTTTTCCCCATCAAATTATTTATGGTATGCCATCTGAACATTTGCTTTATATAAAAAATCATCGTTACATCGAAAATGGGCACTTCTAGTAGCGTTTTGTATTGTGGTTCATCAGTTTTAAGTTTAAACGCTCTCCTTGTGGCCTGAACGTCCCAGGTCCCATCCCTGGAAGGATCTTAGATTTTCACTGCTGAGGAGTCATGCTAGGACGAAATGACTGTTTGGTACTTCTTGATTTTCAGTCGTTTCCTAAGACCAGTCTGTGATGTAAACTATAGAACCTATTGTAATCTAAAAAATATGGATAAAGGCAGATAGCATTAAAGGAGCAAATGTTAATAATGAAGGAAAGTGTAGGATGTACGCTGAAGCTAATGTCGTAATAGCATTTTTACCAGTTTAAAATTTATGAATTCCCTGTCTTATTCCTTCTGTTTTTAAGATGCTTAGCTGATTTCATTATTCTTACGTTCGAAATAACACATTATTATTACGTGGTCTACCCACAAATATTCACCTGTACATTTTAATGAAATCAGTTTATTTGATAAATGCTTAAGTGATTATAATGTTCATTCATTCCACTATTGTTTTGTTGATAATTTCATCAATTTTTCAACAATCATTCGAATAAATCCCTCTTAAATCATATGCTTACTGCATATTGTACTTATGTGCCATCATTTCAATCAAATCCATAAATAAACATTTATATTTCGTCCTCATACTTGACAGTAAATATCTATATACTTTGGTTCTTTTCCTTTCAATTTCATTACAGTCGTAGATTTTTCTGTATAAGATGCTATCACCAGTTGTTTGGGTAAAATGTGTAAACCCGTATTAGTGATAGAATAAATTTTACTGTCCAAAACTTATGTATACGTACAAGATCGAACTCCAGGGGCTTCCGATCTTTCAGCGAACACGATACTAATTTTAATCCACTAAGTTTGGAATTCAATAATTCATTTTTCGGAACTTATTGATCATCGTTATAACTTTATTCATTATTACAGATCTGATTACAGTAACAAATTCTCTCACTAATTATGCTGTCGACCATACTAACGTATATCTCATATGCATCTGTTCAAAAAATATAAACTAAAATGTATCACAATGGTGTTCATTTTACTTCACTGTTCAGCAATAATGGTTTCCAACAATTCCCATATTTCATATTACGTCTGATGTGCGAATTCCGAAATACTCTCTCATTTCTCTAGTGAAATAAACAGAGTGAAAATATGCCAACTGACTATATCGTTCCCTCTTTTTTATTTTATGGTATTTACATTCACAATAAGTTCTGGACCTCCTGGATTCCACCTTTAGTCGAGGTAGTCTGCATAGGATGTACATATACTAAAAAGTGATTGATCAATTGCATTCCTTAGTATCAACGAAAAGATACCAAGCTTTGTCAAAATAAATCCAAATCCGGAAATTTCATTTTAGTAAATGAATAGTTTTAAAAATAGATGGCTTAGTAGGTTTAGCACTCTAATGCAGCACTTTAATGACAGTTGTTATTTCCATTTGGTACCATTGTGGTATGATGAAATATAGTTAGTATTTACTTCGTGTACATATTTTATCAACGAATCGTGTTGATACAAAATAGATCATAAAAGTCGAGTATGAATTGCATTTCGGATGCGTATATATCCCAGACTTGCTAATATTAGACGGCAGATAGACAACAGTGGATGCAGCGAATATTCAAAGCATTCAATTTCGGGGAGAAAACCTATTTGAAAGTGTAATAAGGTAGTGATCCAATTTTTATAAATCATGTAAGGGAATCCAAATATTGACTGGACACATGTATCGTTTATGCATATATTTGCATAGAAAGTGGTCAAGGTTAAGGGTTAGTAATTGGTATAAAAAGCAAAATAACTGTAATAGCGTTAAGGATAGTTTACCTGGCCGAAAGCTAGAATAAATCATTTAAACACGTTATAAACTAATACGGCTACTACTACTACTACTACTACTACTACTACTACTACTACTACTACTACTACTGGTACTCCATCACCATTGGTAAATTTGTGATGTAAAACGGAACAGTAGCTACTGTCAAAGTTTATAAACACCAAATAGTCAACTTTTGTATTAATCGGTTGTGTTTTGATAAAAAATCCTGTTTTATTTTGACCTTGTTATTTTTTGGTTAAAAATTAACCTTTTTTATAGACCATTTGGACAATATAATACTCAGGTAGAACGAGCATTATGGGATTATTGTCAGCATGCGCACATACTTATTTCACACGACTACAAAGTTTGGGAAAGTGAACGTGCCATGGAAGATTTTCATTCTACGTTTGATCAGTTGTTCAGAGAAGTGATCAATTTCTCTGAGTAAGTTTATATTTGGCGTATGTGCAATCCAGTGAAAATCTTTACTGAAATGATGATCTACTGTAGATGACTCTAACTGTTTAGAAAACGTTAATCTTAATCCTACTTGTTCATTTTAAAAATATATACTTGATAAGTTGTGATAGGAAGGCGAGTTGACGTTTATTCATAACTCGGTGTCATATTTTATGACTTTCTATGATACCCCAACCAAGGAATCGTGAAGGGCCGACAGATACTAGTTCTGTACAACGTTGCAGTAAACGGTCATCCTTATCTGACCTGTGACCAGTAAGTCCCCGTCAGCCATCTTTTTTTCTAGACTAACGATCTGCGTATTTGAATCTCCGGCTAGTACTAAAATCTGTCGAATGCGCTTTCTGGAGATCACGTAACTAGTGGTAGATCTCATCTGTGCTGCGATCTGTCGGGGTGTAGGGGGAACAACGAAAAGATGTTTCTCAAACCGATTTCTTCTCACTTTGATGGAACTTTCTAATCTGACAGCACATCACCGAATATTAATCGGGATCCAATCGATCAGTGCTGTTTCAATTCTAGTGCTTAGTCGATGCCAACGCCAGCAAAACCAGACAAAGTTGCCTCACGGTCTCCGGATAAATGCACATGAAATAAGCTTTTCGAAGGGACAGATGGAGAGCGAATTTGTAGTACTTAACTAGAGTCCTGAATACGGGTCTCGGATAGACAACAGACATCGATATTAAGACTTTTTAGAGACATAGACAACCCTATATGTTGTCCGATCTTCATTAGTTTGCGAACGTTGAGGGGAGCCAGTTTGAATAGTATACGTGGTTTCAGCGAAATTGCTTCAGTATTTGTATTCGGTGGTAGCATTCAACTTTCGACCGATCAGTGACTCGGGATCGTTTAGATAGGACAGAGTTTCCATCGTAGGCGAGCTTGCTCTACGAGTTGAAGAATTATGGATTATACAATATGGGAATAAAGAAATAGACAAGCGACTGAATGGCTGCTGCTACCTTGTTTTTCTTGACCTGCATTTGTTCGTGTGTATGGGATAGAAGAGCTAAGTCATCTCCAAAGTCCGAATCGTCTAGTTGCATCCAACTTGTCCATTGTATTCCGTGCCTCCTCTTCGGTATCGAGGTCTTCATAATCCAGTCAACTATCAAAAGAAAGAATGCGTCTGTCATCTGTCCTTCATTCACTACTGTGCAGTGTAGCCTGTCGTATGAATTCTGTATGATACTGACGATTTTCTCAGGAACTCCATGATGTCGAAGAAGGTTCCGTAATGTCCTCCTGTCCACACTGTCAAACGCCTTCTCATAATCAAGGAAGTTGACGTAAAGTGACGAGTTCCATTCAGTTAATTGCTCAACGACTATCTATAGTGTCGCGATTTGGAATCCAACATGCTGGTTTCGAGACTGAGAGTCTACTGAATCTTTCATCCGGTTCAGCAACACTGTTGAGAAATTTTCATGGTAACGTTAGTAGTGTGATGCATCTGTAGCCGATTTCTCACATCTACACAGATCTCCCTTCTTTGGTATCTTGTTGAGGTATTCTTCTTACCAGTCTGTTGACACGTGTTTTTCTTCCCAAATCTTCCTGAATAGAAGGTGGACAATCTTTGCAGTTGCTTCTATTTCTGACTTCAGTGTTTCAGCTGGAACATTGTCAGGTCCTTCTGCTTCCCCACTATTGGATTTGTCTATTGGCCATCCTGATTTCTTCGATCGTAGGCGGAGTATGCGTTATACGAAGTTTTTAAGTAGAAACAGATACTTCATGAACGTCCAAACTAACGAAAACGTTTTTAGCTGAAGACCACAAGACTCTGGAGCTACTTCAGAATATACAGTCTCGTGGTATCCCGTTACTAAAAGCTACTTCATACTCCATTCGTTATCTCGTTATCCTATATCATGTGTGCATCATTCGTTTAAAACCTGGATTTTCCGCCCCCCACCTACGAAAATCTTATCTGTGAACCTGGTTTAGGCAATGGACATCCTCTTCCCCCTCACTTTCTTTAACAACATCCTCTAGAAGCTCTAAATTTATGACCTTTTGGAAACGTTTTGAGAAAACAAGTTGACTCACTTTCCACTATATCAATGCATTTGATGATCGTTCTTCAATTATTACTATAATTTCTCATCTAACAGAAGAGAATAATATATGTAAATCTTAATCTATCAATTCTTAAACCTTGGTGTCTGTTTGTGTGTTGTAACATTAAAGTTTAGTAAATAATGAACCTTTTTTATTTTACACTGTTATGTAGTATGGTTATTCGTCGGGACCTCCTTCCTGTGTATCCTCAGCCCATGGAATATATACAAAATTCATTTTATAAACGCTGTGAACTTGGTAAGCCAGATTATTTCGTTGTTGTTGAATTGCTGTTTACTTTCACGTTGTTGTCAATATTTTTGGCCTTGATATCTAATCCTATTTATTTTATCACATTATTTTGAAGTGTAAAACTAATCCAAACATAAATGCATATGTAGTTTGACGTATGTGCCATTGAATTCCGGTTCAATTATTTAAAGGTTAAGCTGTCGGCGCGAAACCCGAAGGTCCTTGGTTCAGTCCCTACTGAGGTCGTGTATGTACTCTGCTAGGGAGTCTCGTTCTGAAACAAAACAGCTGTTCGGCCCTCCGTAGTTTTACTGTTTGTCTAACTTGATTGAATGTTCATGATCTCAACAACATACGCCTCTGTCGGTCCATCATTTTTCGAGTGTCCAAAGTCCCATAGACTATTTTCGATGTCTGATTGTTAAATTGAAATCGCGAAAAGTACCCATTATTGGGTGCATATAATGGGTCCGAAAACAGCTCTTAACAAATATTTCCCATGTTAATAAATCTTCACTGATTCCTTGTTATTTTTCTGTTTATCATGCACAGAATCTCTAAAAAATGTATTCACCAATATTCGTGAGTAATTCTCTCAATATGTTTTTCACCATCACCTAACTTATTCGGTGAAGAAAGACAACACTAACGCTCTACTTTTTTTCACATCCACAACTTATTCATCGAATCAGTAGCTGGGTGTAATTTCGTGCTTTTCTTTGAGGATAGTATCTATTCCTGGTCGTCGCCCTCCCTCTCGAAATACTCTCACACGGCCACGCGAATATAGCCTCTGCCAGGGAAGTCCTACTCACTGCCTTCTCGTGGCGGGGGTGTTGTTTATGAAAATGAGAGGACGAAAAGCGAACGTCCGGCGCTATAACCGGATCCCAATTCAATGGTGCACATGGGCTCCAGTATCCTGAGGGAACAAATGGCGTATGAACCAATTTCTTGGTCACCGGCTTCCATGGGACTGCATCTCCTCACGATGCTCCACTGCCTTGTGGGTTAGACCTTCAGGTCCAAGGCTCGGGGTGTGGCCCCCTAAAAAAACCACCTGCTTCGGTCTGGGCACTCGGGCAGTATCTCAGTCTACGCACAAATAATGAAAATTATGATATTCACTGAAAACTATTCTCGCTGCGATTTACTGTCAAACAATTCACATTATTATTATTATTATTATTATTATTATTATTATTATTATTATTATTATTATTTACTACGTCATTGACTCACTCTCTTTCATTCCCACTCTGTCTATCCTTATTTTTCGACTTATACAGCAGCTCGCCTATGGTGAAAATTCAGCTTTATCTAAACGTTCTCGAGTCACTGCCTGGTTGAAAATTGTATGTTACCACTGAATTCGAGTACTGAAGCAGTTTTTCTGAAACCACGTGCACCATTCAAACTGGCTGCTTTTAACGTTCGCACACTTATGCAGGTCGGACAACAGATAGGGCTGGCTATGTCGTTGGAAAGTCTTAATGTTGATATGTGTTGTCTAACCGGGACTCGTATACAAGACTCTGGTGAAGTACTACAAGTTCGCTCTCCATCTGTCACTTCAAAAAGCTTGTTTTATGTGCGCTTATCCGGGGACCCTGTGGCATCTTCGTCTGGCCTTGCTGGCGTTGGTGTCGCACTAAGCGCAAGAGCTGAGGCAGCACTAATCGATTGGATCCCCATTAACAGTCGGTTATGTGCTGTTAGATTAGAAAGTTCCATCAAATTGAGAAGAAATCGGCGTGAGAAACGATGTCTTTTCGTCATCTCCGCCTATGCCCTGACAGATTTCAGCCTGGATACAATCAAGGATGAGTTCTGCCACCAGTTTACTGTTCTTCTCCAGAAAGTGCGTTCGACAGATATTGTAGTACTAGCCGGAGACTTGAATGCTTAGGTTGGGCGTCTAGGCACAGAAGAGAATCGTTTAGGTGGCCGATGTGGACTTGTTGGTCGCAGTACAGATAACGGGGAACGTTTTCTGCAACTTTGCACAGACCACAACCTATTTCTGGCTAGCACTAACTTTCGGCACAGTCATCGCCGATGTACCACCTGGCGTCCTCCCTCTGCATCTCAAGCCTGGACTCAGATTGATCACATCGCAATCAGCTTCCGCTGGCGTGGTTGTGTACAAGAGTGGCGCTCCTTTTGGAGTACCTATCTGGAATCTGATCATGCTCTGGTCTGCGCCAATCTTACCTTACTTTTCAGTGGACAACGAAATGACCGCCACTAAAGGATTGATGTTCGGCATCGTGTGTTCGGTCACAGAGACGATAATTCCGTTGGTGTCACCATCTTGACTTGGACATGTTCTACGAATGTCGTCCTAGAGAATTCCTCGTCGTGCATTATTTGCCGACTCTGGGACTGGTTTGAAAAAGCGGAGAGTTGGTCAGTATATGACATGGTGTCGTGATATGCAAGAAAGCTGCAAAGGGCTAACTTCTGTTGGTCCTTCACGACTCCCTGGTTGGGGTCCGAGAGACGGTGTAACACAGTGGCTAGAGACGTTATCAGATATGGCTCTGAATAGAAGCCAGTGGCGATCCTGCTGTAACCTTCTTTTACTTTCTTCGTAAAAAGTGGTTGTATCTTCCTTAACTGAAAGATCTCTTCTGATTGTACCTTTCCGTTTTCCCCATTTTTGTTCTTTTTTTAATACAGATATTCCCTACGTTCCTTACCTTTCTTTTCCGTTCTCTTTAAATTCTCATTGTTTTGTGTGGCGCATATATATTTGGTGCCCCCCTGTACCAATATTTATGTGTTTAAATAAATAAATAAATAAAACCCCGAAATAGGCTGAACGGAGTTTCAACCTGAAATACAGTTATGAAATACTGTAGCTAGTAAGCCAGCCGCTGCATAATAAAGGGGTCTTATGTGTTTTTAGATTATTTCACTTCTATTCAATCGTGAAAGAACGTGTATGGGTTATATAATCCTATACTTTGTATTTGTAGAGAGGTAGGTGATTTATTGGCTAAAACATTCAGACGATGCTGCATCTACCCCCGGTGTAAGCAAATTAAGATTATCTCGGTAAGCCAGACAAATAAAATGTGGCTCGAAATACGAACATTTACTCCATAAAGGAGATAGATTCATTACTTTACATATTAACAAATTACAGTGAGATGTGGTTGGAAGCAATCGGTACGATTTTCTGCGACAAGATTTTGTGCTAATTGGCATTCGACAACATGACATAGATGCGACAACCGAAAATCCCCGTGAGTTTCAAATCCACGTCACCCAGTGTAACCACTAGTCACTGTTTACCTGTGACTCATCTAGCGGACTGGTTTTTCAATTGTCTTAATGCTTTTTGTGTTTTGTTCAGCCTTCATTTTGTTAAACTTTTTTTTTACTTTTCCAGGTTTTGAGTGGGATTTTATTACAGATATACCATGGGTTCATGAAGTATGTTGTTCCCTTCTTAAAAATAATGAACTACATCGATCTGATCAAGCTGATCAACTTTATGAATTACTGTCGGAATATCAAGCAGCTTCGGAAAATTTGAAAATTCAACGACATGGTATACATTATCATGTGCAATTTCGAAATGTTCATTCACACATTGATATGTGTAATAACGATTCGTCGAGTATGGTAGACAACGATAACTTAAATTATTTCTTACAGCGTAAACCTACTTCTTATGTTAACTGGCCATATTCTGAAAATAATCTACTTTCTACCTATCCTTCTGATGATCTCAATACATTGAAGAATATCTTAAAAGAATGCCGCCCATCGTCTGTTCAGAATATGTCTTCAGGCAATCGTTCACAAGTAACAATAATTAAACATGATAATAATATTGAATTTTTACCTTGGAAACGTTTATTACTATCACAAGAAGAAATATTTAATGCTGAATTTGTGAATCTTGACAAATCATCAAGCTTATCATCATTCCCTAATAATATGAAACATTTATCTAAACAAAATTCTTTATGCCATATGTCAAATGCCATGAATAAATCATTTTCAACGTCTGATAATCGTTCGAAAAAATGTACTTCATGTCCCACTTCGAATTTTTCCTCCTCTTCCACGTCCCGACAACAACAATCGTCATCCATATCTTCAGTATCAACTACTATATGTGATCATTCTACTTTAATCTCTTCCTCTCGTAAACGTTCACTTCCTCCAACTAAATTATTTTCAAATTCTTGTAAAAAGTTGAAGTTAAAACAGTGATTATCTCATTTTATTTAATGGTTTGTATGTATGTATGTATGTATGTTTGTTTGTTTGTTTGTTTCTGTTTTTATGCTTGTGCGTAGACTCATGTATGTACTGACCTGTTTCTAATCACTCATTTCCTTTCTGATTCATTCTCTCTTTGTTTAATTAATTATTTGTCCTATTTCTTATTACACCTATATCTTGTAGTCTTCTCTTATTAAAACTTTGTTATCAATTCTCTGCTCCTTAACAAACAAACACAAAATTGTATACAGCTTTTGAGTTCTCTTTCTTATCGTATATATATAATACTTTTTGTCACACACACACATTCATGCACATTTTCTTTTTATTTGATTACCGTCCCGCTCCACCTCTTGACATAATCATCACGTTTAAAATATGTTGTACATTAATAAATAATAGTAATATTGTTCTTATTATTACTGTTACTATTATTATTATTATTATTATTATTAATCTCAGCCACAATAATAAGCTACTTGTTTATCAATGCGATTTATATTGAACCGAATATATTTTCAAATCATTATATATATATATATATATATATATATATATATATATATATCGTCTTTTGTTTATTTAAAATAAGTTTGTGCGATGATCATGTTTATATTCTTGTGCGATGTACCGATTTTATAACTGAACTCTTACACTATGTATGCACGTGAGTACTCCGTTTGCTGCTTATATTATACCAGTATAATTAGTTGTTAAAAATCAGTAGGATACTGCTTATAATATAGTTATAAATTGATTAAACGTGCTATGATCGTCACCGACCTATTGATTGACAGAAACTAACAAAAAAAATGCCTGAACTTGCTAACCATCTACATAATCCTATTGAAATAGTCGTAGTGACGGTAATAAAAAGCGAAAAATGTACACAAACATGTATTCATGTGATTGATTAATTGAGTTATGGAATGTGTTCTACTAATGGAAATTAATGATGTTTGTAAGAGAAGGATATAATGATTACTAGTACTCTTAGTGATATAAAAATTAGTAAGTCGAAGCAAACAAACTTTCTTATCAATCCATCACAAAAATTACAAAGATGACAATCGTACAATCAAGATAAAATTTAATAATAGATAGAATTATGAGTTATCCAGTTATGAAAAATATACATTGACTACTTTGTTATTTTATTAGTGAAAATTTACAACACAGTCTCATTATATGATTATCTGTTGTATAGTTGTATCTAGACTGGACTGTTTTAATGATAACTACAGTTATTTAGTAGTATTATTCTATGCTTTAATTGATTTTAACACTAGATAACTTTGATTATTAAAATTGTATCCGGATACATTTTAGGGAATAGATTGTTTCACTATGATAATGATAATTGATTTACAAATGATATAAGAGCAGATTTCTAATAAATCTTTAGGAAATAAGTTGAGTTAGCTTTAAAAATGTCTGAAATGATAATTTCAGTTAAACATTATGTAACTGATTCGGTTCTTTCAAATTTCAAATCTTATTGAAAATACTTTCTATCGTGGTATTTGACACTGGTTGAATTTAAATCTGATACCAAGTTAAATAAGTTCGAATGTAAGAAAATTATTAGCTTTTTTTTTTTTAGCTTAATTCTATCTGTTATATTTTATGCATTACTATAACTTTCTGTACCCTTCAATAACATGAGCTTGTTAAGAGTGGGTAAAATAATCCGTATAAGTTCTATTAAGTGGTACCATTAGGCTATCAATAAATATTGAACGAGTATCCTGTGAACTGAGATGATAACTAAGGCTAAGTTGAACCATCTTCGATGATCATTTTGTAACATTGTCTGTATCGGGGGATATCACCTGTAGTTTGTATTATCTATTATGATCGTCTTCATATGTTGACCACTTAAATTACGTCTTTTATGCAAGTGTTAATGTAACCATTTACTGCTTTGATCTTCATGAATATGTCAATATGTTTTTGACGATGTAATGTTTTCCAACTGCTAATTGACAGAATAGTTGGTGATCGGTCAAATAGATTCCAAAATGATCGCTGACATAAAAGTGCTTCTAAAAATCCCTATTGATCGACAAAAGAACATATAATTACGAAATTCTTAATCAGATAGTTTATTAGCATACATTGAACAAGACCATAGTCCAATGTTTTAGGATATCTGAATTTAGTGAAAGTCGATTACTGTCACGTAATTGATTCAATGTAACAGGATAAAGGAGTCAACCACATATTGACTGAGATATAATTGACTTTTTCTAATCGCTTATTAATTAAAGTGTTCAGTTTTCAACCGATGAGTCGTAAGCTCAAATCCCTCTTTACCTCTATTTTAATAAACCGGTATTAACAAAAGTTCTCGTACAAATAACTTGGCTCAAAGCCGAGCACATAAGTTAAAATAATCAAGTACGCTGAACTAAATGAAGATTAAATCTTGTCAATATGAGAATGCACTTTGGATTTTCTCTAAAATTAAAATATCCCAATTCAGTTTTATGATTAGATTGAACATGGGTCCACGAAGCGGACTGATTGATTTGGGGTTTCACTAATGTAAAATATTCTGAGTATGCTGTTTTTAAAATAAGTTGACGAATGATGGTGCTAATAACGCAAATTATTCCCATTTTCAATGTAATTTCCTTATTCCAAACTACTCTATAATAAATGAATTCTTAATTGTACAGATATCAACAATCCCTCAATCTTGATAAGTAACGAACTTAGAACCAATAGAATCCTTAAGGAATGGATTATATTTAGTCCATTGAGTAAGCATCTAACGGTTCACCCTTCAGTTATAGCCATTATTCTATGTTCTCAAAAGAAATCTATACAGCGGCTCTCTCTAACATCTTCATCGATATAAGGGTATGTTTTGACGGAATTCCATTCTTTCAAACAATTTTGTAGTTTCTTTCGTATTTTTAGTATCCGTTTCTTCTTACATAACTTCAATGATTAAGATCATGAGTCAGTTAAAGCTAGACCACCATGGAAAACCTGGAAACACTGGACGGCCGTCTCGTCCTATTATGGAACTCCTCAGTAGTGCGTATCCACGACCTCGCCCCCTGCGGGATTCGAACCCAGGACCTACTGGTTTCGCGCGCGAGCACTTAACCACTAGACCACTGAGGCGGCATCCAACGGTGTTAATGTCTAACTTCAACTAATCCACGAAATTGAGCGACACATCCACCATTGTCTTCAGTGAGTTACTATCCCACAACAGACCTGGTTGAACTCCACTGGTCACTACTTAATCATTGAAATTACTACAATCTCCACAAAAACCCTTCTTACATAACTATTACGAAATTGACTTTTTTAAATTCCCTCATCAAATATGTAATCTAACAGCTGTTTAATTACATGTTTTCAATTTTCGGAGATTATAATCCCTTCCTTTCAATTACTCAATAATTTAATATTATTTTGTAATCATTTTGAAATTATATAGTTATGATAATAGATTACGTTTGGATTAGTAGTATTATTTTACTAATATATTATATATGTATATAAACTAATGTGGAGTCATGATAAACAGCTAATTGAAAACTTCTTCGATCTGTTCTTTTATTATCCATTGATATTCACGTTATCTGTTTTACACCTGACATGGTTGAGATCCAATGACCGTAGCTACTTGCTAAAACTTCGAGAAACTCTTATAGTTAGTTACTAATAATTACATGATTCTTGTTAGCATAAAAGGGTTGTGAAGCCCAACTGTTGGGTGAAACATCTGGCCAGTGTTAGCTAAATTTACCTTGATGCAAATTGTAGACGATAATTTTCACACAAAATAACAGTTTACAATAGATTTGCATACATATGCGTTCATAACATAACAAAGAAAAATGTTTTCAAAGCATCTAAATAACGTTTCAACTTATACTTCGAGTGAATAATCGATTAAATGTAATTGAGATCATGAATCGATCAATGTTAGAGCATCAATTGAAAACTGAAAGCATTGAACGGACGTTACGTCCTAGTGTGTGACTTAGCAGTAAGCATGCACGTTTTCGTAAGCGGGATTCGAACTCAGGGTCTTCGGTCTTGCGCGCGAATGCCTAACCTCTAGATCACTGAGCCAATATCCAATGGCGTTTTAATATCTAACTTCAACCAATCCACGATATTGCAATCATCTTCCATTGTCTTCAGTGGGTAGCTGACCCACACCCGACGCGATTGAACTCCACTGCTCACGGCTTCTTACTAGAACCCTGAGAGTTACCTCTCGAAGCTAGTCACTAACGAGCACATAAAACTGTTACGTCCTTGATGTGTCTACCACTTTTGTGTAGAGTATAACTTGTTTAATCTAGATTAAGACCTTGATGCGATAGGCTGACTGGCTTAACCTTGAGGCTAGTATGCGTGAGTTCTAGGTGAGATCAACTGCTTGGGGTAGAGAGACGAAAACTACTCTATCACTTAATTGGATGACAAGCACGCGAGTTAGAGAAGACAAGTCAACTGGTACACTACACGATTTATTCCCAATTCCGATCTGGTTCCCAATTTCAGATTAGTGTAAAAGATACATGACTAAATAGATGACTAACCAGACCACAACTCACAACAATTAGGAAAATACAATTATGTGCATAACTGGAGATTAGCGTATAAAGTAGAGCACAAAATATTACGTTTAAATTACAATAGCTTTGGAACAAAAGGGGTTATGGTAGTGAATCGTAAATCAAACGAAAGCTTATGATCTGTAGAATAGACTAGAGTTAAAAATAAATATTATTGTTTTGCAAGCTTTGAATTAAATCAAATAACGTCCCTAAAAACAGCTTTCGTAGTTTGTCAAGGCTTCTTGTTTCTCTGTTCATATCAGAAACCAAATGGCCGTCCAGTGTTTCCAGGTTTTCAATGGTGGTCCAACATTGATCGGTTCATAATCTCAATTAAAACTCAAAAATCTTTGGAGCCCTATACTGATAATCGAATAATTAATGAGTTAAATATTAATCATTTTCAGACATTTGAGTATAAACTGTAATCATGAGTAAGGTTTGATCGAATCCATTTAAATAGCCATATCATACACCAATAAAACGTACATATAAACTATAACTTGATATTCTTAACATATTCGTATTGATTAAGTTCGCCAAATAAAGTGAAAATCAGCTTCCATTAGATCAATAAAAGAAAATTGTAGAAAAGTCTGTGTAAATACAAATGCCTATAAGTAGTATCAAAAGTATTAAATCAATTATCTTTCACTATACAGAAATCAATCGCATTTTCCGACTCCATAATCCTAATCGAATTACTCCAACTTACCGTAATGTTTGGAAGTATCTGTTACTATTTTATATGATTACAATAAAATTGTTCATTGTGC